TTTTGGGGGTGCCTGGGTGGCTCAGTCGGTTGGGCATCTGACTCTTGATTTTGGTTCAGGTCATGATCTCAGGGTCATGAGATCCAGCCCTGTGTTGAGCTCCGTGCTCAGCACAAAGTCCACTTGTCCCTCTCCCTCTGCTCCTCCCTCCACTTGCACTCTCTTTTTTTCTCTACCTCTATCCCTAAAATAAATAAAATCTTAAAAACAAAACCAAAAAACTAAAAGGCCTTTCTGTTGAATGAAGTGAAAAGCATGTTGTATCAGAGTTTAGATGTCACAAATATAGAAAAGCTGCCCAAGGGCCCACAAGGATTGCTCAAAGCTCTGCAGCAGCCTGAATGGAGAACCAGTTCTGTGAATTCTGAGGTCTACACCAGGGCCTATGCAACCTTATATGAGGAAATTAGCACTGAGACACTTAGGCCTCCCCTGCACCTTCCTCTGATCAGTTGGTTATTTCGGGAGATGTATCCTTCAGGTTCTCCACTTCAGTGATTTTATGGAAGCTGAAGAACACTTCACAAATAGAGAAACAACAGTGGCTTGGGTGTGAGCTTGCTTTCTCCTCCTCTGTGGCCACAGTAACTGTGCCAGCAGTTTGTGGTGCACAGGTATGTACGGACCCACAGCTGTCCTGCTGCTTTCTCATTCATAGTCTAATGCATAGTTTATAAACAAGGAGACTGAGGCTCACAGAGGTCACAGGGCTCTTTCTAGTAGGTGGCAGGTCCAGGGTTCCCGACTCGGTGCAGCGTTGTGTCACCGCACCCTGTGCTCACTCTAGCTCTTCGTTCCCTAGACCAGCACCACTGACAATACCCAGGCACTTGTTGGAAATGCTCATTCTTGGCCCCACCCCAGACCTATGGAATCAGAAGCTCTGAGGGTAGGGTCCAGCAACCACAGTTTCATGAGGCCTCTAGGAATTCTGATGCACATTTAGGTTTGAGAACCATTGCTCTAGACAGTAAATTCCACATGGGGTTCTACCATTTTAGAAAAACTCCAATAAGCTACCTTTAAAAGCCAGGTCTCAAAGAGGCCAAGTGCTCTTTTGATGCATAGTGCAGCATAGACAGACCTTGGTTTTTATCTCCACCCTTTGGGCCAATTATTAGCCCTCTCTGACCTGTATGTGCCTCTCGGTAAAATGAGGGATACTGACCTTGCAGGACTGTTGCAAGAATGAAATGATTTACACAAGGAACCTGGCACTTCCAAAACAAACAACACTTGTTTCCTTCCTCCCCTATCCATCCCATAAGGAAGCCACTTGAATGGTCAGAAATTTAATGTTTTTAGGTAACCTCATCTCAATGTTTTAACAAGTTTTTTGAAATTTACCTCCATTTTGCTGAGAACATACCCAAAACAACAGGCCTTAAAAAAACATTTGTTTTTTCAGTGAATTAAACCTGACTTACCAAGGTCATAGACTTTTTTTTTTTTTAAAGATTTTATTTATTTATTTGTGAGAGACACAGAAAGAGAGGCAGAGACACAGACAGAGGGAGGAGAAGCAGGCTCTATGGAAGGAGCCTGATGTGGGACTCGATCCTGGGAATCTGGGATCAGGCCTTGAGCCAAAGGCAGACGCTCAATCGCTGAGCCACCTAGGAGTCCCGAGGTCACTGACTTATAAACACCATTTTAAACTTTGAAGTTAACTGCATATATTTAAAATCTTGAAGTTGTGAGGCTGGATACCTATGTAGGGTCCCTCTCCAAATCTTACTGATGAAATATTGCCCCTGCTATAGGGCTGAAGCACCAGAATACTGTAAGCAGTATGGAAAAGGTTAAATGGTGCCCAGAATTCTGAGCAAATGAGGCCATTAGTATGTCCTACAGGACTACAGGTTCTGCTTGGCGCTGCTCAAATCTAAATTCTGCAGCCTGTGCCCCCAACCCCCTTCCCCAATGATGCCTTTGTGTGAGACCCAGCACGAAATCAGTGTCAGAGATCAAACAAGGAACTAATTCTATACAATGCTGATTTATGACAGGCCCCAGCTTGCTGCCTCAACCCACAAATTCACCTGAAGAGCAAACTCAACTTAAGCTCTCAGTCATTTGTCTCACCTGGTCTTTGCTTTAAGATAAGAGAAATTACTCCATTCCCAGTCCTTCAGTTTTGAAGGGATTAGGCTCTCATTATGTTCTACTCATTAAGGGAACACAATTGTGAGTGGAAATCTTGGTTGCCTCACGTGCTGGCTATGTAACTGTGGGCAAGTTACTTCAGTGTCTCAGTCTCCTTACCTATAAAATGAGAGAATGGTATCTACCTTTCAGAAATATAATGGAGATTAAGTAAAATGATACATAAAAACCATATGGTCAAGGAACAGCTGGAAGCCAATATATTTGCTATTATTTCAACTTACTTTGCCAATTGCTCCTTCTAAGAAGACTAATGAAATTTCACTTGCTGTTTTATCTCTTTCTCACCAAGGAATTGGATGAAGACAGGCAGCCAGAGAGAAGGGAAGAAAGCAAACAGCCTATTAAACTCCAAAGTTATATAACCAAAGCATGAACGATTAAGAATACTGTCACTCTAGTCTTCAGGAAGAGTAATGTAGACCTTGCTCCTGAATGATCCATAAACAGGTCTGATGTCATCATACCCTCGATTAGTGCCAGGTGCCCAAGAAGACTTAGGACATAAAGTCAATGTCAACAAAGATGTACTAGACACAATTTACCCAACAGAAACGATCACATTCTTAGGCACTGGAATGTTCATTTTCAACAAGTATCTGAGGCACTGTTTTTTTTTTTTTTTCCTTTTCCTTAAGATTTTATTTATTTATTCATGAGAGAGCCAGAGAGAGAAAGGCACAGACATAAGCAGAGGGAGAAGCAAGCTCCCTGCAGAGAGACTGATGTGGGACTGGATCCCAGGACCCCGGGATCATAACCTGAGCCGAAGGCAGACGCTCAACCACTGAGCCTCTAAACACTGGAAATAAGATAGGAATAGATGCTAGTCTCATGGAGGAAAGACTGCTCAGTATTAGACACAATCAAGGGAATCTTCTCCCATTCAACAAACATGGAATTTTGTCTTAGAGTCTTAATAGGGGAAAACAGTGAGAATAGGCACTCAGTAAATGCTGGCTCCTATGTGCTGGTCCTGTGCTGCATGTGAGACACACACCATTCATCCTCACATCAGCTTCTAATGTAAGCAATGCTGTTAGGTGCTTTTAGCAGATTTGGAAACAAACTTAGAAAGGTTAGATACTACTTAAGTTTCTACCATAAGTAGGTGGGAGAGTCAGGACATGCTCAAAACCTGCGCTCTTGATCCTTATTTGGCTTACTGTCATGGATTTCTATAGAGTTTTTTCAACTGGTATAAAGTTGAATTTAGCCTTGCTATGCTGCCAGTCAAATCACCCTAATATTTGTCTTTAGCAGGCCTTCAACTGCTAAAGAACCATGAATGATTCAGACTTTATTTATGAGGCCAGACTAAAGGTCTTCTAAGCCTCAGCCCCAACCTACCTCCCTAGCTTCATCTCCTGTGTCTAAATCAATGGAGCCTTGTCCTTTCCTGAACGACTTCCATGCTGCTCTAGCTCTGTACCTTTTTTTAAAAAAAATTTTACTTATTTGAGAGAGAGAGAGAGAGAGCATGAGTGAGCAGGGCAAGGGGCAGAGTGAGAAGCAGACTCTCCGCAGAGCAGAGATCTATCCCAGGACCCTGAGATCATGACCTGAGCCAAAGGCAGATGCTTAACCGACAGAGCCACCTAGGCATCCCATTTCTGTATCTTTTTGTTCACATAAACATACATCTATCTGCCACCAGTAACATTCAAGGATCGCAACCTCTCACTCAGGACCATCTGGTAACACCCCTCTTCCATAAGGCTCTTCCTAATCCCCACCCCCACTCCAGGAAGATGAGCTCTGAGTTCTCAAACCACTTGGCTTTACAGCTGCTCCCCATTAACATAACTCACTCATCTTACTTCCTGTCTGTAATTTCTCATAACACTTAGCCTGGTGCCCCTGATGATTGAATCAGGTTCACTTATGGTTTACAGTAACAAAGAGGTCAAGGAAATAAATGCCAAATTATTAAGACTATCTTATTTTCATTACTCACTAATTCTTCATTCTCCTGACAGGTTCTCTTTATATGTATTTTGCTTTGTGTGTTCAAAACATCTAAGCACTGTTATGTGACTTCCTTAGCCAGTGTAAATATGAAGCTGCATGAGCGGTCCTAGACCTGAGTGACCATTTTTTTGTAAGACAGGTTGCACGTGAAAAACACTTTGGTCAGGGTCTGTCTTTGGAGAGAGAATCTCAAGACAAAAGACACTTAAAAGCTTTGGGTGGCATCATCTTCATTAATTCATAAGGGGAGATAAAATTACCTGTCTTACTTCTGATAAGGTTGCACTAGAGAATTTAGCTTTGATTTGTGGCCACAGACATGCCTCCTAAGTTCACATCTTAGGACCAGATGCCCAGTGGGGCCTGGCATGCTGAGCACACACTTGTGGAGGACCCCTGCCTTGAATGTGCCGACCCCTGCAGTGGGGGCAGCCAGGGACCTGCAGACCAGCATCTAGAAATCAAGCCTGTGCTCCTGACCTACTTGGATTTGCCACATACAAGAAGGAACAGGCAGGCATGATTTTATCTGGGGGATATGCAAATCCTAAAGTAGAGTTAAAATTTCTAAATAATACCTCCTCAAGGATCTCTTCTCAAATTAAACGTCCAGCTCTCATTTTAAACCTAACTTTGTAAGAAATTTTAAGCTAAAGAAAAAAATACTAAAGTGGGATATACTAAAATATAATCTTCCTAAAATGTTGAAATAAAAATTTCTACTCATTTTTACCAAATTTTGCCTTTCTCTCCAAGCTTATAAAACTGCTGCACTGCCTTTGAGGAAGACTGATCTCATTCTCTAGACCTGTGAAGTAACCATTATACCTGGGTAATCAGAATAACTAGTAAGCATTTCTCACCTTGATCCAATGACATCAAAAAGATGCTGCCAGCGGTCATTGACTTTGCTCAGCTTGTCCTCGATCTCAGCTGCTCTTGTTTTGTTGCTGGCCTTGATCAACTGGTCACCCATCTGTTTTAATTGTAACTTGTTTTCACTAAACAAGTTTATTTCTTCCATGCAGTCCTGGCAAAGGCACCAAAACATAAAGTCTCAGTTACTTCTGAAAATTCATTTCTTCACCAAGTCACAAGCACACAGCTGCCTCTTGAAATTAAAAAAATACATATATCAAAAATTTCTCATACCTGTTAATGCAACTCTTCAGTGAGTAGCTAAAAAGTCAAACAATGCCCACTTGGCACATGTGTAATATGTAAGGCAGTAGTTACCTTTTTTTTTTTTTTTTTTTTTTTAAGTAAGTCCCACATCCTGAGATCAACCAAGACCTGAGCTGAAATTGAGAGTTGGATTCTGGATGCCTGGGTGGCTCTGTGGTTGAGCACCTGCCTTTGGCTCAGGTCATGATCCTGGGGTCCTGGGATTGAGTCCTGCATTGGGCTCCCTGCAGGGAGCCTGCTTCTCCCTCTGCCTATGTATCTGCCTTTCTTATGAATAAATAAATAAAATCTTAAAAAAAAAAAAAAAGAGTCGGATTCTTAACTGACTGAGCCACTCAGGTGCCCCCATTAGTTACTTCCTTAATTCAGGAGCCCTGGTTTCTCCTCCCAGATTTGTTCTAATCTAACCTACTTGGTCAAGGAGAACAACAGAGTATAATTAAATTGGCCTAATATCACTAAGCACTTTCCTGAGGCAACTGAGTACCGTTTTGGATGACGGCACCAGGAATGAGCTTTCTGCCCTTCCCTGCCGTGCCTGGTAGACATCTCAGCACTATAAGCCTCTGTTGCTGTTGGCATCTCCCCTTTGGCGAGGAGAGCTCCAAACAACCAGTAGAAGCCAAAATTCACTGGGGATGTGAAGTGAAGCTTAAGCTGAGGAGAGCCTCTTTTCTGGCCAGACTTTCAGAGAGAAGGCACAGCAAGTGCCATGCCCCCCTAGAATGGTCCCACACTTCACATCACTTTGGAATCCTCACTTACCAGCTTTTCTTGGAGAAGGAATAAAGATAGTGAGAAAGTCCCTTCCTATTTCTGCAATGTTATTAGCAACATACCTATAATGTTATGCCACCCTGGACCTGTGAGTGAGGGCGGAGAACTCCATGGTAGTCCGTAACTGCAGCCATCAGGGTACTCCTACTTACCTTCTGCAACTTTTCAATCATTTCTTCAATACTAATATCTGCCGTCTGCAGAACTTTGTTTTCCATCTGCACCAGCCATGCGCACAACTCTTTATTTTTTTCATTGAACACAATCCATGAATTGAGTCTGTCTTCAATCTCCTGTTTGCGTATGGCCACCTGGAATGAAAATACGTTTGGCAGCAGACTATAGACAGGAAGGAAAGCATTTCCTTTCCCTTCCCCCCATTAAAAAGACAATGAATTTCATTCATTTTCATCAGTAACCCTACAGACTTAAATTTACTGTTTACCTCACACCTAGAGTTCAACATCAATAGTTACACCTTTGATAGATGCCACAAAGAGCAATAAAGATTGTGTCTGAAGTGCAATTGACCAAAAGAATTTGGTTTTATATAGATATGTGTATCTATTATTATCAGGTTATATTAAAAATTAGAAACAGGAAAGTTCAGATACATTCACTGAACACCATCCAAACTTCTTCTGATCCCTGTTCTTTCTACGTACATTTATTGATGGCTTGCTACATGCTCATTTACATTTTTATGACCGAAATCTTTTTACTAGTTTAAAAATGATCAAGTCCTTATTCCTATTTAAGACTAATGTCCTGGGATCCCTGGGTGGCGCAGCGGTTTGGCGCCTGACTTTGGCCCAGGGCACGGTCCTGGAGACCCAGGATCGAATCCCACGTCGGACTCCCGGTGCATGGAGCCTGCCTCTCCCTCTGCCTGTGTCTTGGCCTCTCTCTCTCTCTGTTTGTGACTATCATAAATAAATAAAAATTAAAAAAAAAAAAGACTAATGTCCTGCCTATTTAACTTAAAAACTACAAAACCTAGATCACAACATAAATCTAACCTTTGTAATGCAAATAGACTGCAAAATTGAAGTTATTTCAATATTTTAGTGGTAGATTTCAAAAATAAAGCAAAATAAAATAAAAAGCAAATGCATATCATTTATTTAACCTTCCCATTATGCACTATGGCTTTGGATGGAAACTATGGAAATGGAACCAAATACTAGTTTGTAGTTAGCAGGCTGACACTAAACACTCCTACTCCATTATGTATCAGCAAATCGACTTCTACAAAGGCTCTTCCTTTCATAAAGGGTTCAAATGTACAACTTAAACAGAAACTTAAAGAATACAAAACAGCCTTCCTAAATTACAAAAGTATTCTCAGCTCTTAATAATCTTTAGAATCTTAGAGTAAAAAGAGTTTTAATAAAGTTTTAACACCCTACATTACAGATGGGAAAAGTAAGATGCAAACTCCCAAGACTTTCCTCCTATGTACAACAAAATCAGTGATCTTTTCAGAGGCAAAAACACCTAACGCTTGTACATCCATTCAGCCAAATGTGTTGAGAAGGCTCAAAGAACGATCCCTAAAAAAACAAGTTTTGTGTTTCCATTTCCGAGGGCATCTATTTATCTTAGCTTTTAAAAGCCTGGCATTTTGCACAGCGTCATTCTGATTGGTTTCCTAATGGTAACAATTAGGAACATCTGGGCCCCAGTCTCTGCTTCCACCTTCGTTTTAGGATACTTTGCACATACTCTAAATTTTTTTATGTGAAATATGAATAGAAATTCTAAGAGGGCATTTAAAATTACAGTCAGTTATGAATATTAAATACTAAAACCAAGAAGGAAAAATTATTTTACTTAATTCAAATGCACTCAAAAGTGTCTGGATTTCAACTTTTTTTTTTTTTTTTATTCATTTATGATAGTCACAGAGAGAGAGAGAGAGAGGCAGAGACACAGGCAGAGGGAGAAGCAGGCTCCATGCACCGGGAGCCCAATGTGGGATTCGATCCTGGGTCTCCAGGATCGCGCCCTGGGCCAAAGGCAGGCGCCAAACCGCTGCGCCACCCAGGGATCCCTGGATTTCAACTTTTAAAAAATTTCAACTTTTAAATCCATTCTTAATTCACAAGAATGAGATTAAGGAGTTTATTTTTCTTAGAATGGCACGTTCTTAAAACAAAGATCTATTTGAACCCTTTAGTTCCATCCGTCACAAACAGGTACTGCATCATACTGTAATCATGATCTAATTTTTAATAAGTAGAAGTAATCCACTGAGATGCTAAGTGAAGCTGTTGATAATTTTGAGTTTTGAAAAGCAGCTACTGGAAAGACACATCGGATGGCACGTGATCGTAGAGTTCTCAGATAAAATACCCCTGTCTGGGGCACTAAGTGAGACTCTGGCTGTTTGCTGGGGTTAGAGAGATACTGCAGAGATACTGCCCTAAGGCCAGGAGAGACCTCCATGCTGAAGTCCTCATTCTAATATCCCAATGAGTACTTGTCATCTACACAAGACAGACCAGAGTGCTCACAGCTGTTCGGAATCGCCCCCCACCCACTGCTCCCGCCTCCCCCGATTTAAGGTAAGTTTTTAAAAAGCTTATTGAAAATGTACAAAGTACCAGCACTAAGCATGGGAGAAACAAAGGGGCCAATCTGTTAAAGCATGTTGCTGCCTTCTAAAGGAACAGCAGCCGGCCTGGGCTCCAACTGAAAAGGGCCTCCGGTTCAATGAAATTAAGCCCCTTTCTACTTTGTCTGGCCTTGGGAGACATTTCAATAAACTCCAGAACAGCCGTGCCCTGCAGTTAACTGACTTACTCTTAAGCAGAGGTCCTCCCATTGTCTGTGCAAATGCTCTGTTTGCTCCTCCAAAACCAACACATCCTCCACAAGAATGTGCTGGGTTAAGTCGGTCTTCATAGTGTGAAGTTCTTTCAAGTTCTGAGTCCAGTTGCCCAAAGACTTCTCTAGTTCCTGCATTGAAGCACAAGAAGGGAGGGGGGAAAAATCATTTCCACTCAAGCCGCTGTTGTTTCCAAACCTGTAGGCTAATCCTTTGATTGGACTCTGGGGGAGGGGAGGCCAGCGAAGGGGGCGGGGCCTCCCAATGAGAAACAGCCCAAGGCAGAGGCTGCTCCTGCGGTTGGCCGGGTTTTCACCACCTTTTTCTCAAAAGAAAACTCTTTTCCACCCTTGTTTTTATTTCCTCAGGTAGTTCAGATTTTTCTAAGGTTAGTTCTGTTTTAAAATCATATAGGCCTTTATCTTTATGGAGAAGAAATTATTTTTGGAGTCTAGTGACAATCACACACACTTTTAATTCTGAAACTACGTTACAGAAATGTTGTCTAAAGTGTGATTTTCCATCTTAAAAAAAGAATTTAGGAAATGCATTGTTGCTACCGTGGCCATCAAAATGGCAGCTTCTGTTCAAAGGGGATTCTTTTGGTTAAGCTTCAAAAAGAATGAATTAAAAATTTAAAAATAAATAAATTCTTCCCTAGAAACTGGCAGATCTTGGTTAGCAGGAAATCTCTGGTTATGGAAACAATTATTTTTAAAAATGTGTCAAATTTAAACTTTTTGATTTCTAGGACTTAAGAAAACTGCTTTTACAACCGGGAAGGTAAAAGGAAACAGCCCAAACGAGTACTCAAGAGTCCTGCAGATTTTTATTGTGCTCACAATTCTTCGTTCTTTGGCACGTTTTAAGGATCTCTGTTCGTACCTGTCTATTGCAACAGAAAGAAGAGAGACTTTCACTTACATCAGAAGTCTGACGGGTGGCAACAATAAAAGCGTGTTAACTTCTGATTGATTTTCAGAGTTCTAAAAGCCATGTTGGCATGATTACATAACTTGCTCACAAATTTACATTTAATAAAATGGCCCAGAGAATTCTTCTTTTAAGGTTACATGGAGATTCAGAAAGACCTTTATCAGGATAAATATCATCACTTTAAACTCTTGTTACCTAGTTTTTACCCTCACGATTCTGGTAAAGTGGATTAGAGCGGATCCTGTGTGGAACACTTTCACTAGCTACAGAATAGAAAGGGGATGGCTCACAGGTGGAGGTGTGCCACTCATGGACTTAAAACTAGAGACCGTGGGACGCCTGGGTGGCTCAGTGGTTGAGTGTCTGCCTTTGGCTCGGGGCATGATGCTGGGGTCCTGGGATCGAGTCCTGCATCGGACTCCCCACAGGGAGTCTGCTTCCCCTTCTGCCCTCTGTGTCTCTCATGAATAAATAAATAAAATATTTTAAAACAAACAAACAAACAAACAAACAAACTAGAGATCCAAGGCCATTGAGCTTCATGCAGCACTCCCCAGTCTGGAGGACAGGAAGCTCAGCCTGTCCAAGGCCCTGCTGACAAGCTCAGGCTCAGATGCCTGCACAGTAGGGAGGCCTGTTTTTGTTTTACACAGCCAGGTTTAAATTGATTTGGTTTGGATACTTGGTTTCCTCCTACAACTGAAAAGATAATTAACAGGTGTAGAACTTTTGAATATGGACATTTTTATAATTTTTTTTAAAAAAAGATTTTAATTATTTATTTGACAGAAAGAGAGAGAGAGTACAAGCAGGGGGAGTGGCAGGCAGAGGCAGAGGGAACGGGTTCCTGCTGAGCAAGGAACCCAATGCGGGGCTGGATCCCACGGTCCTGGTCCTGAGATCGTGACCTGAGCTAAAGGCAGATGCTTAACCGACTGAGCCACCCAGGCGCCCCTGGACATTTTTATGATTCTTAATAAATACTGCCAAATTGCATTCTAAGAGGAATAACTATCTTTCACCATAAACTTTTTGGTGTCAAGTTATATATATTTTTTTCAGACAATTTTAATATATATATAATGCTTAGTTATTATTTAAATCTGTATTTCTTTATTTAGTTGAAAAGCTACCCACTCCTCCATCAAATGCTTCCACAAATGTATTTCATTAATTCATACTTACATGTTGAGATCTCAGACACAAAGATAATTCCTTCTCAGAGTTATCAGACAAGTTGAGACCCTTGTTTCATGCTCTCACAGCCCTCTGTCCATTTCCCATCTAACACTCATCATGCTTACGATTATTCACACACACACATATGCAAGAGTAAGACTCTTTGCTTAATACATATCTCTCCAGTAGTCTAAACTGTTAGCTCCATTACTGGCCAGAGCCACTATAACATTGCTCACCAATGCATTGCTCAGCAGCTGCCATGATGCCTGGTGTACTTAAGTCCTCAGATACAGAAATGTAGGATTGAAAGGAAAGCCAGGTCTGGCCATGTCTCAAGAGCTTTAAAATGTTCATAAAGTGAAAAAAGCAAGCAATCAAAGAATATACAGAGCAAGGTCTACTGTGGAAGTATTTGGATGCTGATAACTATTTGTACAAACATTTAAAAAAATCATGCTTTTGTCTTTAAATTAAAATATTCCTGATTTGCTACCAAATCATAATTACAAAAGAACATGCCAGTCAGATAAGTTACCTCTTCTTAATTTAACCAGATAAACTGTCAATATTGCCTATAAGATTCTCATTGTTCATATAACCCAGGATATAAAACTTAGTTGTTTTGACCACATGAAGTGAAGGTGCAGTCTTTGGACTTGGACACAGCATGGCAGCATTAAAGACTTTGCCTGTGGACTCAATTACCAGGGGGGTTGTCAAGTACCATTTTTCTACCTTACAATTTGGGTGAAAATAGGGCCAAAAAATGACTGTGTGTGTGTGTGTGTATAAATATATTAAAATATTGGCCTGTCTATGCATAGAATTATCTTTGGAAGAATACACAATAAATTGGTAACATTGATTGCTTCTGTGGAGAGGAACCAGTGGGAGGAAGAATTTGCATGCCTTTTGCACTTTCTGAATTTTGAACCCTGTGACAGCATTACTTACCAAAAATTATTTTAAAGATAAAACTGTCCCCCAACCCAATCATTTGACAAGTCTTATAAACACAGATGCCCCCTATACCAGTTTTCATAATAGTTAAAAGCTAGTATGTAATGAAGTGCTATTCAATATGTCAGCTTAGATGTAATGAGAATGTAATCTTCTGAGGAGGAAAGTAAAACTCGGACTGGTCAAGTATTTGGTGTGTCTCTCCCAAGTGGTCTGGGCATGATCAACACTCTCCTAGACAGGCTTTAGGTTACTTGAGTTCTTTTTGGAATATGGTCATGGGATCAATGAACTCAATGCTCTTGGTCTCTGTTCATGATTTTTCCACTGAGAGAAGGCCAAGGCTATCGAAGTTGAAAGGATCCTAGTGGAAACTGAAGAGTGTGATACTTGGGAAATATTATGCCTTTGTAGGAGTTTACAGTTCACATTCTACACTTGTTTCTAGACTCTTTGGGAGGAAACTCTATGTGTCAACTGAGAATATGACTCCAAATTCTCTCATCTGTCCCTGAAATCTAGATCTACACCTAAAGCAATAGAGATCACAGAAATGTTGAAAATTAGGGATTAGTAGGAATTTTCTTAACCTCATAATTTCATCACAGCAAATACCATAATTAATGGCGAAATGTCAGAATTATTCTCTTTCAAATCAGGAATGACATGAAGGAGACAGCCATTAATTCTCCTACTTGGGTACCTTGGTGGCTCAGTGGTTGAATGTTTGCCTTTGGCTTAGGTTGTGATCCCGGGGTCCTGGGATCGAGTCCCGCATCAGGCTCCCCACATGGAGCCTGCTTCTTCCTTTGCCTATGTCTCTGCCTCTCTCTGTGTCTCTCATGAATAAATACATAAATCTTAAAAAAAAATTTTTCTACTCAAAAATGTTCTGGCAGTACTAACTAGTATAGAAAGAACAGAAAAAAAAGTATAGAATAAAAAAGGAAGAAAACAAAGAGTAATTTTTCACAGATGGTGACTTTCTTTTTTTTTTTTTAATTTTTATTTATTTATGATAGTCACATAGAATGAGAGAGAGAGAGAGGCAGAGACACAGGCAGAGGGAGAAACAGGCTCCATGCACCGGGAGCCCGACGTGGGATTCGATCCCGGGTCTCCAGGATCGCGCTCTGGGCCAAAGGCAGGCGCCAAACCGCTGCGCCACCCAGGGATCCCAGATGGTGACTTTCTACATAGACACCTAAAAGATTGTATAGAACAAAGTATTGGAATTAACAAGAGAGTTTAGCAAGATTATTGAATTTGAATATATCTACTGAAAATTATCATTTCTAGGCACCAATGATAAATAGAAAATATAATCAGAAAAAGTATTTTCAGTAGTGTCAAAAAGACATCCATACTAATGTGAGAGAACAAGTATGAGTACACATCACACCTGAAATGAAGATTTGTTATAAAAAAGCACAGTCATCAAGATAATTTGATATACAGGTTGAGATAAGCAAACCAACAAAATAAAGCTCCAAGACAAAAATCACATATATATGGAAACCTGATATTTGACACTGGACTATGGGCACTAGGACAATGATCATCCATATGATTAGCCATTATGAGTAAATTACAAATTGGATCTTTACCTTAAAACATATGAAAAATCAATTCTTAAATGAATAAAGATGTAAATGTACAAGGCAAAGCTTGAAAACTACAAGAAGAAGAAAATGTAGGAATCTAAGTGTATGATTTTAGTATGTAATAATGGCACTGCTTATATGAAGTTGAAAAATAAAAGTAATATTGAGAGCTATATTCACACATAGGGTAGCTATAAAGAAATGCACGAGAATGATTAAACACCTTATTCAGGGTTGTGGGTACCTCTGAGGAAGGAAATTACATTGGAGATTATGCAGGGCACCTGAGCTGTATTTGCCATGTTTTATCTTTGCAGCTGGGTGATGGTTTCATGGCAGTTTGTTATATTATTTGTTATGTTGGAAGTTTTTTTTGCATGTCAGAATATTTTTACAATGAAGAAAAAAGATGCAGGCTGAAGGACACTAATTTCTAACGCAGCTTGAAGTATGAGAATACTCATTTCTTCCTAATTGTTTCAATTTGGTTCCTGAAGTCATTGGAAGAAAAGAGTAAAGATCATTCCATTAGGTTCTGGATGTTTTTTAAACATCAGACCTGTGGATAGGGAAGAGAGGTTGTTCCTGACCTGAGAATTCTACTGGTCCAAATTCCTACCCAATCTTCTGCAAAAATCTTCTGCAAAGTTCTAAATACCCAGGAAAAATTATTACTGTTGTATCAACAAGGCAGAATGTAGTTTGGGAGTTTTTATAAAAATGTTATATTTGAGCAAAAACTCTAACCTACTGGCTTCTAAAAAACGAATTCTATAGTAATACTTGGCTCTCATTTCAAACACAATATCATTTGTTAAGGGAACAGATTTCAGTGAGATTACCCAAAGGGCACATCTTATATCACAGAGGAGAGAACTAGAAAGAGGACCTGGAGGAGAACCCCCCTCCCCCCCACTTTCTAAGAAGAATTTCTACAAGTCTTTCTCATATTCACACATGGATCTCAAAGAGCAACAATTCCATTGGCTTTGGGGACCGGCATGTTATTTCAGATAGAAGATAGGCAAAATGTTTCTGACTGAACATGGCAACAGTTTCAACACAGAACAGAAAGACAAACAAAACACTTCCATGTCCCTCCATAGCCGTAAGTGATTATCTTGAACACTGCTTCACAGCTTACAATACCTTAATCAGCTCTTTTTCTCTATGGAGGTCCTCATGAAGTTCTGGAAGAGGATCTCTACTTTGTGCCTTTATAACTTGCAGCCTGCTTTTCAACTCCTTGATTTTCTTTTCACACTGGCCCCAAGTCTATTTGAAAACAGTATTAAAATTGGTAAGTACTTTGCTTTTTAAGAATGAATTGTAGAAACAGAATAACTCATTTAATCCACTCCAATAAGTGTGTTTTTGTAGATCTCACTGAAACCCAGTTTCTTGTCCTGAGAGGCCTTGTCTAAAAGCAGAGTATCTCTGGTATGGCTTTATGTGTGGCTCATTTCAAATTTTTTTTTTTTTAAAGCAAAAAAAGTAAAGTTTAATCCATAGGCAACTGAGCAATACTCAACAACAGTTCGACTCTAATGCCCACGAGCTACCCTTACTATTTTAGGGATGACTTCTTTAAAGCATATTCTAGATTTCATTAAAGGTATGGAAGAAAATGTATTTAACTTTGGGAGGCTTTACTTTCACAATAATGCATACCCTTGGCACTGTAAGACCCTAAAGTTCCATAAATAGCCTTAATAAGGTAAATATTCAGGTTGATTTTATAAGGCTTTCAGACATTAAGTTTGAGAAAGTTAGTGGTTTTTAGAATTTGCATACATGATGACAATGAAAACAGTAAAATAAATCAAATAGTAAGACTTTCTTAACACCTTTAACAACATAGTAAGCTGCAATTTCTAATCAAACATCTATTCCTAGGTTATATTCATTTTGATCTCTTATTTTCCATTTTAAACTCTGGTATTTTCTTCTGAATATAGGTTACAAATAATCTTTTGTATTAACGCCCAGTTTTAATGCCACAAAGTTACCTGTTTTACCTTGACTGTACTTTTATCATTAAGTGTAGGATATGCTTTTTAAATTAGTTATACTCCAATAACTTTGTGAATGAAAAAATGTTAAGAAAATAAAGAAAAAATAATGGAGTCATTCTTTCACTAATCCTCATCCAATTTCAGGAAAAATCACTTCCCCAAAGCAGCAATTCTGTCTGTAAATCTTTCCATGTCCAAAAAGAAACTGAAACAAAAGTGAAATTATGGGACACATATGATAGTTTACAAGATATTGTATGTTTTTAATAGCTCAACACTGGTAATACTTGCTAATTGAGAGTAAATTAATAGGCTAACATTAAAAATGTATACTTTAATAAATATATAAACAATTAGGTAAGCTTGTGAAGAAGCTGACAAAGATACATATATTAGGAGATACAAGTGTCCATCCATCTAAATTTTCTATATTTCTTTTTCTTTTCCTTCTTTTTTTTTAAATTCAAATTGTTTACTGTATAATTTCTCATGTGCCATTTTGGAAGTCCTTAATTGTAAAGACTATTCTTTTGTCTGATGACAAACAGCAGCCATACTGTCAGTGATTATTCTGGACCTCTAAGTTGAATAAGTTCAATTTCTTCTTGAGACACAAGTTTCCTTCTATATTTCTGAGGTAATGTTTTTATTATTTCTGCAGTGTCTGGTAGACCCTGATGCATTAGCAAATCTGGTAATTTACTTTTCTCAGAATGCTGTGAAATTGAAGAAGAGTGAGACGGTAGTCTTTTGATCTCAAAACTTCTGATATGTTAGGTTTAGGATTGTCTCTTCTGTCAGGGAACCTTATAAATAGAGTATGTGGCCTGACTACCTGAACTACCCTGCTGGCGGACGCCGTCTTGCTGCCCTTCTGCTCATTTCAACTATTGAGTTGACTGGCTTTTGCTTCAAAATATTTCTTCTTCCCTCCCTATATCCTCCATCTATCTAATCTTACGTGTGTATCAGTTTTGGGAAAGTTCATATTTTTGGGGGAGGAGTTCACATTTAAAAGGTTCTTGTTAAGGATTAATTTTTAACATTTACAGTTGTGGGCACACACTATAATAACATCACAAAGCAAAAGCACTCAAGCCCTTCGCTTGTCTTCTTTTATAATGTCATCCCTCTCTTCTTTCTTCCGAGACATAGCTTGGCCTTAGTGACCCCTTTCACTGTGAAACTTCACTAGACATTTCTCACCACTGCTCTGATTGCTACCTTCTGCTTAAAAGCCCTTTATAGTTAACAAAGCATTCTCAATTTTATTATCTCATTGTAATTATAATAATCTTAGGAGACACACAGGGTTTCACACTTTAAAATGTGAAAATTGGGGCCCAGAGAAAACTGGCCAAGAACATGTGGTTGGAAGTGCATCAGTCAAGGTTGACCTAAAGGTGCCGTTCAGGCCCCGCTCCCCACCTCTGCAATACCATTCTTTCACACCATCTATCTTCCTTTAACCTTATATTACTGATAAAACAATTGCCTGCATTTTCAAGTTCAGAATGTTTATAATGGGTTCATCAGGATAAGTTTCTACTCCTGAGGTTACTTTTAGTAACCTCACCTGAGTACAACTGATACCTAAACACACCTAGGGTGGCCCTATTCCCCGGTAACACAGAATTCACATAAGGGGAGGTCACTTGTCTAGCAACATCAACTCTCTGGAGCACAAGAAGAAAGTGGAGAGAGAAACAAAATAGTCCTCGTTTCTCCTTCCAAACCATTAACTACATTTACCACATTTTACAAACAGGGCAAAGTGCTCAACCAGTATTTTCCTAGTTAATGAACTTCACAGAGCCCATATACCAAACAAAATTCGGATGCTTTATTCATAGGAGAAATGTTCAGGCCCTAACTCAGCACATATTTATTATGTACTCAAAAAATTTTTCTGTGATAAGCTCAGTTATCTGGTTTTGGTCCACGTACAACAAATTTTAGGAGGGAGAGTGGGCTATAAGGAGTAGGTATGCTCAGAGAAACAAAAAATTAAACATAAAGCACTTTAAATAACATTTAAAGAAAATAAAAGAAAAACTGCAAAATTACTCTGAGAGCATAGTTGTGTAGGGCCTTTGGTTGAAAGCAGCTCAAAGTCACGAAGAAGGCATTGGTACATTTTCGTATTAACTAACTGATAATTTTTCCCAATAATGACTCAGAATAAAGCATTTGGGTTCTTAAAAATATAATCATAAATTATCTGGGAAATTCCTACACGTGCTTACATGGAAAAGCACATTCTCTGATGACAGAAAAAAAAGGAAGTATGGCTGTGTTTATTTTCATACACTACAGCCATGGGCAGACCATATGTGGAACATTAGCTTTGTAAACAGAACTTCCATGGAACACCATGAAGCTTCCTATGTCGTAAAAGTGAATATAAAATAGAACCAAGTATTCTAGGCTAAACATTGAGCTTTTTCAATGCTCTATTATTCTTTTATATTAAGTAACTAGTGTGATTCATGGATTGGTAGGACTCAAGGTCCCTTGGTAAACTTACAAGACTGTGCTTTCCTAAAATCACTCCCATTTTTGCACCGCAAACTAAAATTCTATGTCCTGTATTTGAAGTCCTGAAGAGTACATAGTGAGTTTACCTCTACATTGCTCTGCAACTGTTGAATCATCTCGCCTACTTGGAGCTTTGTGTTCTCCCAGTTGTCCCGAATTTGACTTATTTTCTTTTCGATCAAGTCTTGAGTTTCCAGGTTAGCTGTGTTCAGTAACTTCTCCCCAGCTTCTAAAGTTAGTTCAAAGGTAGTCTGCTGCCTCTGGAAATGAATTTCTTTGCTCTAAAAAGAAAAAAGGTAAGTTCCTTAAGCCTCTGATATGATCAAAATTTGATTGTGTACATTTGTGAATATTTCCTTCAGAGCCCTTTCTACTAATAAATGTTAAATTGGATATACATTAGGCAAATCTGATTAGAATGTGTGCAACATCCACACATACATTAACATCTAAGGCTAATGTTTTATACTACTATATGCTATACTAAATAATGTGCTCTTAAATAATTTCCAATTGTTGTTAAGGAATAACATTCTTAGTGTAATGATCAGAAGCATAGAGAAATAAAGAATATACTTCAAAGAGCCTATAAGATTAATAGATCCAAGAGCATTAAGAAAATAGAGTATTAGACCTGAAATTAAGAGCAGATACCTATTACTATGGTGTAAGAGTAAGCTTACTCCTAACCCACAAGAGTAGAATATGCACACTATGCTAAACAAATATAAAAGGAGAGAACAAATAAAAAAGATAAAATACAAAAAATATACACTTAAACTTATTATGGGCACTTAAACATATGCACCAATACTTGCATTAAAGGGACAGCTTTAAAATAGTCCATTTGACATCATGCAGACTCTTCTTTAAAGGGACTGAAATTACCTATTTACACTACTTACCATAAGCCTCACTATTTCTGGATAAATAGATGTAAGATCGGGTTTCTGGCACCATGGGGCTGGGGACAAGGCTGGATACGGTCATGGTAACCCTGCCTAGCTGCTCTTCCCCTGCAGAGAGTACACCTGAACCACACCTTAAAACTTGAGGTGAATGAACGTCTTCCAAAGAGTGACCACCCTGCAAGTCCATGCACTACCATTGCGCATGCGCTACCTTCAGCTCCCGGATCAGCCTCCTAGTTTGGTGGAGGCCATAGCAGTCCTGGCTCTTCACGGCAGACAGCAGGTGGCAGGTGTCGGTGAGGAAGCGGAACAGGTTGTCCACAGAGGTGGTGAAGTACTGCCACTGCCCCACCAGCCCATCGATGTCACTCTTCCTCTGCTGGATGCGCTGGGCAGCATTCTGCCACTGGTCCTTCAGCTTCGTGAACTTTGAAATAAATTCCGGTCTTGGGAAAAACAAATAGTTAGAGAATCCTAATATCAACACGTAGGAAAAAAGAAAAACTACCAATGCATAATAGAAACTCACATTTGCTGTTTATCTGCACAGTTTACGTGGGGAAAAAACCTTCTTAAAATCTGAGTACATTCAACTTAAATATGTCGGGAAACTCAGGGCCGGAGCAGCATGTGGGTGGCAAAGGTGTTTAGCAGGAGATATTTGCACAAGACCTGGTATATTGTGTCAGCATGCACAATTGCATTCCTCAAACAAATTTAAGCTGTTTTAACTTACATTATGCCAAATGCTGTGTGGAAAACAGAATATTGGACCAATGGGAAGTGATGAGCCGATGCTGTATAACATTATCTATTACCTGAAGGTTGTACTTGACAACATTTCAGCAATAAAGAACATGCTTTCCACAACTACTCAACTAGTCTTTTCCAGATAAATAACCCACCACATGATAAATAATGCCTTTTATTTATTATAGGAAAAGTCATGCTTTGCTGCACTGATCAAATCAAAACTAGTTTTTGTCCTAGAGCAAGGATCTGGCTTGAATTTATAACTTCAAAGCTACTAAGAAATGCACTTCATATTTCTTAGTTATGTTCAAAGAAAATTCAGAGGTATGGTGTATTATTGATGGGGAAGAAAAGCAATAGCTATCAGGACACTAAGAGAAGCACTGAAGAGGTCAGGCTGCCTGAGGGCTCTGTCTACCATGTGTACCAGCTGTGCAAGCAGGTTCAGTTGTTGTCACCACGCTGGCGTAAGGGACTCTGGTTAGCCTCACTGGCATTGCCAGTGATGCCAACACCATCTATGTTGCACAGAGAGAAAGAAATCCTTTCTTTGACAAATATGTGTCATAGCTATCTGCTAGGAAGAGTAGCACCTTAAGAATTATTTTTTAAATAGCAAAATGTCATGAGGCTGAAGATAGAGAGGAAAAGACTACAGAGGAATCCTTTGGGGTAAAAACTTTCATTAACTATACTTGGTGAGTGGGTATTTGCAAAGCACTCATCTACTGTCTCCTAAGGCCACCCCTCTTACCAGCAAGTCCCCAATCCTAATAGTCAGGATACTGGCCCCATGATGGTCTATCAACCGACATGGCTGCAAGTCACTGAAGTGGTCAAGATCCATGTGGTGGGAGGTCAGCTCTGGCTGTGTTGCCCTCCACACACATGCAACCATCATAAGCCCCAGACAGCTTACCTCTTCTCTATCTCTGTTGTGTCCAAGAGTTGTAAGCACTGGGTAACATAAGAATCAGCAATTGTCTGGTTTATAGAAACTTCAGCTTCTAACATCTGTATATGGGTAAAAAGAGAAAATAATCAGGTGGAAGATATCTTTTTACCAACCTGAAACTTGTATTTCCTATTAATATCTAAGCTCATAGAGGACAATGAGGGGATTAATTTTCAAATTATTGGGGCCTAACTGCAAAAGATGCTCAATCATTACATCAATATCACCTGTGAATATAATCTCAGAAGCAAAAAGGCCTAATAATAACTACATCTAATGCCCATTGATAGGGCATTTACCACTTGTTAGGCACTGTGTAAAACATGCATGTCTCACTTATTCCTCAGCCTGCAGAACTACTATTATCATACCCATTTAAAGATGAGGAAACTAAGCTGTAAAGAGGTTTGGTAATTGATTAAATTCAGGGTGTTTTGGTTCAGTGAACTTCATTTTCATTGGAGGACATTAATGTAACAATGTAGGCTTAAATCAGTTACATTAAAAATTACAGTGACCTAATCATGTATACTTTCAAACTGCAGTATCTGCTTATAACCACCAAGAGTATTTCCAAATGTCCATCAGCACAAGCATGGGGAAATTCCTCTGTCCAGTCATTAATGCTGCAATGATAATTATATCAGGTACTTCAATATTATAGAGAATTATTCAGTAAAAGTGCAAAGATGAAGTATTTTAGTCTGCTCTTGGTATGTTTGCATTCTATGGAAGCAAAGTTGTGTGAGAAGTTTCCGCCTACTACAGAAAATCTAGGAGTTCTCTCATTAATAAAATAGAGCATTAAAACAAAATGTTGACATTTATGAAATGTGTGAGAATGTTACAAATAATCAATTGACAAATGAATCTGCCTAAAGACATATAATCAGTATTTAGGGATTGATAGATTTTTTTTTTCTTTTTTAACGATTTTATTTTTTTGAGAGAGAGCAAGAGAGTACAGGGAGGGAAAGTGGCAGAGGGAGGAGAAGCAGGCTCCCCACTGAGCAGGGAGCCTGACATGGGGTTAGATCCCAGGATTCTGAGATCATGACCTGAGCTGAAAGCAGATGCTTAGCCGACTGATCCACCCAGGCACACAAGAATTGATTTAAATAAAATACAATGAGTATCTATCTTTCCCGGACTCCCACCCCAGGATGAGGGTACAAACTAGTAGAGAGCAAAGATTTACCCCATATGTTTTCTGCTGTTCCAGGAGAGCTGGGAGGCTGTTGCCAATATTCACCTTGAGGGTCTCTTCTATCTTCTCCAAAAGCTGGACCCATTTTTCACAGCAACAAAGAAACTTTTCATTCAGTCCAATTCCCTGAAGCTCACTACAAAGGTTTATAAACAAACAAGACACAGCCATAAAACAGTGATGTTACTGAGCTCAAGCTGATGATTTTAGCCTCACTGAAACAGAATGGTAGAGATGGGATGCTCTGACCTGCAGCGTTCCAGTGCTGTTGCTGTGGCCCGAATCCATTGTCGGTTCATATTTTGTAACGTCTTTACAGCTATGTCACTAAGTGGGAGCTTGAGGCTTACTGCATTCAAATGTTCAACATCAGGTGATTGGGCCGTCAGTGCCAGCACATGTTTCTATTAAAAAAAATTATATTTCAGGTTTCTGGAGGTCAGTAAGATATCTAGAGGATGAAAAAGCCTCAGTGATGCTGCAGACCGTTCTTCTCCCAAAAATGAGGGAAAATTGGGGCCTAGGTAGGTATATGACTTGCCCACAGTCAAATAGCCAGTTAGTATGAGAGCTGGACCTGAACTCTAATCTCCTAATCCTGTGGCTTGTCTAGGACAAGTGCACATGTGGGCAGCACCTGAATGGCCCAGGAAATAGAAAATGAAGTCAGATTTTGTCTTTAAGGCAGATAGAAATGAGTTGTTGTTATTTTTTTTTTTAAGGACTCATTTAGAACCTTAAGAGTCCCATGCAGTCTGCCAATAACTTGACCTTCAATATATCGTGCAGTTTACCTACAGATCCAATGAAAATTTAATCCTTAATTAAAATAACCCCAGTAAAGCATGGTACTTAAAACATTCATATTTTGATAGAATATGAAATCATGAGAAAGCAAACTCAGCAAAATGTTATTTTTAAAATACTCCAGGGACAGCATCTAGGTCAATGATACGCTAAGCAAATGTCCTTCACAATATCCACATTATCACTACAGAACTTTGTCATAGTAATCTAGGTGAGGGTCAGCAAGTTTTTTCTATAAAGGGCTAGATCATAAATATTTTAGCTTTTATGGGCCATATGATCTTTGTTATAACTACTCAGCTTTGCCCCTGCAACATGAAAACTCCCATAGACAGTTAATAAATGGAAGGGCATAACTGTGTGCCAATAACATTTTATACAAACACGTGGAAGACAGGATTTGGACAGTGTGTCATAGTTAGCTGACTCTTGATCTAGGTTATGAATATTGGTCCTTCAGAGTTTGTAGGATCCAAATTTTGTTGTTACTTATACTAAACTTACTAACTTAATAAAGAAAGAAAAAGAAAAAGAATAGAATTAATTTAATAGGATTTTTACTTTTGATCTTCAGCCAACCAGAAAAATTCAATTAATCACAACAGCCAATTCCTAGATTATTCCAGTTCACTGAAGCTAATTAGTAAAGATGTCAAACATTTATTTATTTATTTATTTTTGGATGTCAAACATTTTTAAATCTACTAAATTTACTGTGGCATATTACTAAAATAGATCTCTCTGTTGTCATACTTTTGTAGGCCTTAGGGCAAATAAGGTCAAGAATGAATGGCATATAACTGACTGTGCTGAGTGAAGATACAAATAGACTCTATAACTTGACAGTCATTAGCTTATTTTTTTATCCTATGGTTGAGTCTAAGCCCTAAGAAAACACAAACATTGGCAATACCAGGAATAAATCAGGGTTTTCTTCTTTTTCTTGATGGTAAAGTTTATCCAAATTCTCTTCTTCACGCATAATGAGACCTTTTAAAGATTCCAACCGGTCCCCAAAATCCTTGAATTGTGACAGAACAAACTAGAACAAGAGAAATTTTTATTAGAAATTTTCACATGCATATATAACAGAATTAAACATAGTTTTGGAAGCTGATAAAAGCTCAAGATGTTTTCAATGCCTAGCAGCTCATTATTATCTTGACTATCCAGAGATGAATATTCAGAAGACTGTTTGTTTTTACTCTGTGCCTCTGGCAAAGCACTGAGCCTTCAGGGATGACTGGATCATCTCCTTGAAGGGGCACAGAGAGGAGGGTTGGTCTCTGCTCTCTCGGCTTGCTAGTTAAATGTTCTCTTCCTGTTGATATTGAGATGTGACATTGCAGTTCTATGGCCTTCTATGCAGCTTTTTGACAGCTCATGCAGTAAAGGTTTTTCAAAAAGTGAATAAAGAATACAACAGATGTTTAAGCTTTAAGCAGCTACTTCTATGACTTGAGTACCCATTTGGAGATCCAAATAACTGAGATCTGAACAGTGAAAGGAATACAATATCTTACTTCTTAAACTAACATGTTCAATGAAGAACAGATGTTTGCTTAAGATCTGCCCATTGCACATGGGATTGAACAGTCATGTCAGGGCATCTTGATGTTCAGGGCATCTTTATTCTGTAGTTTCCCTGAGGAGCAGTCCATAAAGCACTAAAAACTATTACTTCATAGGTTATAAGGAATTGAGGGTAGCTTGCAAATGTTCAAGATTATAACTTGAATGGAAAAATGAAATGAACCTCAAATTCATTAGCTTTCACAAGTAGCATCTTTTCCAAGTAAGAAGCCCTCTGCAGGGAGTGAAGTTGTGTAGAGAGGGGCACGTGGGAGCTAGACTCTGTGAGTTGTGTAAGTCGATCCAGGAGAGTGGAATTCTGGAGAAAGGCTTCTTTTGTCTTCTGTACATCCTGCTGCAGCTCCTGGAGAAGAAGCAGTGATCAGAAAACTCCTCCTCCTCCTATCATAACAAAAATTCTCATCCCTGCTACTCTATCAACACCCAGAAGAATTTCTGCCCGAAAACTGTGAGCGTGGCTTTCTGTTATTGTTTAAAGAGCTGAAAAAGCTAAGCATTCCTTATATGATGCACATCACTGGTGATCTTCTCAAATAGTTCAGAGCTAAAACTGACAAATGATCAACAGAGTTGGGGCTTCCAGTGTACAGAAACTAGGGATCACCTGGGTAGATTCCGATGTTTTGTGTCTCTAATTACCGAACATTTTAGGAATCTGCTTTAAGGCTAATTTTATGAATCAGTGCAACTCAGTTTTCGGTCTGAGACTTTGTGACAAAAATGAATTCATTTGCAGAGACTATAGAATATTATTAATCAAAATGATTTTAGGGCTACTCTATAAATACAATGTATGTGAAATTTGTTTGTTTCAACAACAAATTAGGTAGAAGTTGATTTGAAATACAGATCACATTTGTTGGATTGTCTAAGTCAATTAATACTTTTTGATTTGACCTATAGTATCAGAAGATACACAATGGATCTGGTGACCCAGTTTAAAACTAGAGAGCATTCACTTTCTGGGCACTCATTAATATAATAGGATAAAATTACAGAGGAAATCACACAACTCTTAAATATAGTCTAAAAATCATTATACCCACAGAAAAGCCATATTAATGTGGCATGAGTCCATAATTATTTCTAAAGCAAGAGATTCAACATCTATTATTCTTAAAAGATCATACTCTGTTGAACTACTTTTGCCTTTATCTGAGACCTTGCATGAGACTTTTTTTTTGCTTTAGAGATTTACCTGCTAGAATGAAAAGGGAAACTTAAAATGAGGTATTATCAGATGCCCTTGACCCAGCTACCTGCTGCCTAGACCTCGCCTCAGAGCTGCTACCTGGCCCTCCCAACCCTGCACATCCCAGGCTTGTTTATGTCCTACACGGCCTGCTCATGAGCCTCTCCTACCCACTTCTTTGTCCCTGTGGTCCCTCTAGTTCCTGGGTCATGGCCCTATCAATTGGGCTGCTTTGACCTTGGTTTTCCCAATGGGCTTTGCAACTACCTTTACATCCTGCAGGGCTGAGGTCAGGATCTCTGCCAGGTTGTTTCCAGACATGTTGATGTTTTCAAGCTGTTGGTACTTTGCTTCCTGCTGCTCCAGCCTTGCTGCGACTTCGGTGTGAGCACTGTTATAGGCCTTCCAGAGCTGTAGCAGACTCTGGGCCTTCTGCAACTGCTCCGCGATGTCTTGGTTTACCTGGGTCCACCTGTCAGAACAACATGAACAACAGGACCTAATATCATCCTTCCCCTCACAGTGAAAGCATAACATGCACATATTCTATCAGTAAGTCAAGAGCAAATGGGTTGTTAAGAAGACACAAATGCCTTTTAAAATTAATGTATCACCATTATATAAACAGAAGTCCAAATTAGGATATTTAGTTGGCTAAATATCAAACTACTATCAACAAAACTTACCAAATTTGTGATTTGCAAGATCTATTGTATTATGAATGTCTGTTAGGCAAAGACAAAGTATTGCATTGCATGCCTGATGAAACCTTCTCCACATGGGAGGGGTCATTGAATAGGCCTTATTTAAATTACATTTACGCCAAATTTATTATTTTCTAATAACAAAAGCAACGTGTTCCTTATATAACAGCAGGAATAGGGGAAATCACTTTTTACTCTACATATAGACTCTGGTACCTTTCTTTCCCATGTGACTTAAAAATTTCCCCATGTTATTAATAAAAAACAAATAAGTCTAATTTTAAATGGCTATACATAATAGTCCTTAATGGTCTGGTTTCTGTTTAATTACCAAATTCAATTTTTAGCATGGATACTGATGTACTTTTCAATTTTGCTTTCAAATTGTATGCTTAGATACAACTTTGTTCAAAAGACCTGTTCCTGCATTTCAAGACGTTGGCCTTAAACCAGATTTCTGAGAGAATTACTTAGTCAAAGAATAAAACTATGCAAACATTTTTAAGGTTATGAGTATATATGTGGCCAAACTAGCTTTCTGGAAACATTATAATATTTACACTTTCACCTGCAGCCTATGAAAATGCTTGTTTCAGGATATCCTTAACCCTGCTAAATGGATGGAAAAGGTGAAAAATGGCACAAATGCCTTATTTTTATGGATTTCAATAGCCTATTCAGAACAGTGCTTTTTCTTAGCAATACTTTTCCTACTTACCAATATAATATACACTCAATTATAAAATAAAAAGAAAACAAAACCCCACAAAACATGTATGTTTAAATCTATCTATCCCTACATCTGTATCTAGCTTATTGACCTACCTTCCTACCTACCTACTTGCCTACCTAGCTATAAAGAGAAAGTAAAAAAACCTCTTGACATCTCATTAATTTATAGACAACTACCATTAGCATTTTGGTGCTATTTTCTCCAACCTTTTAACCAGCCTTCTGATATACTCTTGTGCCAACAACTGAACGTGTTTGTGCAGTGGCAACTGAATCCGTTTAATTAGCAAACTGCGCCACCAAGTTTGAAGGGTGGCCCCAATGCTAGAAGTGGCATCAGATACATGTCTATGTTCCTCCTTATTCCCCTCTTCCCTTCTCCCAATAAGGACTGGATCAAGAGCTGATGATGCCACTGTAGGGCATATACACTTGATGTCCCTTGTTCAAAGTGGATTTACCAGAGATGCTGAATCTGTCTTCGTCCCTGGAGCAAATTATCTTTAGGCCGAATTTCATGTCCTACTCAACAGAATAAAAGCCTTGCAATTAACTAGGGCCACACTCCTTAGAAGGAGCTTCCTACCATAAGCAGTTCATCCAGGAATTCCTTCCAACCTCAGAAATCATCTCCCCAAGAGGAATAATAACAGCTTCGTTCTTCCAGCTTATGTTTCCAGTAAATCAGATTGTTCTTCTGACTACTCTGTAGCCTGTCTCTGCCTGGGATTTTTGTGTCCCTGGGGATTGCAATGAGCAGTTAGTCTATGCCCTCCGAAAGTGGCTACCCTGGTTACAAGGCAAGAAATAGCCTTCACAAAATCAAATCTTACTTACACTAAATGTTTTGAAGCAGAAGAAACCAAAATAGCATAAAACCAGTTATCTCTGATGACTAAGATGACTTTACAAAGCCTATGTCACTTCATTCGCCATATGTTGTTGAGATAAAGATATCTGCTCTGTTATTCAAACTGTATCTTAAAGCATACCTGGCATGAGTATCTTGGCATTTCTCTTCAATTATTTCAGCAACCGAGGGGCAGTGATCTTTGAGTTTTCTAATCACCTCCTGCAGTTTCTCCCAACTTCCTTCACTGCTCTCAGCTTCATCTTGAAGAGACTGAGAGAAAGAGCAGGTACATTCTTTCAGAATGGCCTGGCCACATCCAAAGGAGGCAGCCACTGATCAACACTTGCTGCTGTATCACAATGCTATGAACACTCAAACCTCAATAGGACTGGGAAAAATTACTAGAAATGTGAAGAAGAAAACTGAGATGACATTCTTTCATTTGAGACAGAACTTTAAAACGTATACTAACATACACATACCCCCCAAAACCCAAAACAATGAAATAATATGGACATGAACAATGACGAAAAATCCACTGCATCCTATTACAAAATTTCACTCATCTGGCTCATGTGATTCATTTTGGAATTCCATGTTACACTTTTGATGCTGCTGTTTAAAATACTGTTTTGTGCTTCTCTGTGGATAGCACAAAGGCAATTGTGTCAATTTCTGCGCTTGATTCCCCTGGAGATTTTCTGCCAACAGTGTACTGGGCCAAGATCTGGTTAATTTACCTGAAGGTTCTGAACCTGGCATCTTAAGGCCTCTAATGATAAAACCACAGGCTTGCTGTGGTCCATGCAGTACCAGAATCGGATTGTCATCATCGTCACTTCCTCATACAGTTTATCATAAACCTTCCACTCCTGTAAAACAGACTGCATGGAGGTCTTGAGTTCATTGACCTATATGAGAAGTGGAAACATATTTAGAAAATCATTAAGAAGAGCCTCTCTCAATCATTTTGTCCCCTTCTAAGGATTCCACTATGGTATCTGATTTAGGCATTTCAGTTTGAGACCACTGGGGGAGTTGCAAACATTTCAATGACAATCTGTGAGCTTTCGATCTTGGGCAAGTTATTTAACCCCTGAGTTGGTTTATTTTTTCTTTTATTGCTTGTGCTTTTGGTGTCATATCTAAGAAACTATTGCCTAATCCCATCATAGAGATTCAGGCCTAGGTTTTCTTCTAAGAGTTTTGTAGTTGTAGCACTATCTTTGATCCATTTAATTTTTATATATGGTGTGAAGGTAGAGGTTCATCTTCATTCTTTTGAATGTGGATATACAGCTCTTCTAGTACCATTCTTTGGAAAGACTATCCCCCGACCTTGGAACTGTCTTGGCATCCTTATCTAAAATTAGTTGACTATACTGTGAGGGTTTATTTCTGGGCTCTTAATTCTATCCAATTTATCTACATGTCTATCTTCTATGGTAGTACCACCTGCATGTTTTTTTTTTACTTTCATTAACTCAAGCTTTTTTACCCCAACATTTTAATTATAATTCATTGTGTTGTGACTATCTGTTCAAGTATATTTCCTCTAGTAGCCTGTGAGTTCTTTGAGGGTAGGGCCCACTTATTTTTTTGTTAATCTTTGTACTATGGGCAGTGAGCATAGTGCCTCATAGAAGATATGTTTAACAAACAACTTACACAAGATACGTGAAGCTCGTCTCTATTTTCCTGACTAAGTTATGGGGCAGAAATGAGGCTGATAGTCACCTATGAATTTCACTCATACAGGTTATTCCCAATTCCTTCTTGGAACAAATGGTCAAAAGCAGATTTTAGTAGATAACAAATATATCCACAATAAGGACCTCTACGAAGTATGGACACACCTCTATAATTGGCTAGTATTTATAGTTTCCCCCTCCGTTTGTGGGGCACCATCAAAGCTGTAATATCTAGAGATGCCTGTTTTTGCTTTTTTGGTGCTCTACTCCTGGAAGGGCTAAATGCAGACTTTAACGTGTCTTTCATAAAATGACCAGACGTCTTCTACACTCTTTCTCTTTACTTTCTCCTCACCACATGCTATGCTTCTTTACTGCCTCTGGAGTTCTATATATGCTGACCATGCTTCTAGCTTAATAGAGGCTATAGGAGACAGGATCACTCTCTCCCTGAGTCACCTCCCTGGACATGCTTTTTCTTAGCTGCTCCTGTGTATCTGGTTAGGAAATGGTACCAGATGCTCTGTTGGGTTGGAGGGTGGAGACATTTCTGTCTGTGAATACATTAGACAAAACAAAGATAACCAAATGGATTTCTAGCCTGCCAATGGTTTTAGAATTGTTGGCTCTACTGCTAATTATCCAGTGCAAACAAAACAAAACAAAATAAAACATGGGATTTGAAATGCTTTTCCCTACTTCAGTATTTCTCTGAGCAATTTCTCAGTTTTCAGCATGGCATGAGTTTCTGTGATTACACAACAACAGAGAAAGATGAAAGAATATATGAAGAGAAATAGTATACTTCAAATGAGTTCTATCTAGTACCTGGTTGATAACAGTGCTCCTTTTTTGAAATAACCCATCAATTCTGGATGCTGTGTCTTCTAATAGTGGCATTGTCCCACTCTCCGAAGTCAGGTAACTTTGTCTCAACTCATCCAGGGCTTTGGATTTAATTGCAAGTTGATTTTCTATATCCTGGAAGGGCAAGAGGGAAAGGTTTTCATATGCACAATATTATAGAACAATAAGATATAAGAGACAGGTTATTGACTTTTTCAAGTAAAAATGCCATTGGAGTACATAATTAAATAACATGACACCTAAAGACATTTTATTTTATTTTATTTTTTTTATTTTATTTTTATTTTTTTTTCCTAAAGACATTTTAATGGCAATATATTCAATTCAATTTTTGTAATTATTACAGTATGAGTTCTTACAATAATTTCAATTATTACTTGGATCTAGATTTTAGAAGAGTCTATATATATATATATATATATATATATATATATATATATAGTGGTATAGTAGAAAGAATCCAGGAGATCTGGTCTCCATTCCATGTCTGCCTGGTACTGGCTGTCTGACCAGACATTAAGTCATTAAACCTCCAAGCCTCCATTTCCTCATCTGGAAATAGTGATGGCACCGCATGCTGTGGCTAGTTTAGAACTAAAGTGAAACCGGGGCGGTCTGTGGGGGATGGTACAGCATGGACCTATGAAGTGTAGGCTTCCGGTCAGGAGGTATATTGATTCTGAGGTGGCTGTAAGAATTCTAAATGGAAACGGCTAGTGGGTACTTAGAAACAGGGCAGGATGGCTTGCAAAGATCTCTTATAATGAGTGCTGCTTATACACCATGCCCAGTACTCTTCTGTAACCTTCTCAGTAGAACTGGGGTGTGAACTGGCCTTACAGCCCCAATGGGGAGTGCAGCCATGCCCTCATGCAGTAGGTGCAGAAGCAGCCTAACCTGTGCCATGTAGCTATAGGGACGGCTGAATTGTTTTCAATAGGGAGTGACACAATCAGGGCGGTAGTCGAGGAGAATTAATCTACAGTTGGGTGAGGGTATCTCCAAGGCTAAGTGACCTGGCAAATGAAAACTGAACAAAACAAAGGGCATGGCCAATAGTTTTCAGCTCTAATGTGATTTAGGCAGTGGTTGCAAGGACATGTCATGTAGTAGGTAACAGAAAATTATTTTCCTCTGAAGAAGCAGAATGAAATACTAATAATGGAAACCTTAGAATAATTTTGTAAATATTGGGTAAGTTCATAAAAAAAACACAAAAATCAGAAAACATCAAATCAAAATTTCTTTTGAATGTTTTCTTTCAGGAGTAACAGTCAAGTCTTAAGAACAACAATAACTGAAAAGACCTTGTTCTTCTTGTCATAAAAAAGAGAGCACTTTGTAATTTTGTAGAATCCATGGATAATTATCTACTTTACATAACAAAGTAAGTACCTGGGGGTTTGGAAGAGACCCTCAGAAAGTACAGCTACTTGCCCTACTCCTTGGGACAGAAGCAGCGACTAAACAACACGGCCATGTAACCAGCCTGACCTTGTGTGGGGACAGGAGCCATGTGCCTACTCACCTGACAATCCAGGAGCATCTTCTGCACTGAGATCACACTTCCAGGTTTTTGTAAAGTTTTCAGTCTCTCCTCCTGCGCCTCCATCCAGTTGTTCAAAATCTGTATTTTGTTTTCATTCTCACTGATACTTTCCAAAAGTTGTTCTAAATGTTGTATCTGTAAGTTATAAATAAGAAAATAAAACTTTATTTTATATATTTTTAAAGGTTTTATTTATTTATTTCACAGAGAGAGCACAAGTACAGAGAGTGGCAGGCAGAGGAAGAGGGAGAAGCAGGCTCCTCACTGAGCAGGGGGCCTGAGGAGGGGCTCCTTCCCAGGACCCTGGGACTGTGACCTGAGTCGAAGGCAGACACTTAACCGACTGAGCCACCCAGGTGCCCTTAAACCTTTATTTTAAACCACATGCTTTAAAATGTAAATGTCATGACAGTTACTTTTAAGAAAATAATTTTGTTTCTTCTCAGATTCCTTAATATTTAGCATAAGATTTCCCAATAACTTTTGAAATAAAGATTCATAAATTAGGAAACAGAATTAAAATCCCCTTTAACATATGAAATGAAAGCTAACCTAAGAAAGCTGGCTGTTTTGGAGTTCCATAATACTTATCTGAAATAAAATCCTGTTGCTAACATTCAATATTTTTCCATTGCATTACCTATTGATATACCTATATAGCTCTTTTAAGAAAACTTTCTTTCCTGAGATATTTTCCATTAGAGTGGCTTAGAAATTAAGTCAATATCAAAAATATCACAAATAATCAATTTAATAAAATAATGACTGTTTTTAGTGTCTATAATTCTTCTCATTTCTATGCTCATGATTTTTATTAGGTTACAATCACAGTACCTGTAAAGTTTCATGTGCCTTTTCCAATATATCAGTCATAGGCACTTGCTCGGCTGGTTGACATAGGCATAGACATTAATTTAAAAGGCTGCCCAATATTTTATCAAATGGGCACAGTATAATTTGATCAATTATTCCTCTATAGTTGGAAATGAAGGCATTTTGTGTTTTATCAGTATAAATAATGTTGAATTGAACACTTTGTGTGATTATTTTTTCATTTTTTGAAGGGCTATCGATTTAAGATAAATGTGTAAGAGGTGGCACGGCTAGGTTAAGAAATAAGGTGATTATTCTAGTTCTTGAAATTTTCTGAATTTTTCTTTCCAAAAAATATGTAAGCCATTATCTACATATGAATGGGATAGCTTTAGTTTTTATCTTTTCTCACTAAATTTTTCTAATTTAGTATTTACTAATATTATAAATATTAGTATATTAGAAATATAGTGTTAATAATGTTTATTTTGAATGCCTGATAGTTAAAGTTGGAATCTTTCCATGCTGATTTGCTAATTATAAATTTTCTTTTATAAATTCTCTTTTCATGTTCTTTGTCCATTCATGCACTTGAATCTTAATTGTATAAACCCATTTGTATGCATTCTTTACACATAAAGAAATCAACCAATTGTTACTATTATATATAAGTACTGAATATTTCTCTATGAATAAGTTTTCTTAGTATTTTCAGGGTCATGGAATGAAAATCTACCAAAAGGCCACATACATTTTTCTTCCTTTTCATAATCTTTTCAATGCTGTAATAGCTTTGCCACTTTTGAACATTTACTTTCATAGAAAATGTCAAAATCTCCGACCAGTTAGTAGTCTCACATAACACTTGACAACTTCTTAAATAAAGTTTCTCCTCTTCACTTGCCTAACTCAATTTCCCACTCAGAAATCTCAAAGAAATAAGAATTTCTTCATTCTCTTATAGGTACCAGTGGAGAATGCCAGACCACATGCTTTATAAAAGGGCTATAAAGGAGAGGATTATTAGGCTAAACTGTAAATTAACCATGTGAATGTCTTCTCAAATTTTTCAGAAAGTGGTATTTTGCAAAGGCCAAATCACACAAAGTGTGACACATGAGCACACCTTTCTATTTAGTGTTCCATGTACCCGGTGCCATTGGCGGTTCATCTCTCCCAGGTGCTCTGCAAACTCTGTTCTCTCATAGCGCTTACTTTCTACATCACAGGTGCTTAACTGAAGTAATGACTGGTTCACAAAGTCAACGATCCATTGTTTATAGTCCATTTCCATTCTGAACTCCTAAAACAAACAAAGTTAAACAACCAAAACCAAAGTGGGTTGACTCAGATTCCCCCTCTGGTTCCTGCTAGGGAACACCAAACTCCCATTCATTCATTAATCAAGGGGCACCTGTCTGGAGTTACTTTCTGCCCTTCCCTCAGCCCCTCCGAATGTCTGCTTTGAGTAGAGTCTCTTGGAGAATTCCACATGCTTAGGAACAGAGACTCGCTGCTTTCAAATAGACTGAAAAGTCAAAGGGGAGATATCATGTATGGTAGCTACATCATCCGACCCAAATTCAGGATGCAGGGATTGACAAAGGGTCCCTGCGAGTGGCTTCCTGAGAGCTACACTGGACGTCAGAGCCACCCTGCAGTCTTGTGGAAATGAGGTTGGGGAGTCTCTAGTTAAGACGCTCCCAGAAAACCCAGGATATCAAGGGACTTTGCCTGTTTAGGTCACTTCACTGTTCCTCTAGGAACAATCTAGGCCTTCAGGTTTGGAGAACTTTAAGTTCTAGAGCAATCCTAAAAACACCCCAGGCCAAGCAACCATGTTTCTGTCAAGCCTTGTTGGGCTTATCCTGGGAAGTTCGAATACCTCTCTGAAGGCGTCAGGGAGAAAACCATGTGGTATGTGCTAGGTTACTAGAACTTATAAAGAATACATATACTTGGACCCTCCAAAGATTCTACTACTCACTGAAGTGAGGATGTGCTAACATATAGAAATAAAATCCTTGCTAATATGCTTTGACCAAGGTATTCACCCTCTGTCTATCAAGAGGCTCAATCCATCAGAACTGTGAGGTCTTTGAAAACAATGACCAGAGTCTTCATTTATCCCGTGTTCCTAGTGGCAAACTTGCCTGGCACATGATAAATGCTTGTGAGTGGCTTGTTCAGTGTTAGTTAAATCTACATGAAATCAAATATCATGGGGAAGGCCACATTCATATCTATTTGTAGAAGGCTATCAACTTTTCCTTATGCATTCCCTTACACAAAGAACATTTACCAAATATCTACTGGATGTCAGGTATTGGGCTAGGTATACACTATTTCGGGCAGGAGAAGGATAGCCCCTGCTCTCAAGAAGCTAAGCCCAGGTGGGAAGATAGGCAAGTAAGCAAATAATTACAGCACCATGGAGATACCAAATCTCAGAGAATAAACTCATCTGGCAGGGAGAGTCGGGAGTAGATTTCTAAATCAGGAGATACTTGAGCAGACTCTTGGAAGATGACAAAGAGCATTTCTACAGCTAGGGGTGGGGCACTAGAATTCCAGACTGCAGGAGCAGTACGCACAAAAGCACGAGTGGTGAGAATACCAGACACAGTTGGTTCATGTGCTTTCGGCACAGTCTAGGGTCTTGGTGGAGATGAAAAGATGAGGCCAATGAGGGGCCAGAGCCACTAAAGGCTTGGATTCTGTCCTATGGTGATTGATGGAAGCTACCAAAGGAAACCAGGCAGAAGAAGAACAAGTATACTAACATCTGCCTAAAATCACCAAACACCCCACTCCTTGCCTCTGGAATTGGTTTTTCTAAATCACATCCTACATGTCTCTCTGTTCTGTATTTCCCTTCCGACCGACTTGCCTTCTTATTTAATGAAAAGGCTTCTGGCTCTATTTGATTACCTTGTACTTCTGAAGAAGACTTTTCACTTGAGATGCAGAACTCAGTGAGCACTCAGAGTCTTCATCTGAAGTTTGATGTTCCACATTGTTCATCCAGCTAATCATTTCCATGATTGCTTTACGAGATGGCAATTTCTCCATCTGAAGCTGCAAGGACAAAATGATTTCCATTTAATTACCTGCCGTTGACAAAATGAATCAGGGCATCCACTAGAGATGATACCTGGTTTGATAAAAGGTCTTGCTACATAATTATGCAGGTGACTCACAAAAACAAACCCAGCATTCAAGCTTAGAATAAGTGACCCCAAAACAATGACAATGACCTTCACATAAACTAACACAGTGATGCAGATAAACTGGGAAATAAAGTAATTAAGCCTGATTTCTCTGTTAAGAAAGATCCTACTAGAGGAGAGTCCAGTAATTAAGACCTATATTCAGTGGTGCCAGAGAAAAATAGGTAGTGTCAATGAAAATTATTGAGTCAGAGAAATAATTTTAAAGGAGTTGTGAGCTAACAAGTGAATGCTAATTCGAATGCTGCATCTTTAAATACCTACCTGGTGAAGTTTTTCTTGAATATCTGGAAGCTGAGTTATGAGCATTGTCCATTTTTGTTCAAACTGTGCTAAAGAAGCTCTCAGCGTGGCCGTATCGGCTTCTTTCAGATGAAGAAGCTGGCTCCCAGTACTTACAACTGCGGTCTTCAAGGAGGACTTGTCATCAAGTTCCTTTGAAAACTCCTAGAGGTAGCAGTTGGATCATTTAGAAATGTTAAAAACTTGAAAACAGCAAAGAATACCAAAGAGTCAGAATTAACTGGTTAGAATCCAAAACTAAATCACTGAACTCAATTCAAGTCACAAATGTTTGTATGTGTATCTATGTGTGTATGTTCATAAGTACATGTGTGCACACACATGCTCCTGCATACACACACACACACACACACACACACACACAGATACCTTTTTTTTACTAAGTGTCAGGCACTGTTCTAGGCAGTAGATAGATGGTGGGGAACAAAAGATAGGATTCTTGTCCCTTAAGTGGCTTAATATTTAAAAAAAATAGACGAATCATTTCAACTTTAAGAGAAACAGCACACAAAGTTCATGCTAAATAAACTAAATGCAAGTAATTTTTAACTAAAATATTTGAAATCTTTCCTTTGTATTTACAGGTGTTTTCAAGTATATTTTAAAATATTTACATTTTAACACCAAAATGAGTGATCATTGGCATAGAATATGAAATTGTAGAGAAAAGAACATGGGAAGGAATAAATTTATATTACAAAAGTAATTCCTTTTTTTTAAAAGAAAAATCTCAAAACAATAGAATATTTTAGGAGAAATATCAGTTCTGTATGAAAATTTAAAACCATGTATTTATTAACTTTAACATTTATGAGTTAATAATTCTGTTAAGTTTTTTACTGGGGGGGGGAACAGGGAGTTAATTTCCTGCATTTATAAAGCATACCCCGTGTTAGAGGAAGTTTTAAATTTATGTATATATTGTAGGGTCAATTAAAAACCTGCTTTATCATTATTCTAAATATATAAATGACCAGTATAAACAGATAGCTCTACTATTAGCCCAAGTCTTATCCCTTACCCACAAATGATTATGGGCACTATTACTATTGACCATGGTCATTTCCCCCTGATATTTCTGACAATAATTATCTGAGTATATTCTATTATAACTCACAAAAAAGTTGTTTATGTTGCTTCTGATTGTATCCAAGTCCTGAGACACATTGAGGGATTGTTCCTTCCAGTAATTCAGAGTTTGCTGAGAAGATTCCAACCATTTGGTTAACTGATCCGAATCTCTGTTATAACTAACAGGAGCAAAGTGAGAGAGAAAGAAAATTAGAAATGTACTCTTTGGAGGATATTCATCATTGGCATATTTTCTTTTCATTTTACTATATGTTTTCCTGTGTTGATCAGCTCTATTATTCAGAAAATCATGATTTTTTTAGGATTATACTCTGTTTTATCCCACCCCGAATCTGATGCTCCTGGTGTCTTCTATGACTCTCTTATGACTAATCTAGAACAAAATGGGCATTTTAAAAATCTAAAACATTTTCTCATTACAGCCATGCAAAAAACCCATTGGTAAGGACAGCAATTATTTTTATTCACTAAATATTCTCAACAGATTTGTTTATAGTAAAAATATAACCAGCATTTGTAAAAGTTATATAATAGTAAACTGTTGTTGACTAGATACTAACATATTTATTGGAGGTGAAGGAAAATATGTAAGCAATGCTACTCCTCTTATAACTTTTAAACTTCTTTAGGTTAGAGAGTTCCCTACGAGGTAGGGATGAAGAGATTCAAATGTTCCATGTTCTCTACCTTCCTCAAGGGGTTCAAAATTAGATCCAGTAAACGAAATTCTCTGAAGAGCTCTGAAGGCTTTTTCAAACTATTCTGTTAAAATTAATATTTTTTAATTTAAAAGCTTTGAGAATAGAAAAAAGCACCATCACAGGATACAGGTTAATGTGTATAATTTTATAACATAATTCCTAGTTTTCATAGAACTGATTACATATTACCCTGAGTATAGCAAACTAATCTTAGAGACCCTAGATCCCAGTTAGCCCAGAAAAGGGACCCAAGTGCTTTAGATTGTTGACGAAAAACCTTACAATAGGGACACCACATGTAAAAACTGGTTGATCACAGGATCCCTCTGAGGTCTTTCTCCACATGGAAATCTGAGCACAATCCATCCCCAAGAAAACATACCTGAGCAGATGCTTGAGAAGTGTTTGTAGTCTGTGTAGTTCATGGTCAATTTTTTTGTTTAGGGCCAGCCACTGCTCTTCTAGCTTTGTAATCTGGCCCTCTAGTTCAGGACAGCTCACAGATGCCACCAGCTGTTTGCCTTCATTCAGAGTTTGGTAAAGCCGGGCATGCTTTTCATCAATGTTTCTTTTTATTTGCTTAAAAAAAAAGTCACAGAATGAATTATTTAAAATGAACCCCCTCAATGTATTCACAATATTTCATCAAAAGCCTACAGTAGAGGCTACTGAAGAAAGAGTAACACTCTCTTAACCCTCAAGGAGTCTTGGAGTATGGCTGAAGAAACATGATTTTTGTTTTATTGATTATTTTTCATAATGAGAGTGTCTGACTAATGCATTTCTACGGCACATTTCTTCCATTCTATAGACTTATAAACAGAAAACAAAAATTCATGGCTTTAGACTTGATAGTGAATTCATCTACCTGAAAGCAAAAAGTAAGCTGGCAGTCTACAGGGCACATTGAGCTGTGGAGAAGTTTTGTGTGACCTGGAGATTATTTTGAAAATAGGGAGATTTTACATAGAAATCAGGATTTCCTGTGACTCTGAGAAAACTGGAAGATCAAGCAACCTGGGTCTGCACTCACATGGCAAGACAGGCTGGAATTGGGCAGCCACGCCTCCTTGAGAAGGGCTTATTCTCTTTGACACTCAGATGGCAGTCCCCACCAGCCCTCTGACTGTAGACCCTGTCAGTGTCCGTATTTCTGTTCTCCTGCCTGGCCCCTGTAAGCACTTTACATTGCAACTAGGTTTGAAGGGGATAAGAAGGGGCACCTAGGTGGCTCAGCGGTTGAGCATCTGCCTTTGGCTCAGGGCAAGATCCTGGAGACCCGGGATGGAGTCCCACGTCGGGCTCCCTGCATAGAGCCTGCTTCTCCCTTTGCCTGTATCTCTGCCTCTCTCTCTCTCTGTGTCTCTCATGACTAAATAAATAAAATCTTTAAAAAAAAAATGAGGGGAAAAAGAAGACATTTCTTTATCATCCCTTAGGTCCAGAGTAGGGAAAAATTCATTTCTAGAGTCTTCTAAGTGGAAGGATTCATAAGGGAGAGAGGAAGAGGACTTTTGAAGAGTAAATTAAAACAGTACATCACTAATCTAGCTTCATGAGAAGAAAAGAAAATCTTTAAAACTGCAATACGATGACCCCCTGAAGAGAACTCTGTCTAAAAGGAATTACCTTCTACCGCTAGGTTCAACTAATGACACTTAACCTGACAGCTATTTAAATTTAAGCTGAAAAAATAAATTCTGATCAAAATACAACCTTTCCTATTTTCTAATTAACTTAAGCCTTTTAAAAAGTATTAAAGAATTTTACTTCTATTGCCCTTTCCACCATTCCTATCTGAACTTCTCTTTCCACTTGATCTTGTAGGTGCAAATAAAATTTCCCATATGCATTTAAAAAAAAAGTCCTGGGAACCTGGCTGGCTCAGTCAGAAGAGCACATGACTCCCAATCTTGGGGGCATAAGTTTGAGCCCCACATTGGGTGTAGAGATTACTCAAAAAAATAAGATCTTTTTTTTGGTAAGATTTTATATATGTATTTGAGAGAGAGAGACAGATAGTGACAGAGATAGCAAGAGAGAGCACAAGCAGGGAGGAGAGGGAGAAACAGGCTCCCCACTGAGCAGGGAGCCTGACTCAGGGCTTGATCCTAGGACTCTGGCTGGGATCATGACCTGAACTGAAGCCCAACCAACTGAGCACCCCAGGGATCCCCTCAAAAAATGAAATCTTAAGGGATTCCTGGGTGGCTAAGCAGTTTAGCGCCTGCCTTTGACCCAGGGTGCGATCCTGGAGACCCGGGATCGAATCCCACGTCGGGCTCCCGGTGCATGGAGCCTGCTTCTCCCTCTGCCTGTGTCTCTGCCTCTCTCTCTGTCTCTGTGTGACTATCATAAATAAATAAAAATTTAAAAAAAACTTAAAAAAAGAAATCTTAAAAAAAAAGAGTTCTAATTTTCTAAGCCTTCCGTGTAAGACACTTCATCTTTAGAGTATCTCTGAGAAGTTTTAGTTACACTATTTTATACACAGAAATCAGACTGCATTGGCTACTTAACTTATAATGTGCAGAACCAGCATTTAACAAGGTTTGTTCAACCCCAGAGGCCACACAGACACTATGTTCCATGGCCTACAGATGTCCACTGATCAAAATACACACAAATCTCTCCATGACACAGAGGACTGAGACTGATCAAATGCGCTAAAGAAATCTGTAGGTGAGGTGGGCTTTACAAGATGTCTGCCTTTTAAAGTTGGCAAATTTATTTAAAAGCCTGAGAACAATTATTTCATTTTTTAAAATGTCAAATTTACAGAGTCACAGTTGCACTTTAAGGGACATGATCACTTTTGGGGAAATAATCAGGTTTCTAGGAGGTGGGCTAGTACAAACAGCTCCTTAACATAATGAGGTTTAAAATGCAATTTTCCATTGCATTCTCTTAGCTGTTCAGAGCATACTTCTGCATCCGTAAGCTAACAAAGAATTAAGCAGCAGCTTCCTGCCCCCAGAGGATTCAGATTTATCTTAGAGCTATGCTCAATATAATAAGATGGCAAAAAGATCAATTGTACCTTTCCAGGCATCTAGATAGCATGACTATAGCATCACTGCCCCTGGAAAATGTTCCTTCTAGGAGCTTAAATGCTTCTGAGGAATGGCAGGGTCCTGCCAAGTATTTCATGCTTTCATTTTCCATGCCAGAGCCTACTCAGGCAACAAATCTGCTTTTGAAGTTTTGAAGTTGACATTTGATAACCACCTCCAGCCGCAGAGCTCTGATGCTGACTACATATTTGAAAGTTGTAACTAAGTATTTTAAGCTTTTTGTTGAGAAGACTTAAAACTAATTTTTATCCTGCTGGTCATGATCTCAATGCCACTTGAAAGCCATTTTAAGGTTCTTTCTTTTCTATAGCATCAAACTTTGAGACTCTGATGATAATACTACTAAATGTTGCAAAGAAAAATTTTGTTTGAGGCCTTTGTATAATGCTGGTGACAGGTAACAGAGTATTACCTGTCTCACAGGCTATGTCCAAACAGGGCCTCACTGAAATAAGAAAACCAAACATAGGTTTGGTGGCCCATGGTGTAAAAAGTTCTTTCTGGGATGCTGAGGTGGCTCAGACATTAAACATCGACCTTCAGCTCAGGTCATGATCCCAGGGTCCTGGGATCGAGTCCCAATGGGGCCCCTTGCTCAGTGGGGAGCCTGCTTCTCTTCTGCCTGCCATTACTCCTGCTTGTGCTCTCATTTCCATACCCACCAACATCCACCTCCTGAGACAGGGAAACTAGCCTGATTACCGACATTCTACAGATAAAGAAACAGAGACTCAGAGACAAAAAGGTGACATAAATGACAGATGAGAGCCAGGACTCAAATCCAGGACCTTGACCCCAACATAAGACCTGTGGCTACGCAGAGCAGCCCAAAAATCAAACCTAAAGGTTCCCTGAATACACCTAATAGTGAGTTGTGTGATGAACTTCAATTCAAACTATTTACCTTCAAAGATGGGCAATTTAGTCAAAGCAAAGAAAAACAAAGTGCTATGGATGGTGTGTGCCTCTGATGGATTCAACAGGAGCAAAATTACCTGGTAAAATGAAATCCTTTCCACTAATCTTTCCTCTGTCTCTTCCACCAAACTCACGGAGGGCAATGTTGATACCAGAATTTCCAGATCCTTTTCGAGAGATGTATAGTTTTCATCAAATTCTTCCCATTTCTAGAGAATCAAGAACATAAAATCAGTGGGAGCCCTCTTCCAGAATGACAAAATTAATCATAAGACTAAAAATGAACTCTGAGACCATAGAAAGAAAGTTAAAGCACCAATGGAAAGCAATTCCATTGTCATTGTGGAGAATGTTTTGAACTATCCAGTTGGCAGTAGTGTTTTATGCTTGTCTCATCAAATCGAGTAAGGACTAATATGATTAAGTTAAAGGGATACTCAGCATACACACCTCTGTGGAGAGTTCAGAGCTGGAAGAGAACCATCCTCTTACTCGGAAAAGGGGCTAACTTTTACAGCCTTTCTCAGTAGAGGCTCCTTTTAGGTTCCTTCTGCCCTCCCTGCTCCAACCCCCAGTCCACTGAACATTACCCGATTGTGCTATAAGTGCATAATTCCCCCGATGGAGGAATGTGGGCTTACACTTCATCAAGGAAGTACTATTTCCTTACTAGGAATTCTTTAGCCTGAGTCTTGCCTTGTTCCAGGTCTCTCCGTGTCTATAGAATCCCACCACTAGGGGCACCTGGCTGGCTCAGTGGTTGAGCTTCTGCCTTCAGCTCAGGTCATTATCCTGGGGTCCTGGGATCGAGTCCTGCCTACATCAGGCTCCCCACGGGGAGCCTGCTTCTCCCTCTGCTTATATATGTCTCTGCCTCTGTGTATCTCATGAATAAACAAAATCTTAGAAAATCCCACCACTATGATCTCAGCACACCACAGAACTGACTTATAGACACTAAAAATTATCTGTTGGAAAAATAACCCCCTTATTAATTCTCTTATCTCCTGAAGTAGTGGCTATTAGGGGCACTCTTTGGGTTCAGAAGGGCTCTTCTCTTCTTTTAATACCATGAAATATTAGTATAAATATCAATTTGACAAGCTAACCAGAAAATTAATTTCATTAAGCATATAAGATCATCACATTATAAAGCTGCATATTTCCTTGCTTTTTGATTATTTCCTTTAAGTGCTAACATCCACTGTGTTTAAGTTAAAAGTGAAAACCTTAAAACTGAGAAGGAACTTTTTGCAAACTGAATTTTTTTTTCTTTGAATTGGGATAAGACAATCAGGAGTCCACTTCAGCAACAGAACATCTGGGCCTGTCCTCTTCAGGGAAGTACCGTTTCTGAACCACTGAGTATTTCCTGCAAATGACCTCATTGAGGATCTTAAAGTGCCCTCAAGTTTGTTTATTTGCAGACAAACCTAGAAGGTGGAAAGATGCTGTGCTGTTCCCTAATTTACGGATGAGAAATCTCAGCAAATATTTCACTCGGGGAGTAGTAGTGAGAGCTAGAACAGGCTTCCACATTCCTCAGTGTTGGCTCCCAATCAACAACTGCTAATGATAAAAAGATGCTTCTGGATACCTGGAAGGCGGTAGTCAAAAATCCGGAATTCCAGGCTTAAGTACAAAGTTTATGTAAACCAAATAAATACCTGTAGCAAACTCTGCAGCTTTATTCCACACTGGTGTGACCTTTCCTCCAGTGTTTTAATCTCTTTTATTTGTTCTGCCCAGAATGTTTCTTTCTTTTGCAATAAAGAAGGAAGCATTTTGTTGGAAAATGTTTGGATCAACAGCATGTCAGCAACAAGTTTCTGGAAAAAAAGCTGTAAAATGGACAAGGTTTTAATATTTATTTATTTCCATACTGTGAAAACTTATAAACCAAGTTACTTCCACTTTTTATACAGTTATCTTTGCTTTTTAATCCCAACTCCCAGGACAGCCATGTAGAGTCAAACATAAGAGGAAAGAAAAAGAAAACTGACTGTGTTCCCCTTAGTTTTTAACACTACAGGCATTTTAACAAATCATAAAGAAAAATCATCCTAAGAAAACATTTTCCACAGAACAGTCCATGTAAAACGGCAAATATTATCAATTTCAATTTCCAGTGAGATCTTCATGGATCGGTGACTCTGAGTTTTAAGAAACTTTACAGAAACGTAGATACATGGCTGATTTATTTCAAGACCATAAAATGAATGGATAGATGTGTGAGCCTGGAGAAGTACACACATGGAACAGCTAGAGGTTCCCATAGCCTGGCCTGATTTTCTACTCAGTAAAATGGCTAAATAAAGGGAATTTTTGTTGACAGGGTCTATTGGGATCCTGGGACACAAAAGCTCTCAGAATAACACTTTTAGAACCTTTACACAGGAAGGCTTTCCTTCACATGTTCATCCTCCATTTATAGTCAGCTGCCCCTTCTAATTGTTTGGAGGAACTTGATATAGAAATCCCTTCTCCTATTTCCTTGAAAAGGATACATAGAAGATTTAGAATAACATCCAGCATAGGTCCCGACACACTATAGATATTCATAATATTCTCTCCTTTTCCCCAGGTCTACTCATCACAAGCCTAGACTTCTGCTTGTTATAGGTAAGAACTATCTTACACATTGTTTTACATCAGCACTTAAATTACTTTAGGTCTTTAATTGGTGATCATGAGGTTTTTGTTTAATAAAATGAATGGAAAATGAAAGATTTATTGTAGCATTACACTAGTTATATATTCATGTATTGAGGTATAGATATTTCTTATGGTCTCAGTTCTCAGGAAAGCCTTTCCTAATCTCCTGAATTCAATTTCCCCTCTAAAATGCTCTGAAAGCGTGTATTTCAATTTTAATTTTAAATTTGTTTGAAGGACTCCTTCATAAATGTGTCTTTTTCAACTGAAAGCTCCATGAATGTAAGAAACTGTCTGTTTCACTCATAATCATATTCTTAGAGGTTAGCAGGATTCCTGGTATATTGTGAACCCTCTAAAACAATGAATGAATGAATGAACAATGTATATTTCACCAAGGAAGAAAATGGATGTTCTCAGTTTAAGTCAGAAAGACTTAAAGTCTATGAAAACGTAAACTGACCCATGTGTCTTACCTTGTGATTTTGTATTTGAGCCTGTAACGCAACTTTACTTTTGGCCTGTTGTAAGTAGTCATGAGCAAGCTTTTCCTTTCCGATATCCACTAGTTCCACCATGCCTCTCAACAGAGCATTTTCCTGCCTTTCAGTGATGCAAGGGCTGCTGAGTTCTGTGTACCTGGCTCTCAGGATTCCCCACATACTGTCAAGTACATCCTGAAAAGAAAAAGCATTTTTATCTAATCATGAAAATAATCCAAATAGAGAATGAATCTAAACTCTCTTCATGGAAGAAGAAAGTCTTACTCCTTATAATCAGAGTAATTCCCTGATAGAATGTTTTCTGCTCAAACATACCTCTAATTTGTAAACCTCTTGCAATAAAGCATATGGTAAATGAAGCCTCTCCCCTTCGTCTCTTAGTTTTGCCACTCGGCTCTCAGAGTTCTGCAGCTCCACTGTATATGCATCGGCTTTCTAAAGTGAGAGATGATGCAAAACAGTATAAAATCCTTTAATAAATCAGAGAGGTGCATAGATTCATTTTAAAAGAATTAAACAGTACAGAAAAACATGTAGGGAAAAGTGAAAGTCCCACTTCTCCTCTCTCACTTCCACCTTCTGCCAAAGAGCTGCATTGACAGTCTGGTCCCAACCTGTATGAAGCATGTCCCAGTAGAGGTACACCTGCACATCCTTACACTCACTGGACAAATCAATCTGCCCTGTAGTCTGCATCCTCACCTGGCAGCTTGTTGGCTGCTCTTCTAATCAGTACAAACACCTGACTCCTTTTTTTTTTTTAATTTTTATTTATTTATGATAGTCACAGAGAGAGAGAGAGAGAGAGAGAGAGAGAGAGAGAGAGAGGCAGAGACATAGGCAGAGGGAGAAGCAGGCTCCATGCACCGGGAGCCCGATGTGGGATTCTATCCTGGGTCTCCAGGATCACGCCCTGGGCCAAAGGCAGGCGCCAAACCGCTGCGCCACCCAGGGATCCCCCACCTGACTCCTTTTAATCAGACACATGGTATGCCATCGTAAGGCCACCTACTGCTTTTGTAACAGTCTGCTTTAAATGGTCTTTGGGCTACTTAAGGATTTTAATTCAAGCAGTGCTACTAGGTCCATTCTTGAATGTTTATATACATATTTATCTCTTTGCACTTGTCTTCCCTAGAGCAGTGTCTGAATATAGTAGGTCTTCAATGAATACTTGAATAAATGAATGAAGCAAAACTGCTGTGGGTGGAAGAGCATTTACACGTGGAATTCTGGTTTATATATAATCAAATGATCCAAAGACTCTGGACAAATCACCAGCCCTTCTGAGAGAAGGAGGGTTTCCTTTCCCAGCACCATCACTGACACTGCACAGACTTACATTTTTGCCCCCATTGATGGGTAACAGTGGTCTTGTGTTGGTTTAATTTACTCTTCATAAAGAAAGAACTACTTACGAATTATTTTTAAAGGTCAACATAAATAGTTTTCATCTTTATTTATTTACTTAAGCCTTGCCACTGCTCACAAAGGGAAGTGGTTCAGAAGCACAGCTTCCGCACAAAACTCTTTAGTCCAAGGTTAGATCAGTTTAATCATTTTGATTTGATTACCTGAAGCTGTTCATCAATACTCTGGCCACTAATTTCATTCAAAGACTGCTGTAAAGATGTTTTGTTCTTAATAAGTTGATCATATAATCGCTTTATTTCATTCTGTATAAGAAGATAAATTCAGAAAACAGTAGAATGTCATTTAGGCCTTCAATATCTTTTCTTAAAATTTACTTGTCCTTTAATATTTGTGCCAGCAGAAGTTTCAAACACATACCAAAATAGAGGCATCTCTATGTCACCATCACCTGGCTTTAACAATTATTGACCTGTGGCCAGACATCTCTGCTCTGTACTCCCCTGAGCTTTCTTGACTGTACTTAGTCTACTTCCCCTCAGATTATTTTGAAACAGATCACAGATATATTATCAGTGTAAGTTTCAGTATGTATCTTTAAAAGATAAAGATTCTTCCCTTTAAAAATACTACAGATCAACAATAATTCCTTAGTACTATTAACTGGCAGAATGGGTTCACATTTCTCTAATTGCGTATAATTTTTCTTTTTGGTTTGTTTGAATTGGAATCTAAATGAGGTCCAATAGGTTGCAATGGACTAATAGCGGGTTAAGTCTCTTGTAATCGGCAGGCTCCCCAAGCATCTCTCTTTTTTTGTTCCTGGGATTTGGGGTGGGATGGTGGAAAAACAACATCTTTTATTCTACACAGCTTCCCACCATCTGCGTTTGGCTGACTGTCCCCCTGCTGCGCTGCCTAACATGCTCTTCTTCCGTTGGGTCTATTTTACTTTGACTCTAGCGGTTTGATCAGATTGAGGTTTGCTTTATGGGCAAGATTCCTTCATAAGTGGTGTTGTATTTTTCTCTTGTTAGGAAACTATAAAATTGTCTGTCTGCTTCAAGTCTCTCCTCCAATCTGCAGTAGACAAGAGCCGGATAAATCTACCTGAAACATACTGTTCCTCTTTTGCTCAAAACCTTTAATGGCTCCCTATTACCTAGAAATCCTCCCCTATAACCCTCACCAATGGCTAAATATAACACAGGAAAGAAACAGAGTGTTAGCTCAACCTAATTAATTCACACGGCAACTTTGGGAAGGACCTCACTTTCAAAGGGTCTCCAACCATGTGCGGCAGGATTAGCCTAAAAAACCCTCACAGAAAGAATGTCTCAAGCCTTTCCTCAGCAATCCCTATTCACAAATGCCACCAAGAACAATGGAATTAATGGAAATTAACCTAAATCAGAGCCCAAGAAGGCCAAGCACTGAGCCCCCGTACCTGATAACTGCGGTTATAGTCGAGGCCAGCTTTCAGAGACTTGCTTCTAGAGGCAGCTGCGACCTGGGTATGCTCCAGGTAGACTTGGAGGTTATTAAAACACTCAAGAAACAGGTTGGTGTTCCTCTCAGGCCAAGTCATGGCTTTCACAAGATCATCCTTCTTGTCACCCATAGCTAAGTAAAGTTTTTTTAACTCAAGAGCCAGTGTCTGCAAAGAGGAGAGAAAGAAAGACACAATGAATGGACTCTGGCCTTCAGAGGCTTCAGCTCGGGCTTAAATCGTGGGCTGCTGAGCAATGGCCACCACATGGACTTGCTGGAAACTCCGCACCTCATAGTGTGCCTGCTGAGCACAGACATCCTCTCTGGAGAGCCCAGGTGTCTGCAGCATCTCCTCCACACTGCCAAGGCACTGACTGAGGGTCAGGAATAGCTCAAATAATTTTGTATTCAAATTTATGTATGTGTCTTCTGTCATGTTTTCCTGAGTCAAGAGAAAAAAAGAAAAAAGAAAAAAAAATTAGGATTCCTTGCCTTCCCAAGCCTCAATTTTCCCTGGTTTTTCTGTTATAGTTTACAATTTATGGTTCACTTCTTTATAACTGGTTGTTTAGAACACTTCATGAACCAAGTAGAAGAATAAATAGATACAATTAAGACGTTAACTCTGAGAAAAACAAGTTTAAGAAACTCAATGTTAGGCAGTGAGTTGACTATATTAAAATGGAATTAAAAGGTAAACCACAAGATGAAGGACTTCCTTATGGAGCCATCCAAGTGGAATGTGGTCCCAAGTAAAGCATATTGTCCCCTTCACACTGCTCTCTGCCTCCCACAGTTTAATGTAGGAGAAAGTGGGTTAATGAAATCAAGCAAAGCCTGGAGAAGGAAAAGAAGTCAAGATATTTGAAGGGGTTGATTGGAAAGAGGTTTAATATCTTAAAGATAGGAATAGTAGGCACAGCATGGTGATTATAGATAATAATACTGTACTGTACATTGGAAAGTTGTTAAGATAATAGATCTTAAAATTTCTCATCACAAGAAAAAGATTTTATAACTCTATGTGGTGATGGAGTTTGGACTTATTACAGCAATCATTTCACAGTACATGCAAATATCCAATCATTATGGTATACACTTGAAACTAATACCATGTTATACATCAGTTATAGCTCAATAAAAAAAGATAGGGATGGGCTGTGGAGCAGGGGATAGTTAGAAGTATCATTTATGAGCTGATTGTGAGAAAGAAGGCCCCCTTAAATGTAGAACTCCAAGTTGGGGGAGGGTACCTAGGTTCATACAAATGTGCCCTCGTTAGTTTGGAAGCCACAGATCTCCTTATGTTTTAGCATAAGCTGTTGAAACCACATCTTTTTCTTTACCTCAAATTCTTGACCAGCTATAAGTAATTTAGAAGCATGACAAAGCTGTAATTAGCCAAATTTGGGCTCTGATTCCTATTGTCTTCTCTGGTAGACTCCTAACATTACCCAGCATACCATCTTGGCATTAAATCTACTCAAGGTTGGAAATCTTGTCAATACTCCCCTCCTTCCTCACCCTTCCAATCACAGGGGACCATTGCAGATAATACTAATCAACAATGATCCTTGTTGGGGTGCCTGGGTGGCACAGTTGGTGAAGCATACACTTGATTTCAGCTCAGGTCATGATCTCCTGGGATCGAGGTCTATGTTGGGCTCCATGCTCAGCATGAAGTCTACTTGTCCCTTTACCTTTGCTCCCCTTCCCCTACCCCTACTCTCTCTAATTAATAAATCTTTAAAAAGCAAAACAAAACAAAAAATAATGATTTTTGTCCCTGCCAACTCTAGATGTGGGTTCAGAAGCCTTTGCACATGGTGCTCTAGGCAGCCACTACCAAATTCACCAGAGTTGACAAATGAGATAAATTCTATTTGCAATTCTAAGACCTATTCCATTATGTATTCTACTATTTATTCAGTAAAGACAATTATGACTAATACACAATGTCACATTTCCTTCTTTTTTGATACTGCAATGAGGAAAATTTGTAACGTGTTATTGCTACCTGAGTTTGCAGATTATTTGCTTCTTGACGCAGGTCTTCAAGTTGTGTGGTATATGTTTTCAGTTCTTCAGTTGTTGGGTATCTAAAGTTATACATGCCCACATTGGGTAGAACACTCATATTTGTGGCAACCTATATGAAAAAAGGGAAGCCTTATTATAATTTGAGATCCTGGTAATGTTAATGTAAAATAGCAAAAATGCCTTCATGTGTTAACGTGTTACCTTCTTGGTGTTTTTGCTATCGTGTCACTTGTCAGTAAACATAGTTAAATTTTAAATATTATGGACAGCTTTGAAGGGTCATGAAAAGTTTTATTTAGACACCTGCAGGTCTCTTTAATATCAAAATGAGGGAAAATAAGCCATAACTTGAAAAATAGAGTAAAATCATTAATCCTTCAATTTAGTAGCAATACCATTTATGTTATGAGACTAGCTATTTTGCTTCTCATTTATTGGTAGGCCCCTGGTATATAACCAAATCTTAGAATAGACACAGTCACCTCCAGGGACAGATTTGCATCTTGATTTGTTATTGGAAAGCTAAATAAGTAGTAAAAATTCACTGTGACTTCAGATGAGAGAAAGATTCAGAGTTAATCCCTTTTTCAAATTGTAAAACTAGTAAATACAAAGCAACCAGGTGAGGTGGTATCAGACTCTGCTTGGAGAAAAGAACTCCTGATGGTATTCTACTGTTGGAAAGAGAACAATATACATGCTATGGTGTATATGACAAAGAGAAACCAAGACCAAAGCCTTATCAATGAGTTTAATTCAACATTAATAGGTCAAATAAGGTCCTTGGCAGAGTAAAGCTGAAAAGTTTCCACCAGACTGGAGAACTGGGAAAAAGGTGGTAACCCTTGCCCAGGCAGGTTGAATACAAAGCTGAAGGCAGAAGCTTGACTGTTGTGAGCAATAGTGCTATTCTGCTCATGGACTCCTTGTTGAGAGAGAAATCCTGCAGTTGCTGGGACAGTATGAATAAAACCTATAACGGCAATAATAGAGTGTGTTGGTGGAATACAGGTACCATTGGAACAGGGGCTGGCACACCACAGATTCCAAATAATCTTTTGATAAATGAATGAATGAACACTAATATTGCATTGTATCATTTTTAAACTGTTTTTGTAAACATTTATTATTCATTCCTAATTTATTCATTCAACATATCAAAACTGAGACTTGATAGTGTTTCAGGTACTGTGCCAGGCACTCAAATGTGAACCAGGCAGACATGGTCTTTCTTCCCATATCGCCTAACGGGGAATACACACAAGTAAACAGGCTCCCAGTATTTTAAGAGCTGTGATTAGGGAAGCCCACGGTGCCACAGAAGCACAAAGGCATGGCACTTACTGCAGATTTCCAGGAGGGCAAAAAAGCGTCAAATGAAAAACCCACTTGGCATCTTCGCTTCCTAAAAATAAACTACTACATAATACAGAACATATATATGTCCTTAATGAATGTTTGTGGCATTTTCAAAGATAAACATGTTAATGTATTATTTACATTGTGTGCAGGCACACACTGACCTGAGGCTGCACCTGCTTGGGTGGTGGTAGCCCGATTTTTGATGAGAGTTCATGATGTAAATATTGCCACTTATCCCCACTTTCGTCCTGAGTTGACAAGACTGAGCCTGGAGCACAGTTTTCAAGGCTGGATGCCCTCATGCTGTTAAGGGAAAAGAAAAAGTACAGAGAATAATCCACATACAAAAATTTTATCACATTCAGACAATGTTTTACGAGTGATTTAAAAAGAAATGCTCTAAATTCTCCAAACCAATAACTGCTGAATGTCCAACTCTAAAAATGTTTTTACCTTTCAGTTGATTTCTGAGTTACATTTTCATCAGGTTGGCAATATGGTGGCCACATTTTCTTGGCATTAAAGTCTATGAATTTGATGAAATCTTTCTGTTCCATTGGTTTTAACTCCAGAACCTATAATTGAGATTCAAATGGCCCAGTCAAAGTTTTCAACTAGTAGCCAATGGTTGCTTCTGTTAATTTTGAACCATTTTCTAAATTATTATTTACTATTTCCCTTTCCCACTTGCTTGTTCCTATTAACTTTTATTTCTCAAAAATCTACTTAAAACATTCACACAATGACCAAAGTATATATACAATATATATCACACATATGGAAAACCCCCAAAATTTGCCAACACATTTTGAAACAATAGGGAAAGAGGTGTTAAAGAGGTAAGTTCACCTGAAGGTATCTGCTTAGTTTGAAATAAGTTGCAAGTTAATAAAGTAGCAGTTAGATCGTCCTCACCTGCAGAAGAAGAAAGCAAAGCAGCTCCTACAGCAAATGCTCAACACTCAGGGAGCACCTGTCCATCACACTGTCCATCCAGTCCCATAAAAAAATACCTTAATGACAGTTCGGTACTTGGTTCAAAGGAATATTGCATGTAGAAAGCTTTTTTTTTTTTAAGATTTTATTCATTTATTCATGAGAGACACACAGAGAGAGGTAGAGACACAGGCAGAGGGAGAAGCAGGCTCCCCCCAGGGAGCCTGATGCAGGACTCAATCCCAGGACTCTGGGATCACACCCTGAGCCAAAGGCAGACACTCAACCACTGAGCCACCCAGGTGCCCCAGAAAGCTTTATAGTTATCCTTATATCTGTTAAAGGCTGCAATTACCTGTTGCTGCTGGAAATCTTTTTGTTTGCCGAACTGTGGCCTTTCAATTACTATCGATTCAAATTCAGAAAGGTTATCTGCTTGGAGATCATTTGGATGCTCTGAAGGTTTCTTTAGAGTAGTAGAATGCTGCAAAAAAATTTGTAATGGCAGACTCTTAAAAAAATGACCTACTTTAGTTCCATTCTAATAATGAGATTACATAATGGAAAAGTTTTATATAAAGTAAGTGATTGTACTATTTTCTGTAATTATATACTATGATTTCACATACTTATTTCAAAACAACTGAAAAAACCATTACATTTGGTGATGTGGTCATCTTATTTCCTCAATGTAATTCATCCAAAGAATTACTAAAAGCCAGGAAATGCATTGCTTTTCTGTTTTAAGAACAAAGTAAAAAAACAAAAAAGCAAAACAAAACAAAAAAACCCAAACAAACCAACCAAAAAGAGACACAGTTTTATGCTTATGAATTTAGATTTCCCTTATGCCCAAAACATTTTAAAAAGAGAGAACATATGAGAATGAATAGGGGAACCGCAGAGCCTATGTATCTGCTGCCAATCTTATTTCTGTGAAGGTAAGTCCTCTGTGGAGGAACCACCATCTCCCAAGTATAGATGCAGATCTCATACAGTAAGACCCTACTCATAGATGCGTATTTGTATTTATAAACACAGAACATTTTTAAAAGTCACAAGAACACTTTAACTGTATGGTACTTTGATCAGTATATGTATTTGTAAATGTATAACAAAAAGGACCCTGGAAATAGGTTTTATATTTCTGATGTCAAATTTTAATCTTCTCTAGGAACTTCATTTTCCAGGCAATTGGAATAAACGTATCTTTCAGACCTCATTACAAGCAAGAACAATCAATCCAATCAAACTAATCCAAGCCAAACCTACACTGTCACCAACAATAGCCTAGGTAGGAAAAACTGTAAGACAAGATGGAATCAGTAACAAGAGTCAGTACAACCATCCGTCACAGCTTTAAGAGGCTTCATTCTTTCTTACTTAGTGTAATTCCTCTATAGCTGCTTTACCACCTCCGCCAGAATTCCTTCCTGGTGGCTCTGCTGTATCGTCTACCCATATGCATCAATATGTGGCCATGTTTTACCTGGTCTTCACTGTATTTCTCCTGAAGCATGATCTGGACTTTTTCCAAATTGCATTTCACAGTCTTTAGTTTCAAGGAAAGAGCTTCAGCCTCCTGCTGAGTGGCCCCACTGTCTCCTGGCCCTAGATCTTTGCAGCTCTCTAGCAGAGAGGCAACCTTGTGCTCTATGTCTGTTAGCATGACCTAGGAAACAAAATCATTTAATTACTCATGGTTTTGGTCTTGAACAAATGTTATACTCTAAAATGAGTTAGATTCACTCTATCTATGTATGTGTAACAAGTCTCAGAAACACAGATTGGAAGAGACTTTGGGGGAAAATAAACAATTCCCACATAATTCCTGAGCTTCTGGACAGGAGTACAATGAAAGCAACCCCACCTTGCAGATGCCACTCTCCAAATAATCTAAAATTCTATATTTTGGAATTCTATATATTTAGTACTCTAGAAAAGTACTAGTACTTTAGAAAATACAGCTGGATGTATCCAGCATAGCATAGTGGTTAAGAACCCAGACACTGGGGCATCTGGTTGGTTCAGCTGGAAGAGCATGTGACTCTTGATCTTAGGGTAGTGAGTTCGAGCCCCATGCTGGGTGTAGAGATTACTTAAATAAACAAACAAACAAACAAACAAACCTAAAGCAAAAAACAAACTAACAAAAAAACCCACAGACACAGGAAGTAGACTATCTGAATTCAGATCTCCTTAGCAGCCAGGTAAACTCAAGCACCTTACTTTGTACAAATGTGTCTTCAGTCATCTGTAAAATGGGACAATAACAGAACTTACCTCCTAGGGTTACTCCAAGGAGTTAAGAGTTAAAAGTCCATGCACTTCGGCCAGTGCTTGACACACAGTCTATGGTAACTATTATTCCACCCCCTTCCCCGACCACCTTCCTAACCTTTTCCTTCTGGAATCCAAGGGTTGAGTCTTAATAGGAAAAGAACTTCACAGAACTCCTTGAAAGTTCCTCCCCTTGATCTGTTCCTTCCCTTTTTCAGGTCAAATAAACTTCCAAAATATCAGAAAATGACAGAAGAAATAATTTGGAACCTAAAACACTTAGTCATTGATAAAATTGGCCAACTTACACACGGATCTAAAAATAAATCAGCTAGATGAAGTCAGTTTCCCTGTAAGTCACCATCATCATATTCCTCCCCAACAGATCAAGGCTGCCCTCTCTTGCGCTCTGGAATCTGAATGCTCCCATCTGCTGGGCTGGGCACACAACGCAGCAGCGGCATTCAGATTCTCATTCCAGTACTGGGAGCATTTGTGCTAAAACTTGTGTGACTGAGAACAAGTTACACTCTTTGAGAGAAACATTAGGAAAAACTATCCCTAAAATAACATTTTCTGGGGTGCCTGGCTGGCTTAGTAGGTAGAGCATGAGACTCTTGATCTCGAGGTTGTGAGTTTGAGCCCCATAGTGAGTGTAGGGATTGCTTAAAGATAAAAAAAATCTCAAAAAACAAAAACAGATTTTCAAATAATATCTTCTTATAACTCCTCTATCTAAGCACACTACCTGTAACCTCCATAGAGTCTTCTAAGCTTAAACAATATGTAATCATAGATTTTAGAGTGGCTACAGAGTATACTATAACACTGTGCTCCTTTTTTCCATTTAGCTATTTTATGTTTAATTTTTCAAGTGTCCACAGATGCATGCTTCCCGATTCCCACTTTACTAGCTATAAGTTGATGTTCCATGATTCTGTAACTTCCTTATTGGTAAGCCTGTAAGCTGGTTTCAGTTCTTCACCTTTGTAATTAACTCTGCCACAAACATTCTTCCCTTTCTGGGTTATTCTCAGAGGATACAGTTAAAGTAATGGTGTTATTAGGTCAAATACAACAGATATTTTATATGTTGTCAGCTGACCTCCCAAAACACTGAGGCAATCAGGCAGGACAGTGGATCAAGAGTTTTCCAGGATGATATAATTTTTGCCAGAGTCACATTGGAACAACACAACAGCTGTTTCGATTCATATGTTTTTAATAATGAAGGCTGAACATTTCTTCTCCGATAATAAATTACCAAATAAATTTTCTTCTTGACTGATCTGTTTGCTCCTGTCCTTTGGATATTTTCCCAGGGGAACATCCATATTTTTTTACAGACTACTGGCAGGCTTCTTATACGTTTCAATATGAAGTTGGATGTACCATGGTGTGATATAAGTGAGCCAAAGATGGCCCTGGTCTCCATGTTGCTTATTTTCTCACGGCAGGCCAGGACTACTAGCTCAAATCCTACTAGCACCAAACTGAAAGTGAGACCCCACATCTGGTCCCTATGGTTAAGATACAACTCCAAGGCTCTAAAAGACCCTAGCCTCTGTTGCCCTTGGAGCTCTCTGACATCATCTAGACACACAAGCTCCTCTGGATTCCCTGCTCCCCTGGGAGTTCCTTTGCCTTCCTCCCCTTCCAAGATGTGGCCCCACCTCCATTTCTTGCCACAGCCTCTGGAAGGGCTCTCATAGAGAGGGACTTCCCAAGGCCTTGAGATCCTGCCAAAAAGTTGCCCAAATAAAGCTTGCTGTGTGCTACTGCCACCTTGTGGTTGTGTCTTTCCCTTGCCAGCCCCCAAATCCTTGACCTCCCTGGCACTGGCAGAACACGGTTTCTGGTGGTCATCAAGGAATCAGCATGAGGTCTGCCCAATCAGCAAGGCAATCAATTGGCCGAATCTATCCTGGAGGGCTTTAAGTGGCTGAGACTCAACATCTCAAACACCTCAGGTTCAATTTAGTACAACTCTGTGATATAGTATGCTACATCTTTGCCAGACTCCCTGTGCCTCATCAGCCAAGTCAAGTGGTAGTGCCAGTATTTAAGTGAACCCGCCCCATCAAAAGCTAACTTTTGGGGTCAGAGGTGGGAAGCTGCCCAGGGAAGGTCAGGTACCTACCTGGGTACCCCATGAGGCAGGTGCTGGATATTATAAGACTGTGGGCCTGCGTGGAGAAAGCGGATGGCTAAGGATGGGCCACCCCCAACCCCATAATGAGCTATAGTGGGAGGAGTTCCCTGTGGCCAGGCCAGTGATATGGTGTCCTCTGAAGGGATGTCATTCCTGCTGTCTGCTACAGCAGAAAAATGAGCCAATCAGGCAGAGACATCAGGCCAAGGTTGGTCTAAGCACCCTTGGGGAAGGCACTTAAATTATGCTGCTATGATATCATCATTCTAGCTTCTCCCTGGAGGGATACAGAGATCCCCAACCTTTGGGCTGAGCTAGCAAATGTCACTCAAAGTGACTAAAGGCAAGGAAGTATATATTCCTGCCGCCCCAGTACCCCTCACCCCTCAAGCAAGGGTAGGACCATTCACAGTAAAATGGCAGCAAAGCGGGACACCTGGGTGGCTCAGTGGTTGAGCAACTGCCTTTGGCTCAGGTCATGATCCCAGAGTCCCGGGATCGAGTTCCACATCAGGCTCCTCATGCGGAAACTGCCCCTCTCTCTGCGTCTCTCATGAATAAATAAATAAAATCTTTATTTAAAAAATGGCAGCAAAGCCCCTTTGTGCTAGGAAAATCAGGATATTCAGTTTCATTTCGATTAATAAAAATTCAAAGAATTTATCATGAATACAAATCACAGCACTTTTTATATACTTGATACACCAGACACTGGTTCTTGTACCTTATCTCATTTAACCCTGACAAAGTCCTACGAGATAACCGAGATAACCAACCACAGGAGGAAAATGAGGTGGAAAGCTAACGCCCTCAAGTTCACAGTTAACATGACAGAGCTAGATCAGGACTCTAGATTCTGGGCTGTTACCCACCAGTCTCTCCAAATACTCTGCTTACATAAATCTCCTCCAAGAATTACCCTGAGAACAAAAACTAGAGGCCAAGATAAATACAAGGGTCAGAGTAACAGAAGGAAACATACTGTTGCTTTAAGAGAAATTCACCCAGTCTTGGAAGGTGATTGGTGAAAAGGCTAACCATGAACTCCAACCCGTCGGCCTTACCTGGCACCCTACCAGCTGCTGTTCTACCAACTGCTGCATGTCTGCGTTTAATGTTTCCGGCTCGAATGCCACGTTGGCCTGGCGCAGCCACAGCTCCAGCTTGGCCACCTTGGTCTTGCAGACATGGAGGATTTCCGCAGGCTTGGACCTAGCTTTCTCCGCCGTGGTCTCAAAAGCTCCTTGCTCGTTGGAAAAGCCCAGAGCAGCAGCCTTGACAGTAGGTGTGGCACCCTAAGATAAACCCAAAGATGATCAAGTAGTGAAAAGCCATGGAATCCCAAGTTTTCAGATAGGAGCTTGCAAAAACCTGTGAACTTCCAGCATTTCCTCAGTTAAAAGAAAACAAATCAATAGGGGCAGAAGAAGTAATAAAGAAAAAAAAACCTCCACACTCATAGCAACAATCATGTGACCTGGTGCTCCAGGTTTCCAAGCAGCCGATCTGCATGTACACAGGTAGTGTTCCCAGGCACGGAGAAGACAAATGGGCTCGCAGTTCATTAAACAGCAGGTGGGCCCCAGGAGACAGGTGAGTGTGAGTGAGAGGGTGTGCATGTGGGTGTGTGTCTCAAACTTTTCAGCGAATTGGCCAGTGTTTGAATTTGTGTGACACATGATTAAGCAATGCTTACGTTGCTGTGAGCTCTGATCACACAGAAAAAAAGGCACTTTACGCACCAGCTGGGATACAAGGAAATAGGCCACACACTTTACAAGTAGATTATAAGATATTTTGACTTTTTTTTTCTTTCCTAACATACATGCTATTACTCAACTAAATTTCTCCGTCTTAACAGTAGTGTGAGGGGGCGCCTGGGCAGCTCAGTCTGTTAAACCCCTGCCTTAAACTCAGGTCATGATCTCAGGGCCCTGGGATTGAGCTCTCTGCTCAGCAGGGAGTCTGCTTCTCTCACTCCCTCTCCCTTTGTGCTCTCCCTTTCTCTCTCTCATATAAACAAATAAAATCTAAAAAAAAAAAAAAAAGTAGTGTGAGTCAAGTAATGATCTTCAGTGGGGTAATCTGGAAATTCTTTTCCTACTATTCAGAGAGAATCCCTGAAACCGTTTTTCACTATTCAGATACTCAAATATTATTAAGGACTAGATGCTTATACTATAGTATAAAGAAAGCATGATGAAAGATGTGTTCTTATTGAAACACCTGGGTTGCTTATTGATCCAAAAGAAAAATTTCTTCCAGATACCACATCAAGTATTCTATTAATGACACATTAGATATTTTCAATTTGGAAGTAAAAGATGATTTGATATACAGACATATTTGCTTCCCACATCCTTTTCCAGAATATTGAAAGATTATATTGACCTGATTCCTGAGAGAAATTCCTTCAGGAATAAGGATTTGTGTTTTGCTCTACAAAATTATTGACCTCAATAAATATTTTATTGATTGTGATTATGATGAAATACAATGTTTTCTATATAAGACTTTGTTAGCTAGATGTTAGCATCTAATAAGCATAATTTTGGCTAGGTGACAAAATCGCTCACAAAGGTACAGCCTAACTCAACTCAAATGCACAAAAATTCCCAATTCTACAGAATTTTGTTTAAGCATAGAACTTTCAGTACAACAAAAGTAAACAAAGTAGGCAAGTGATAACAACAACATGCAGGGTGTGAAAATACTCCTTTTTCACACACATGGTGAGTATTAGGAAAGCTAGCTTAGCAGACGTGCCTCTGAATTGCACTTGTTCCCCTTGGCCATCTATTAACTTCACGTATGTTTGCTCTTTACTGACAAAACACTATTTCTCCCTAGTTGAGGAAGTCTTCCCATGCCTTGTGTTTTTCTGCACAGTTGGTGCTATCATTGGGAGTCACCGGTTTCAATTTTCTTTTTTAATCCTGATTTTTTAAAAAAAGCAACAGTTGTGTGATTTTACTGCCAGACACCAATTGCTAGTCATCTGATTAATGATTTTCTAGTTTTCAGATATTGCTACATCTTAGCAGCAAAGATTTGGGGAGTTTCTTTTTTGTCACCTGAGATAACAATTGATATTAATTAGTCTAGAACAGGTTTACCATGGACCTTGTTTATTTGAAAACATTATTTGAGCACCTATCATACACCACACACATTTTTTAATGGCGATATTGAATTTCTATCCTTTTTCACTAACTCACTGAATTAATGAGAAGACAAGGAAGCCGGATAACTAATCTGGGCTTTATTTGCTAGTTATTTGAAACTGAAAAGAATCCAAAGGTGAACGAAAGAAAAAAAGAATATTTGCAACCATAGAAACCGCAGTTGCTAAAGGTGGCCTGGGAAATCTGCCAGTAACCAGTTCACCCACCTCTTTTTATAGTCAAAGAAACCCAACTTCATTTAACGCTTAAGCAACTCACCTACCTTCCATTTCACCACTTTGCTTCTGGGAAGCTTGGGCCCAGATATAAGTTACTTGCCTGAGGTCACACAACTCTGCAATCTTTTAATTCAGAGTCTACAGTTTTTTCCACAATCACACCCCTGCTAAACATCTTCTCTAACTTACAGCCCCAAATTCTAAAAGCAGAAATGATTTAAGTGGATGTTTTAGGATTGCGCATTTTGGGTGGCTAAAAAGTATTACCACCAGTATTTCTTGTTAAAGAGCATTATATTATCTTCACTGAATAACTATATGTTAGTAAAACCCAACCCTTTACTGGGCTCTAGGGCCAGGCCACCATGCTAAGTGACACATGGACCCTCTCATTATTTCCCATCACAAGCTCTTATTATTCCCAGTGTACAGATGGGGAAACTGAGGTATAGTTAGGTTATTCAAATCTCCTAGGTCACCCAATGAGTAACAAGAACCAAGATTCAATCCCTGATTTCATTATGCCTTGGGGTCTTTAAGAATGTGAATGTTGCCAATGCTCTAGTATCCAAGTTCGGCTCTCACTTCAGTCAATGTCACACTGCTTGGTTTCTGCGTCAAACATGCCACCAATCTAAGTAACAGGATTCAGTTAAAATGCAAGCAAATTTTCTGGCAGTGGCCGTATTTCATGCCAAAATACCAACCCTTTAAATTTGCTCCCTAACATTTTACAGTCAATTCTACAAACATCTTCAAGTCTCCCCTACCTGCAGCACCACCACACACACTTGTTAGAAAATGCAGGATCACCTGGCTAAAGTGCAGCACTCCCTACACCTGCCCAGATATGAGCCATGCTGCTGGGGTGGTGCCGGGGAGGCGAGTGATTTTTTTTTTTAAGATTTTATTTATTTATTCATGATAGAGAGAGAGAGAGAGGCAGGGACACAGGCAGAGGGAGAAGCAGGCTCTATGCAGGGAGCCTGTTGCGGAATTTGATCCCGGGTCTCCAGGATCATGCCCTGGGCCAAAGGCAGGCACTAAACCACTGAGCCACCCAGGGATCCCGAGGCGAGTGATTTTGTGAGGCCAAACCTACCTTGCTTTCACATCTCTCAGCACTAAATGTTCAAATCAGGAAGGCAGATTAAAATAGTCTAGATTTGCTCCTTGCTCTTCCACTTACCAGCTGTACTTTCATTCTTTAAATTTGGATTTCCTCATTTGTAAACTCATGGTAGGCATCCATCTACCTTATTTAATCTGAGGATTAAACAGCAAATACCCATGCCTCTTACGTGATAGGCAGTTAATCAATATTAGCTCCCCTCCACTGTCAGGACCCTTCTAAGTTTTATCTATAGAAGAAAGAAGTAGTTGGTGGAAAGGCTAGTTCACCATAATAAACAATGAGCAAGTGATAAATCCTTCATTGCTGTGCCGTGCTTCCTTTCTATGTCAACATCTAATGGCAAATCTTCCAGTTCTCCAGCTTAACAGCACATATGAATATGTTAAAGTTCACAAAGAACTCCTGGCTTGATATGCAAAATATTTCAGAAAGCTTTCATCTCTGAGTGTTCATCTCTGTACCCAAGCAGTTTGCTTATTTACCGACAGGACTTACCTCCTCTGTTTGGTTGGGACTCAGTGAATCTGGTGCAAGAATTTGTGCCATAGGATTATCACATGTGCTTATTTTCTCAACTGCTTCCTGTAAAGAAAAGAACCAGAGGTCCAGAAAACTTCCTGCTCTTGGTGCCATGTAAGCTACTCTTCCTGGACCAGCTCATTTTACACATCACCTGGTTGCAGAAATGTCCAGAAAATTCAGGTGCATTTAGAGAAAAGTTTGTTCATTAGAAAAAAAAAATCAGCTTCCTCAGGTTTGTCTTAATTTGAAAGACTTAAATTTTCTAAAGCTCTCTAGTTAATGAGGAACATATAAGGAAATCTATAGAATTCTGTATTTAAGTAGATTAATAAGAGAACCAAAAAAAATTAAATGAAATTATATGATAAAGGCCACCTTTCAAATAATAGGGGAAAAGATTAATTTATTATATTTGGGAACTACTCAGGTATTTCATGAAAAAATATAACTAAATCCTTGTCTTACTCCTAATAATGGATTCTAATTGTATCTAATATTCATTCATTCATTCATTCATTCATTTTTAGAGAGGCAGTGAGAGCAGGGTGGGGTGGGGGTTGCTGAGGGATAGAAGAAGAGAGAGAATGTTAAGCAGGCTCCACACCCAGCGTGGAGTACAACACAGGACTCAATCTCATGACCCTGAGATCATGACCTAAACTGAAATCAAGAGTCAGATGCTCAACTGACTGAGCCACCCGGATGCCCCATATCTAATATTTAAATGTAAAAGTTATGCCATAAAAATTCTTAAAAAAAAAAAAAACAGTGAATCTTTTTCTAATCTAGGAGTGGAGAAGGACTTTTTTTTTTATTTTTTTAATAAATTTATTTTTTATTGGTGTTCAATTTACCAACAAACAGAATAACACCCAGTGCTCATCCCATCAAGTGCCCCCCTCAGTGCCCGTCACCCATTCACCCCCACCCCCTGCCCTCAGGGAAAATTAACAAGGCAGGAAACCACAAATGTTGGAGAGGATGCGGAGAAAAGGGAACCCTCTTACACTGTTGGTGGGAGTGTGAACTGGTGCAGCCACTCTGGAAAACTGTGTGGAGGTTCCTCAAAGAGTTAAAAATAGACCTGCCCTACGACCCAGCAATTGCACTGTTGGGGATTTACCCCAAAGATTCAGATGCAATGAAATGCCGGGATACCTGCACCCCAATGTTTATAGCAGCAATGTCCACAATAGCCAAACTGTGGAAGGAGCCTCGGTGTCCATTGGGAGAAGGACTTTTAAAGCATGATAAAGGAGAAAGAATGTTAGTATTAGCAACATAAACAATGATAATTTTTACCTTATAAAGCATCATAATCTAAGTTAAAAATGAAATAACAGACTGGGATAATAGCTTACAATGTATTACTGTTCTTAAATATCAGACCCTATGTAGAGAAAAATGTCAAATGGCATGAACAAGCATTTCATAAAAGAATACAAAAGTCGGAGCACCTGGGTAGCAGAGTTAAGTGTCTGACTCTCGGTTTCGGCTCAGGTCATGATCTCAGGTTCATGAGATCGAGCTCAACAGGGAATCTGCTTCAGATTCTCTCTCCCTCTGTCCATCCCCCACCCAGGCACACATTCTTTCTCTCTCTCAAATAAATGAATCTTACAAATAAGAATACAAAGGCCAATAAACAAAGAGATATTCAACATTCTTAGAAAATAAATGTAATTTAAACTACTGGATAAGTTTGGCTAAAATTGAAAATATCCCATGTCAGTTGGGGTCAAGAAAGAGGCATTTCCATGCATTCCTGATAGGAATCAAATTGGTACAGTCTTTCTAGAGGGCAGTTTGATAATGTTGGCACACTTTATTTTTTAAAAATTTTTATTTATTTATGATAGTCACACACAGAGAGAGAGAGGCAGAGAGAGAAGCAGGCTCCATGCACCGGGAGCCTGACGTGGGATTCGATACCGGGTCTCCAGGATCACACCCTAGGCCAAAGGCAGGCGCTAAACCGCTGCGCCACCCAGGGATCCCTGTTGTCACACTTTAAATGGATGTATACTTTGATCCAGCACTCCTACTTCATAGGTTAACCAACATTAAAAAATGAGAAAATTATATATACACAAGTAATTAACATCATGTAGTAAGAAAAGTATACTCAACTAATTTTGATTGTTTTACTTAAAAGTTGCATGATCTTGGACAAGTTAACTGGGATTCTTTGAGCCACTGAAGTGGGAATATAATCTACCTCACTCATGTATATGATTACTAAATAAGATGACATATTTAAGTATCTAGCAGTTCCTAACAAAATATTGGTTGCTTTTCAGCTTATACTGAAAATAAGAGCTACTATTAGAAAGGTATGAACCAAGAACTATAAGTAAAGCTTAGACTAAATTGGAAGGGGAGGTCCTGAAGGATCAGAGAGTCTAGAAAGGCTAAGAAGAATGCATTTTACTCAGCAAATAATCAGAATCCATTAAATATTTTAGCTCAGCAGTAATGGTTTCAGGAAAAGTCATCAGTTACTATTGTATAAGATGTATTAGGAAAAATAACTGGAGGCTATAAACCCACTTAGAAGGCTACTCTAAAAGTCCAGGGCAGAAGTAACAACTGCCTGGAATGGGATGATGGCAAAATCATGGGAGGAGAAGAAGGGTATAAAGACTGAATGGACATCACTTGATGGAATGTGGAAGGTAAGAGAAGTGAGTGAGGTACCTAAAGAAGTTTGTTTAAGACAATGAGAAAACAGAGGTGCCATAAACAGACACTGAGAAATTAGGAAGGGTTTTTTTTAAAGATTTTATTTATTTATTTATTTATTTATTTATTTGGACACACACAGAGAGAGAGAGAGAGACAGGCAGAGAGAGAAGCAGGCTCCATGCAGGGAGCCTGACGTGGGACTTGATCCCAGGACTCCAGGATCACGCCCTGGGCTGAAGGTGGCGCTAAACTGCTGAGCCACCCGGGCTGCCCAGGAAGAACCAGTTTTGAAGGAAGTTGGTCAGATGACCTGGAGATCAAGAAAACACATCCAGGAAGAGAAATCTGTCAGCAAAGAAATGTAAAACAGATTCAAAGAAAGAGTCAAGACTAAAGGCTTGATGTGGGGATCACTGGCATAGAGATACTACCAAACCAATGGGAGAGGACAAAACTGCCCTGAGGGAAATGAAAGAAACACTGGGCAGATGTCTACCAGCAGGTGGATGGGGTGGGAGAAGGTGACAAAGGAGGGGCTGCAGGTAGGTGACAAGAAAACACAGAATTAAGAAAGTCAAAGGATCCCTGTATTTCAGGAAGAGATGTTGACAGTGTCTACTGCTGGAGAAATCAAAAAGGATTAGGACTAATAAAAAGGCACTAAACTGATGTTCCAGAAGTCAATGGCAGTTTAGCCAGGGGCAAAAATTTGATTACGGAAGGTGAGAAGCTCCAAGTGAAGACTTTTAGTCATGAACAAGAGGAAGCCCAGTAATTGACCTGGGAAGCAGGATGGAGAAAGTCAAGGCATTCAAGTACCATGCTGAGCCCAGTACAGGACCTAAACATGTTAAAGTTCTTGCCATTCGCCAAACCGTGTTCGTTTGTGCATAAAAATGTGGTAAGTCCTAAGTGGTTCAGAATGCTACCAGGATGAAGGGAAAGTGGGGGTTTCTTGAAGGAGGTGGAAGGTGAGATGGCCCTGGTGGATGAGCAGGATGCCTACAGGCAGGCTGGGAGAGAAAGGCATCCCGGGGATACAAAGCAGTTTCTGAAGACAGTCTGGGATTTGGGGTGCTCAGTTTGTTTGGAAGGGCAGGACCCTGAGGGAGAAAACTTCCTAGAGAGTGGAGAGACCGACTACTTCTCAGAGAGGGAAGGAACACCTCAAGAGGCAGAGTCTGGAGCTGCAGATACAGCAGAGCCCGGTACCAAGGTTTAACAAAAGGATTGGCAGAGCTCAGCCCCAGACAGGAGACAGGAGCGACAGGCATTCGGATCAGAGTGATGCTGGGATGTTTCAGGAACAAGGGAAAAACATCATTTTCACATTAGCTTATAATAACTTTCTAAGGTAAGGGCATTTTCCCTCTAGTTTGAGAGGCTGGAGAAGATTTGGAAGGTCATAAAGAGCAAAAAAGACATACACATTATATACTACTTTGCTCAAAAAGAGAATTAGGGAGAGACTCCTCCCCCAACTACTCCCAAAAAAGAGAGGTGTGTTAAATGCATAGAAACACTGCAGTGAGCCTTTTAAAGAGGGGCTCCTTTGTTAGTCTGAATTCACACATATGAAGTTCTCAGAAAATACTCTCCTATTATCACTGAGCACACAGTAGAACTGCAAATAATAAGCAGGTACTTGGCTGCTTTTGAATTTGTGCAAAGGTAATGGTGAGAAACAAAAAATTTCAGCCCCAATAGTTTCCCTCCCCAAGAAATTTTTCAAAAAAGAAATTCTTTTGACTTACTTCCTTTACTAACCCTGCCAGCCTCCAACCACCATGTGTATTATGCTCAGTATTACCTGAATGATGGTTCCAGAGGATGAGGATGCTCTGTCTTCCTCCATGTCCCCATCATGCTTCCAGAGTAAAGACCCAGAAGATGGCTTTGCCTTCTTATCTCCATTCTAACACAATAATCAATTGATTAGCAAAGAAGTCATTTCCTACCACCCTAATAGCATCCTACTCATCGCTCCTGTAAAACTCAGATTACCAGGCAGTATAACTATAGCCCTTAATATCACCACCACCGCCCCCCTTCACACACACACACCTATTTTTCATCTCTTTCTTTGGCTAACAAAATTACAGGAGTCCAAATGTGTTTGCTCTTCCTGAAGCCTAAAAGATACTCCGAAAAGTTGGAAGTCAGCTCACATCACTCAAAAAAGGATCTTCAAAATGGCAGTTTAGGAATTTAATCTGCTTTCGTAAATGTAACCTCAAATGCTCTCTTTAAATAATCGCCTGATAGGGGTGCCTGGGGGTTCAGTCAGTTAAGTGCCTGCCTTCGGCTCAAGTCACGATCCTAGGGCCCTGGGATCAAGCCCCGCCTTGGGGTCCCTCCTCAGCACTCTCCCAGCAGAGTGTCTGCTTCTGTTCTCCCTCTCCCTCTGCTCCTCACTTTCTCTTTGCCCAACTCCACTCCCCCAAAGCCTGCTCTGTCTCTTTCTCTCAAGTAAATAAATAAACCTTAAAACAAACAAACAAACAAACAAACAAACAAACAGCTGATGAGCATGTATTTTTGCTGTTGCCAAGGACAAGCAGTGGATATCATAAACATATTAGCTCAGAAGCAAATATAGATCGTACGTTAGAATTACACTGCTGTGCATTCTATTCTCCACCCGGGTACCTTTCTGCTCTCACTATTCCCTATTTTCACTATTCGCAAAGGGGCATAATCAGGTTATGAAGTTGTCTGATGGCCTGAGCATACAGTAAGCCCATGCTCCCCCTTGTCTAACCAATCAGTTCCGTGGTGTCCTGGTCTAGGGGAGAGCAGGTTGTTCTGTGTGACAGTGGAGCTATTTAACAATCCATAAGATGAGCAGAGAACGGGTCTAGTGGTTGCATGCGAGACATAAAGACAACAAATTGCTGCAATTTTCTTCCTTCAGGCATAAGACCCACCATAACTTTTTTTTTTTAAATTATTTATTTATGATAGTCATACAGAGAGAGAGAGAGGCAGAGACAAGGCAGAGGGAGAAGCAGGCTCCATGCACCGGGAGCCCGACGTGGGATTCGATCCCGGGTCTCCAGGATCGCGCCCTGGGCCAAAGGCAGGCGCCAAACCGCTGCGCCACCCAGGGATCCCCCCACCATAACTTTTAAAGTCTAAAATGGAAATTGATACCAGGAAGGACAACTGTAAGTGTCTCATGCAATCAGTTCTCATGGAGTAGTAAGGAGTAGCAGCAGTAGTTGCTAACACAACTCTTTATATTGACCATGCTGCTTCAGACTAAAAGAGTACTTCAAATCTGAAAAAATCAAGTTCTAAGAAAGCACCCAAGGAGTGCCCACCAAACAACATACTCTCGAAATTCCAGAGAATGTCCTCAGAAGTTGGATACAACCAAGAACTTCATCTGCTCCCTCACGCTAACAAGTGCGTCTGAATTACATTTATCCCACTCGGGAATGAAGTGGATTTAGATGCACTTAACATTAATACTGTAAGAGAACGGCTTCAATCACTATTATAAAACATTGGCATTAAAGTTTAAAATGTGTTGCTATTCATTTTAAGATCTTCCCACTGAACTGAACTTCTAACAAGATTTAATGAGAAAATCATGTTCCTGGGATCCCTGGGTGGCGCAGCGGTTTGGCGCCTGCCTTTGGCCCAGGGTGCGATCCTGGAGACCCGGGATCGAGTCCCACATCGGGCTCCCGGTGCATGGAGCCTGCTTCTCCCTCTGCCTGTGTCTCTGCCTCTCTCTCTCTCTCTCTCTCTCTCTCTCTGTATGACTATCATAAATTAAAAAAAAAGAAAATCATGTTCCTTACTTCACTCTTCAGGGAGCTCTCTTCCACCTCTTCCTTGAGTGCCGGCAGGAAAGACATGGAACTTGTTTTGTTCAACTGAAAGGCAAGGCATACACACCTGTAGCCAGGTTGCTGTTCAACATCACTGGGATCCTAGCCTGGCTACGCTTCTATGTAGCTTATTTTTTACTCACTTCATTCAAGATGTCCACCCACCCAGGTAGCCTCATCCAGCCAAATATCAGGACTCCATCAAATTTTACATCCCTTTCACCTGGGCTGCTTCCTGTGGCCCCTCATCCAACAGTTCAAAATGGTATCCATTGATGTGGACTTGGGGTGGACTTAGAGAAGTGCTGGGTCCATTTTTGAGTTTACGCTGAGCTCAGGGATCAAGCCTCGCCTTGGGCTCCCTCCTCAGCAGAGAGTCTGCTTCTGCTTCTCCCTCTCCCTCTGGACGAAGGACGAAGGCACTTCAGGGGTAGCTCCTACCCACCTGCCTGTGGAATTCCATATACATCTCAAGTAACTTGGGCATAGGAATTCCAGGTTGAGGGGATCCCTGGGTGGCTCAGCGGTTTAGCGCCTGCCTTGGGCCCAGGGCACGATCCTGGAGTCCCGGGATCGAGTCCCGCGTTGGGCTCCCGGCATGGAGCCTGCTTCTCCCTCCTCCTGTGTCTCTGCCTCTCTCTCTCTCTCTCTCTGTCTATCCTAAATAAATAAATAAATCTTTAAAAAAAAAAAAAAGGGAATTCCAGGTTGAGTCCAGAACAGACACACCCCAAGGATTCACATACCCTATTGAACAATCTCAGAGGATCTCCACTTTTAAAATTCCTTATAGGCCAGCGACAGAGATGCCACAGGTTTTGCAGGTGAAAAATAACACCAATTTAATACTCCTGTGGGAAGTGGGGTCAACATTAGCCTAAAGTCCTACCCACCTTCCATTCAGAAACATCCCTCTCAGCCACTCCTTCTTCTTCTGATGCTCCAGTTGATGGCATTTCTTGTTCTGATTCTTGCTGGTCCTGCTGTAAATGCTGGTGAAGGTTTAGTATGGCAGCCTTCAAGTCCACCAGCAGGTCCTCTCTCTTCTGGGTCAAACTCAGAATCTGCTTTTCCATACCTTTGATATTTCCCTGTGCAGAAAGAGTGTTTGCATTGCTGTGGGCTGCCTGAGGCCTCTGCATGTCCCCAGGAGCTTGCATCATTCGGTATGAGGGATGATGAGTTTTCTGTGCTGTTTGGTTTGCAGAGCCAGGAGTGAGTGTCAGGTAGGCTTCCTCCCTATCCTGGTTGCCTTTCCCAATGACCTGGTGAGGGCTTATAAGCTCCCCTTATAGGATGACTTAGCTTCACCCACCACCTGACACTTGGTCCATCAGTTCTCTGGGGGTCAAGCCAAGGCTCAGAGATTTGTAAAAAGTTTTTTTTTGTGGGGGGCCTGTGGTGTGCAGCCAGGGCTGGGAGCCACCTCTCTAGTGGCAACAGGACTGACTGCCAGAACCCATAGGGTCATGGCTCAGGAAACGACCCAGGCGATTTGTAAGCAGACTTGGGAACGACAGAGTGGAAACAAAGTGAGAAATCTCACACTTCCATTATTGCTTCTGGAGCCATCTTTACTCTTACTGAATTCATTTACTTTTTCCTCACAAATTTTCCTACAAAATGGGAATAAACAAGCAAATAAAGGTAGTGTGAAGTGTAACTTACCATAGGAATGATGGACACATGATCCCAAGCTTTAGAACGTTACTTTAAAATTTTGTAATTGATGGGTGGAAATAAAATATCTTATATGTGATATAGAAGTGCACTTGCCCATTGTCCATCTAAGACAAAACAGAACTATGGAATCCTAGATTTGGAGGAAAGAGCAGGTGTCTAATCTAACATCCTCCTCTCTTAACACCCCTGAAAGGCATCATTCCACCTTTGCCTTGGCCTTGCAATCAGTGCATCAGAAGACAACCTGTTCTTTATCAGCAAGCCTTCAAGTATTGGAATTTTTGTTTCTAATATATTCCTCTATTCCCTGATCATTTATTTTTTCTTTCTTTCTTTCTTTCTTTCTCTTTCTTCTTTCTTTCTTTCTTTCTTTCTTTCTTTCTTTCTTTCTTTCTTCCTACTCATTGATCCATCCATCCCACAGACATTCATAAAAATCATTATTATTATTATTATTATTTTTTACAGAGAAGCTTAACATGTCTCTACGAATAAGTGAGAGTTCTGAAGTCCAGGAAGGTGATTTTTCCAGAGCTGCAGCTAGCCAGTGACAGAGCAGAGACCTGGACTTCCTGACACTCACGCCCATGGCTCTTCTGCTGCTACTGCACACATTCTGACCAGTAACTCTATTCTGTCTGAAGTTAAACATCTTGTGATTGCTTTGGGAAATGATAACTGAATGAAATAGGAGTTGGCAGTGCTATGGGTCCATTTCCAATAAACACTAAACTTCAGAGGTATAATGCCTCCCAACAGACATAATACTACAGTCATTAGAATAACCCTAAGAGAAACAGAACAGTCTGTACACCAGCATTATAGAGGCACAGGAGGGCCATTCTCAAAAGAGGAATCTGTAGACCCATGGGGGTTCACATTCCACGAGGTCAAGATCATTTTCATTGTAATATGAAAATGTTACTTGCCCTTTTCACTCTGTTGGCATTTTTCACTCTTTGATGATGCAAAAGCAATGGTGGGTAAAACTACTTGCACTTTATATGAATCAAGACACGGATAGTAACTGTATTAATTTAGATCCTTCGCTATCAAGTGCTCAACTGTTTAAAAAAAAAGGCAATTTCACTTAAGAATGTCCTTGATAAAGAACATGCATTTCAAATATTCCGTGTGACAAAGTGGAAAGCATGCAGAATGCACTTCTGCTGTGTGCCAAAGTATGATGATGGAGGGAAAAGCTCTGTGTGATTATTTAAGTTTTGAGCAGAACTACCCAATTTTGTCATAAAATGCTATTTTTACTTAAAAAAATAGTTGCTAAGCTATACATATATAGAAATACAGATTTTTCTGAAGAGGTAAATGTTACTATTAATAAATGTGAATTTCTGAATATTAACTACTGAAATGTCGACATATTTGGAAGATCTATGTAACTAGTGAAACAATATTTTCCGAATGATCAAGCATGATGTCCTAAAACCATGCATGGTTAGAAGATCTAAGTACAGACAGAACAATGGATCTTAATGCAAGAGCATGAAAACTTCATTGACATGCCTTTGGATTTCATTTAACAAACGTATCTATGAGTAACTCTTACTTGTTAGAGTTTAGTGTAATTTCAAAGAATGTCCACAATTATTCAAAAGGTTATTAAAATATTCCTTTCTTTTCCAAGTACATGTTGTTGAGAGGTTGGATTGTTTTTATATACTTCAAACACAGCTACATACCTCAACAGATGGAATGCAGAAACAGAAGGAAATCTAGCTGTCTTCTACCAAGCCAGATTTAAGAAATTTGCAAAAATGTAAAACAAGGTCGCTCCTCTCACTACATTTTCTTTTGGAAACTAATTTCTTCCATAAAAATATGTTATTTCTACCAATATGTAATGGGGTTATTATTGTTATTTTAAAATAAACTAAATTATTTTTATATTTCTGAGTTTTAATTTCTATATTAGTAGATATGATTCATATAAACTAAAGCTCTCTGGGATCCTCATAATTTTTTTAACATAATGGGAAATTTAATAGATTTACAATATTGAGTCTTCAATGTTGAGTCTACCTTACTGAGTCCACCACTGAGTCCACCACCTAGTGTGGTATGTCCCCTTAGGCTCCTCTGTAAGTAATTTGCTTTAGACCTCACAGTAGTAAGTGTCACAACCTGGCTTTGAATACCATAGCATTCGCCTGCCCAATCACCTTGATAGTAGGATAAAAGCAGCTCTTTACAATGCTTGGCATGCAATCATTTGTTGTTGTTGTTGTTGTTATAGAAGTACTAATTTGAAAACAAAGACTAAAAAAAAGAAAACCCTAAGCAGTAGATGGTTAACATGTACACCATTGTAACTGGGTAATTGTAATTAGGATATTGCTAATCATGGTATATGGAAATATTACTTAGTATATGAAACTCTTCATTATAACAGTGTTTAGGGTCTTTGCCTATAATGTAAAGCCCAGCCCGCCCATACTGCCCGGCCCCTAATTCAGAAAGCTAGACAGAAAGTCAGGTTGCCCAAATATCCTGTGTTACATCAGCTTCTTAGCAGAGCCAAATGCACCCATTTTATGAAATAAGAACAGAAGGTTAATATACACAGAATATACCTTCACTTGAAAGAAAGGAGAAAACACACTGTACTATCCCAAAGGCTTCTAGACACCAATAGGTTAGTAAACAATGGTTGAATGAACTGTAGGCTAAATAAATTAAAGAGACATACCTGTACTTGCGGCAGGTTGGTAGCTTGATCTGGTGATATACGCTCATGGGAGAACTCAGTTGAATAATTATTTAAGATCTGCTTCAAATTTTCTATTTCCTCATTGCATTCATCAGTCTGTTTTATGACAATCTATAAAATAATCCCCCCCAAAAGAAGACTGTCATAATCTAAGGACTAGATTCATGGGTTACTTCCAACATCTATCCCCACCACAAGTTTTAATCAATTATAGCAAACACACACCCATATAGGTTGCAATAGAAAATGGTAGCCTAAATACAGAGAAAAATGTTCACAGGACTAGCACCTGACTTTCTTGCTCTACTACATGCCAGGATACCTTGGGCAGTGCTTGAAATATAAGCATTATAAGACACACCTTTATTCTTAAGTATTTCCAGTCTACTGGGCTTATGTTGAGAAGAATTTTATGGCATGTTAACATAAAGTTGCCAAGTTTTATGAAATTACTGATATGTCTTTCATGCTATTTTAATGCATGCTCCATGTGATGCTTTCCACATAGAAATGTGACGTTACTGATTCAGAGGGGAAAGGGCATGTGATCTGAGAGATGAATTTTCCTGAACCAGCCACATCCTCATCCGGTATCCCTTGGGATCAATCAGTGATACAAATTTTATAAGTAACAACTGGAGGGTTCAAGAGCAGCCTGAGTTTGCAGGAGGAATAGGTATCATTAACCAGAACCATACATTGAATTTAGCGTTAAAGAAGTAGTGAAGCGGGCAGCCCCGGTGGCGCAGCGGTTTAGCACCGCCTGCAGTCCAGGGCGTGACCCTGGAGACCCAGGATCGAGTCCCATGTCAGGCTCTCTGTATGATGCCTGCTTCTCTCTCTGTCTCTATGAATAAATAAATAAAATTTTTTTTTAATAAAAATCTTTTAAAAAAAAGTAGTGAAGCTTGAACCTATGTGTGTACTAAACTGTATGATCAAAGTATGATGGAAAGATAAAGGAAGTATAGATATTTCCTTGTTATGCTATACAATGAAGCAAAACATCTTTTAAAACTGCATAGTTTCTGGGCAACATAGAATTTTTCCTTATGTTTTCTTTAATATTTAATCATAATTTTAGCTGCGGGCTGGAAAGTAATAACTATGTTTGCTGCACACATCTGTTCGCCCGCCCTCAGTAATGAGCTACATCCTATTATCACCTACCTCCAAAGTAATTTGTCTTGTTTTCCACAATGAGGGCACTTACTGTAGTAAAACAGAAATTAAAAGAAATATGCCATATTCTAATGATTTTTCACTACTACTGGCTTACTTAATTTTGAAATATAGGAGATGACATCTGATTTCCACTAACACAATAAATTGGAAAATTTTAGCAGCACAGTTTGAGACCTAACTTGCACAAAACATAATTTCCTCTCCTATTTCACCTCTTCTCATCCTGTGAAGAAGCCACCTTAAAGCACAGTTACAATTGTTATTTTCTTTTCCTGACCAAGAAACCAATAAAGCACATACAAAAAAAAAAAAGGATTAAAAATAATAGATCAAATTTTATATCTTTCTGTTTTTGATATCTTTATCATATGAAAAAACAGTACACAGAATGCCAGATCATTTTTCTCCCCGTGGGTGTTAAGAAATGATATCTGCTGGTCAATAGCCAGGATAGAGAGATTCTATGAGCTCAGACTCAAACCAGAGGATATCCTCAAATCTTAGGAGAACACAGAGTAGTCAATTAAATGGGAATGAAATTTAAGAGGAAGAAAGAGATGGCAGCTTTCTCCCTATAATCAGGTAGTGGTTGGGAAATGGGGAAAATAACCTTTTCTCCTACCCCAATCTATCTAATCAGGAAGAGCAAGTAGGGAGTGGGAGTGGGGTGGGATCTACCAATGAAGTTGAGAAGTCTGTGGAAATGAAGGCTCTTTCAGCAACTTTCTGTTCTTGTGAAAGTGGTTGTTAATCTAGGAATACAAACCAAAGAAAAATGTAATTTCTATCTAATAACGATTCCTGACTTGGGCCTGGAGATCAATCAAAACATATGAAGTAAAACAAAACAAAAACCAAACACCGAAGAGACAAAACCTTCTGTGGAGAGGCTGAAAAATATCATCAGTTAGAAGGAAGAGACCCTAATACGGAGAATGAATGATACCAGGAGTCTAGAAACTCAAATTCTTATCTTATTTGCACACAAACGAATCTGGACACAAGTTAACTCAGTGGTCTTTCAGTAAGTCATCTAACCTTCTGACTCTAGTCTCCTTATATGTAAAAATAAGGGTGGCAAAGAAATATCTATCTATATTACATGTTGGAGAATAAAATGAGATGATTAATAGGAAAGTAACTGAGATTATTTTGGTGCTGGTTACTCTAAGAGTCTCAGTGAGATTGCAAATGTACTGCTCAGGTTCCAACCTCCCTCCACAGCATTTACCCATGTAGATCTTCAATAATTGTAGGATGGAATCCAACAGATGATATCTAAGCTTTAATGCCTTTGATCGAACAAGAATAAGAACTGAGAAAAAATCATCTTAGCTCCATTTGAGCAATAAGCTATTCTTTTTGGTCAAATATAATTTCCTGGATAATAATACTGGAAGAGACCTAAAAGAATCAACAAAAGCAGCATCTTGTGGTCATGGGAATCTCACCGATCTACCATTAAAACTGAAAACAACCAGCTTTTGCCAAAAGTTTTTCAGCCAATTAGGTGGCCATCATCATAAACTGCTCACCTTTAATAATTCATTTTGTTCCTGAGTCACATTTTCCATCAGTTTTATATCTTGTAAAAGCTGATTTGTCCGCTGAAACACAGGTAGAGGTTTCATTCCCATCTGGGTCCACCGCAGTTCCACTTGGTAAGACACCAGTTCAGCAATGGCTTTCTTCATGGGACGTATATTTTCAAGTATGACCTTAATTATATCAGATAAGCACAGTACATAAATGAAAAGAAATAGCCACTGCTGAATTTGTTCAAAATTAAAATACTGTATGATTTAGTCTTTACAGTTTTGATTTTGAAAATATTTCCTTGGCTCAGACTGAAAAGAACTCTTAGATCACTTGTGACCTGATAGCTAAAGGTCTCAGGAAAGAATGCCTGGGGCAAGACTAACCCGTTACCTGTGTTTGATTCTGTGTTTGGACTACCCCTGCCTTCCTTCTCTTCTTCCCTCCCTCTCTGCAGAACTGATGATTTGCTTTGTGTCGCCAGGCAGTGAGCTGTGTAAGGGCAGGTAGTGTTCTCCTTCATTCACAGCAACTGAACCTAGCATGGGGCTTCCCAAAGGAAGGTCTCAAAAAAACGCTTAGTGAATTGAACTATCCTGCCAAATATCCTAAGTCTCAAAAGTATAATTATATTTTGCTTGAATGACATCTGACTTCTAAAGATCGGGATTTATATAATCAAAAAATGAGAAGAGATTATTCACTTTACTAAGTCCTTCATATATATCACTTCATTTAATCATCACAACTATGCTAGGAGGTAGGTATCAGAACTTCCATTTCACAGTAAGGAAATTAGGTGCACAGAAGTTAGAAGACCCAGAGGGGGTCAGACTATAAGAGGCAGGCCTGGGAACAGAAACCAGGCCTGCCTGATTCCTATTCCAAATCATAGGCTCCTAACTGCTAGGCTGAGGGGGAATCAATGTCTGAATGCTGTCTAATATGTCCCTGATCCTGTGCTAGCAGCTCTGTATACACTGTAATTGTCCAGTTTAATCACCACAATACCAACGTGCAGATATGAAAGAGAATCTAAGAAATGTTAACTAATTGCTCAAAGCCACATAACCCATAAGCAGTGTAGTTGGATCTAGAACCCAGTTCTCTTGAGTAGAGGCTCAAGCTCTTGAACTGTTAAGCACTGTGATTTGACAGGAAGGCAAAACTCCCAAAATTTGAAGTTTTCAGAAGAAATTAAATGAAGGAAAAAAAAAACCCAACCTATAAGAAAATTATCTTTTTATAGATAGTACTGTATGATTTAAAACATGATATTTATTGTCATTCCCATCTACTTCCCAACTTTATTCTGCTATTACTCTAGCAAGACTAAGTACTTTTTATCACATCATATAATTATATATTTAAAAATAAACATAAGTATTATGAGAAAATGTTTTTTCTTAAATTTTTTTATTTATTTATGATAGTCACACAGAGAAAGAGAGAGAGAGGCAGAGACATAGGCAGAGGGAGAAGCAGGCTCCATGCACCGGGAGCCCGACGTGGGATTCGATCCCAGGTCTCCAGGATCATGCCCTGGGCCAAAGGCAGGCGCTAAACCGCTGTGCCACCCAGGGATCCCCGAGAAAATGTTTTTTATAATGATCCATGCTTTCTTACCTCCCCATGCTTAAGATGTTCTTCTGGTGAAAAATCAAATATTTCTTTCGATAAGAGGATAGCTTTGATTTTTGAAACTTTTTTCTCTATTGATTTTACTTCAGTTTCAATAGCAACCACATCCTAGAATTTCAGAAACAGAAAAACCTCTCATGCAGCATATATTTTATGTTAATAATCTATAAAACACAATTTATTTGCTGTGTATTCTATTCTCCTATTTAACCAAAAATGTTTGCTGCTTATATCTCTTAAAAATTAACCAACTGTATCTTCAACAAATGGTGTTGGGAAAACTGGACAGCTATGTGCAAAAGAATTAAACTGGACCACTTTCTTACACTATACACAAAAATAAATTCAAAATGGATTAAAGATCTAAATTTAAGACCTGAAACCATAAAAATCCTAGAGAAGAACACAGGCAGTGACTTCTTTGACATTGGCCATAACAACATCTCTCTAGATATGTCACCTGAGGCAAAGGAAATAAAAGCAAAAATAAACCATTGGGTCTACATCAAAATGAAAAGCTTCTGCACAGCAAAAGAAACAATCAACAAAACTAAAAGGCATCCTATGGAATGGGAGAAGATATGTACAAATGATATAATCAATAAAAAGGTTGTTCTATAATCAATAAAGGGTCAGTATGCAAAAGATGTAAAGAATGTACACGATTCAACACCAAAACCAAATAATACAATTAAAAATGGGCAGAAGACATGAAGAGACATTTCCCCAAAGACATACAGATGGCCAACAGACACATGAAAAGATGCTCAACATTACTCATCATTAGGGAAATGCAAATCAAAACTACAATGCATTATAACCTCACACCTGTCAGAATGGCTAAAATAAAAAACACAGGAAACAGCGTTGGCGTGGATGTGGAGAGAAAGGGACTCTTATGTGCTGTTGGCAGGAATGAAAACTGGTGCAGCCACTGTGGAAAACAGTATGGAAGATCCTCAAAAAATTAAAAATAGAATTACCATGGGATCCAGTAATCCCACTACTGATAAAGAATACCAAAACACTAATTCAAAAAGATATAGCACTCCTATGTTTATTGCAGCATTATTTAAAACAGACAAATTATGGAAGCAAACTATGGAAGTGTCCATTGATAGATGAGTGGATAAAAAAGATGTAGGGTATATATATATATATATATATATATATATATATATATATAATGGAATATAACTCAGTCATGAAAAAGAATGAAATCTTGCCATTTGCAACAAGATGGATGAATCTACAGAGTATAATAAGTGAACACGTTATTCAGAGAAAGACAAATACTGTATGACTTCACTCATATGTGGAATTTAGGAAACAAAACAAATGAGCAGAAGAAAAAAGAGACAAACCAAAAAACAAACTCTTAACTATAGAGAACAAACTGATGATGGTTATCAGAAGGAAGATGGGTGAGAGGATGGGTAAAATAGGTGAAGGGAATTAAGAGTATACTTATTGTGATGAGCACTGAGTAATGTACAGAATTGCTGAATCACTATATTGTATACCTGAAACTAATATGACACTGTATGTTAACCATACTGGAATTAAAATTAAAAAAAAAGTGTACATAGATGTTGACAGCTTTTAATAAAAAGGTCGTTCTATTCATAACATACCACTCTATAAAACACTGCTTAAACTTTGTTGAGTTAGAACTTTTCGTTAAGTCCTATTTTCAATTACTTACACTATAAGAACAAGCTATTATGTATCTGAATCAACTTTTTTAAGTGTATTTTTTAAATGAACTTAAAGTTTATTAAAAACTTTATTAATAAACTTATTTAATTTTATTAACTTAACTTATTAACTTTATTAAGTTAATTAAACTTAAACTTTAAAGTAATCTCTATACCCAACATGGAGCTTGAACTCATGACCCTAAGATCAAGAGTTGTATGCTCTTCCAACTGAGCCAGCCAGGTGCCCCTGAATCAATTTTTAAATAAATTCACAATTATCTACAAAGTCTTTAGATTTATCTTTGGAATGTGTTTAAATACTTGAATACAAGTGGGTCTAATATTTTTTAAAAATTCTATCACTTTATGTAAAATGATAAAGTTACCCTTGGAAAAGAAACACAAAAGGAGCTGAAAAAATTGACAGGATTGCCAATCCCCTAAAGAACTATTGTCATACAGAGTCACTAAATTCTTTTGTAACATACTCAGATTAACTCAAATAACAGATTATTTGCCTAGTGGTTATTCTCTCATCAATGTCAGCCTCTAGGATTTAGCTAAGAACCTTATGACCATAAATGGATGAATACAGGCTGCAGACCCGAAGTCCACTTGCCGCACTGTAAGAGGGCCTTTATTTATTTATTTATTTTAAAGATTTTATTCATTTATTCATGAGAGACACAGAGAGAGAGAGGCAGAGACATAGGCAGAGGGAGAAGCAGGCTCCATGCAGGGAGCATGATGTGGGGCTTGATCCCAGAACTCCGGGATCATGCCTTGAGCCAAAGGCAGACAGACGCTCAACCGCTGAGCCACCCAGCTGTCCCTGTAAGAGGCCCTTTAGGCCTGCAGTAAGAGCTCAATGCAGAGACACTGTAGCAAGCAAAAGCGAAGAAGGAGATAGGAAAAACTACATAGAAATAGAGTGAGGATTTCAAACTAAAGCAGTTTGGAGCCATTTAACATCAGATAAATGTAACTTTATTAGCAAATGGAAGAGTGAGTATAGCAACTTTGTAGTAATAACTCCAAGCTATGAAGAAAAGTTAAATTATATTGGAATTATTTTTTGCATCTTATATTGAAAAAGTTATAAGAAAACATACAATATCCCTTAGAGTAATTTCTATCAAAAATTGTAAAAGCATTTAAAAACCTTGGAATAAGCTTCAATAACCCAGAATGTTTACCAATTATTATTCCCTGAAGTTATATAATCGAGGTATAGGGAATGTAACTGATAAACAAAAAGTAAATGATTAAGACTAACTGTACCTGCTCTTGCTATGTGACTTCATCCTTAAATAAATGCCTCACATGTTTCAAACTAAAATAAATAAAATTAGTTTAAAATCCTGTGGCTGCCATACAGCAGCCCCTCAGTAAATATTTGCTATTGGCAAATAAAGATTTGAGGGGTTATCTGTTTAACTCCCTCTTTGCTAATCTATGCTTTTATATCAACAATATTGCCGGTCTGACAAAGAGAAAACAATGAGTTTATTTGATTGGGATTTTTTCCTTTAAAGAGATCATTTCTGGACTGAAAATGGGGATATGCACCATGGGTTGCAAATCAAAGTAAAATATAATTCAAGAAATAAGAAAATAAATGAAAAATGTACCGGATCAATATGTCTTCATATAATTAGGAGTTGAATAGCAGTATAACTCTAATTTACTAAATGAAATATAAATTAAAAATAAGAAATCACGTCTTTATCATGCCAACTTACATCAGCCACCCGCTGAATCTGTGGAAGGCTTTCCATGATTTTTTGTTGTAAAGCTGCTACTTGATGATTTAACTCTTGTACAGACTGTGCTAAATCATCGGTTTCAAAAATTATTGACAAATCTTCTAGATCCGTGAAAATTGAATACAAAATATTGTGTTTTTGTTCTGAATCTTCCAAAGCCATCTGCACAATGGAAAACAAGGGGGAAAAAAGAGAGAACATTAAGATACTGAAACACTTGATTAAAATTGAAATCAGAGAAAATTTTATAACTATGTATGGTGATATACTGTGATGATTTCACAGTACATGCAAATATAAAAAAATTACGTTGTACACCTGAAACTCATACAACATATGTCAATTTTACCTTAGTAAGAAAAATCTGTATCAGAGAAATTTTAAATTTGTCTCAGTATTTCAACTCCTATTCATATAATTTCATGATAAAACACTAAATACTCCATATTGTCAACAACACTGAGTGACTTTGACTTTATTTCTAAAAATATTTTCAAAGACTATTTTATTTTTTATTAATTATTATTACTATTTTTTTTGAGAGAGAGAGAGAGAGAGCACAACAAGCGGGGGTGGGGGGGTGGGGGGGGAGAGAGAGACAGAGAAAGAGAGAGAGAAAATCTCCAGCAGGCTCCTCATTGAGTGCAGAGCCTAACTCAGGGCTCAATCTCACAACCATGAAGTCATGACCTGAGCCAAAACCAAGATGCAGAGGTTTAACTGACTGAGAGACCCAGGCACCCCAACGACACTGGATGACTTTAGATCATCTACTCCATGTTTGTGGGCTTCTAGCAGCTATTTTATATCATGTAACCCTGCTCTTCCAGCCATCAGTAACAGAACCAGGAACACCCAACCTGTAGTCCATCCCTCTGTAATTTGAAATTAGGGCCAAGAAAGCCATTCAGGCTCTCTTTCATTGGCTGGACTTGCAATTTTGGGAATGTGAATTTGAGAGAAATAGGTAAGTGAAGTGGGGATGGGAAATGAAGTGGGGATGGGAAATGAAGAGGCAATCCTGTGGCTTGCCAGTCCTGGTGTCAATGATCTCCTCAGGCCTTCTCACGTGATATACTGATTCATGAGATGCCCTTACAGCCTCAAGTTGACCTGAGTAACTTGGCACCCAAGGAGTCTATCTGATAAAATCCAGTAAAAGTGAAAAACATCCATTTTTATAATTTCTTAGACATTCCTTCTTATAATTTCTTTCTTTTTTCTCCTAACAATGATAATGTATTAACTTGCCAACTTAACATTTCAAAATATCTCAGCCATCGACTGGAAATGTTCAACCTGCTAATATAGTCTTCAGGTAAGTCATAAAACATAATATGGTAAGAGAAAAAACATTTACTTAATTCAATTTGAATTCTAGTCACAAATCTCTAAAATATATTGGATTATTCAGAACTTTATATTGTCCTTATTTAAAATACCAGAAGGAGAAAATTTTATGGAAAAAAACTTAAAAACAATGCTTTTTAAAAATCAATAATACTATTTATAATAGCATTAAAAAAACATCAAATACTTCAGGATAAATTCAACAATTTATGTGTAGGACCTGTACACTGAAGATTATGAAACACTGCTGAGAAAAATTGAAGAAGACCAAAATAAAGAGATACATCATGTTCCTGCATTGGAATAGTCAATATAGTTAAGATGTAAATTCTTGCCAAATTGAACTACAGATTTAATGCAATCCACTCAAAATCCCAATAGTCCTGTGTATATTGACAAGCTGATCGCAAAACGTACATGGAATTGCGAAAGATACAGATTAGCCAATACGAATTTGAAAAAGAACTAGTTGTAGAATTTAAGCTACCTGGTTTCAAGACTTCCTATAAAGCTTTAGTAATCCACATCAGTGAAAGAACAGACACACCAATCAGCAGAACAGAAGAGAGAGCCTGGAAATAGACCCACATTGATTTTCAACAGGGCAGTTGAAATTAAATGAGGCACCAAGGTAATTCAATGGTGAGTCTTTTCACAAATGGTGCTGGAACACTCAGACCTTCCCAGAGGAAAAAAAAAATGAACCTTCATACCATATACAAAAACAAAATTGAAATGGATCTCAGAGTTAAGTCTATAGAATTTCTAGAAGAAAAGACAGGCAAAGACCCTTGTGATACTGGGTTAGGTAAAGATTTCTTAGATACAACACAAAAGGCTAACCCGTAAAAAAAAAGTATTGATAAATTGAACTCCACCAAATTACTAACATTTGCTCTTTGAAAGACAATACTAAGAGAATGAAAGGCTAGCCACAGACTCAGAGAATGTCTGTAAATCATATATCTGATAAGGGACTGGTTTTTGGAATATTTTATAAATAACACAATTCAATAAAAAAAGACAACCCAATTAAAAAATTCAACAGCCATATCACAGAAGTGCACAAATGACAAACAAATAAATGTTCAAAAAAATAAAAAAATAGATGTTCAAATAACTAAATCATTAGTCATAAAGAAGGCCATTTAAACTACACATGAGATACCACCACGTCACTAGAATGGCTAATATTTAAAAGACAAATAATATCAAGTACAGATGAGACTATGGAGCGATTAGAACTCACATGGCCAAAGGGCTGAAAAATGGTTCAGCCATTTAGGAAAACAATTTGATATTTTCTTATTCAGTTAAATACTTACCATAAAAGCCAGCAATCATATTCCTAGGTATTTACCAAATGATATGACATGAAGACATATATCCATGGTATATGACCTGTCTATGAACGTTCACAGCAGCCTGTGATGGGCAGGTTCTAAGTGGGTCCCATGACCCCCACCTCCTGATATTTGTGCCCTTATAATCAGCTCCTCTGAATGTAGGCTGGGCTTACTGAATTACTTGCTTATTTACTATTGTCTTTACTGATTTATTTGCTAAGATGTCACTTCCAAGATGAGGTTATAAAAAGACTATTTCTGTCATGGGGGCTCTCCTTTTAGATTATTCATGGTGAGGAAAGTCAGCTACCATGCCATGAGGCAGCCTTGTGGGGGAGGGCCACATGTCTGTATATGGAAGTGGATCTTCTAAGGCCTGCCAATAGCCAAGTAAATGACCTTGGAAGAGCATCCTGTCTTTTCCCTCACCTAAACTGAGGCTTGACTGCCTTCTTCTAAGAGACCTTCAGCCATGCATGAATTCCTGACCCACAGAAACTGTTTGTTGTTTTAAGCTGCTAACCTAGCACAGCCCAAAACTTGAAACAAGCCAAATGCACATTAACTGGTGAAGGGATAAACATACGGCATATTTCCATAAATGGGACACTACTCAACAAACAAAAGAATGAACTATCTATAAAAACATTAACCACCTAAATGAATCCTGAAAACATTATGCCAAGCAAGAGAAGTCAGGCACAAAAGGTACATACTGTATGATTCTATTAATGGAACATTGTGGAACCTATGTTAAAAGACACTATATTAATATATTACAAACTATATTAATTAAAAACAATGAGTGAGTGATTCATAGGGTTAAAGATTGGTGAGAGGAGACTACAGGAGACAGATGAAACTTTTTGGGGTGATGGAGATGTCATTTACATTGATAGTGGTGGTGGTTACACAATTGTATACCTTTATCAAAACTCATCTAGTTGTACATTTAAAATAGGTGTATTTTGGCACACACGGCTGGCAGTTGGTAGTGCATGCAGCTCTTGATCTCGGGGTCATGAGTTCCAGCCCCCGAAATGTAGAGTTTACTTTAAAAAAATTATAAACATAGGTACACACACATACACACACACACACACACACCGTGTATTTTACTATATGTAAATTATACCTCAATGAAATTTGTTTTAAAAAAAAGTTGTTTTTCAATATTTACAATGACAGTTTATGTTTTGATGATTCTTCTTTTTTTTTTTATTCATGATAGACATAGAGAGAGAGAGAAACAGAGACACAGGCAGAGGGAGAAGCAGGCTCCATGCCGGGAGCCCGACGCAGGACTCGATCCTGGGACCTGAGGATCTCGCCCTGGGCCAAAGGCAGGCGCTAAACCGCTGAGTCACCCAGGGATCCCCTCGATGATTCTTAATTACAACAGTAGTCTTTCTGAAATCATCTCTGGGTTATAAAAACCTATTTTTAACAAATACAATCAAGGTAGGTTATAGTGCAATTAAAACAGAAAGCTTAGCTGGGAGTTTTAAGAAGACATGTAAAAAAAAATCAATGCCTCGTAATGCTAGAAAAATGGAAAGGGGTATCTTAAAAATAGGACAGCTATTTTCAAAGTAGAGAAACATGGTATATTCACATATGACTAGTTGTTTGAGACTTGCTTCCCATTGGAGGATATATGAGGATGCTTCTTGTGGTAAATCAACCTCCCCTTGGTCTCACTTCCTCTAGCTCATAAACTAGAGTTTCATAAACTAAGGCCAGCAAATTAGGATGTCTTGACCGTACAGATGCATTTGTCTGAATTCACTCGTGAAAAACATTTTTTTGAACTCCTAAGAAGCATCTGAGGAAAGAAGTATTAATTCCTCTCTTCTGTCTTTGCAAACTCCTTGAAAATGGTGAAAAATATAGGCAATTTAAAATAAAAGAGGACGTGCTATGGGGTTGTGGAAAGCCAGCCCAAGAGATGGGGGCAGAAATCACAGGCAAGGAGAAGAAAAGAAACAAGTGGGTGAAAGGCAGCTTTACAACTATTACCACAGGGCAAAGCTGGGCCAACAGATCTGAAACATCAGGGAGGTATGAAACCAGTTGTTCACTTGGGAACACGTTGTGCTATTCTAAAGAGATAAAAAGGAGCTGGATCTATGTTGAAGTCTGATTAATTCTAAAAATTGTTACAGAATAAACCTTTTCCTAAGAGATTCTTTCTGGTGTTTGAATAATAGGAGAGAAGGAAATATGCCTTCACAGTAGAATGTAAGCCAATACTACTTGGCATCTGGAAGATCTCTTGCAGTCATGGCCCCAAGTAGGAAAATACTCTCATTTGTTTTGTCTTTGTAAGGTAGCATGGAAACACCGGGCACCAAAGAGGACAGGCAGGACATGTTGAATCAATGGCATGCTAGAGCTTAAAGGAACTGTGGATTCATTTTTTAATGCTGTGTAACTAACTAATTACCACAAATTTCATGGCTTAAAAGAAGACAAATGTATTATCTCATACTTTCCATGGCTCAAGGGTACAGGCATAGCTTCGGAGGGTACTTTGCTATCAAAGGCTATCACAAGGCGGCTATCAAGGTGCCATTTGGAGGACAGGTTTCTCTTCCACGTTCATTCAGGTTGTTGGGAGAACTCAGTCATAGGGCTGAAATCCCAGTTTTCCTCCTGGCTGCTGACTGGGGGTTGGGGGTGGTGGTTTCATTCTCAGCTTCTGAAGGCTGCCCGAGGGTCCTAGCCCCAAGGCCCTGCCCTAATATGGCAGCTTTACTTCATGGAGCCAGCTGGAGAACACTCCAGGGTGCCATCAGCGAGTCTTATAATCATATAACCATGATTAATTATGAATTCATGGGAGTGACTACCCTATTATCTTAGCCATATACTATATAAGCTAATTAATAGAGTGGCTCTCTCATCATATACTCTCCTATTCTTTCCCCGCGCTCAATGGGATGGGGTTATACCGGTTGTGTACACCAGGGGATAGCAATATTGGAAGCCATCTTAGAATTCTATTGCCCCAAACCATCAACACCAATCACTGCAATATTCTTGCTTCACAAATGGGGGAAACTTAGGCCCATAGAGGAAGATAGCAAATTATCCATAAAGTCATGTAGTGTTTATCAGGACAAAGAACTAGACCTCATCTCCAAATTTCTGTCTGGAATTGACCACTCACCTAAGCTTCCTTCTGCCATCTAGCATGGTTGAAGATAAGGTTGTTTTTTTGGGAAAGAAGGGGAAAAAAGCACAAGAGTCACCTAGACCATGAATCATTATGTAGGTTCTAGGACGCTCAGGAAACACTGGAGAAGAACACTTACCTGAAGGGTACTAGCATGCTGACTCAGTGCCTTTGAAGAATCATAATCAGCAGGATTAGCCAGCAAACGGTTGGTGTTTTCTATCCAAGCCTCAGTACTCTTCAAAAGGTCATGATATTCCTCCATCTTAACCGTGGCCTGTGAAAGAGAGGTAGTAGCAAGGGGTCTGGCACCTTCTACTTGAGTCTAATGAGTCTTGATTGAAGAATTTGTTACACTAATGAGCCTGGAGCTACCTTGCCCAACCCCTCCAGGTTTTGACCTTTCTAACTTTTTTTTTTTAAGATTTTATTTATTTATTCATGATAGACAGAGAGAGAAAAAGAGAGAGAGAGAGGCAGAGACACAGGCAGAGGGAGAAGCAGGCTCCATGCCGGGAGCCTAATGCAGGACTTGATCCTAGGACTCCAGGATTGCGCCCTGGGCCAAAGGCAGGCGCTAAACCACTGAGCCACCCAGGGATCCCAATCTTTCTAACTTTTAAGACTAATAACCCTGACCGTAGGTGGAAAGGACTAAGCAGTTCTACCCTAATGCCAGGGGTGTCAGTAACAGTTCCCAGGTAGCCTGGCAACTGGTCTGGTTTCCATTTTATGCTTCATTCTCCACACTGGATTTTTATTTTGTCCCCCTACAGGGCCTTGTCCTATAATATCCCTCTTCCTCTGGGACTAGGCTCCTGCCTCATACTGTTATGTCTCAGGAATTAGGGAGGCATTCTTGCTAGATCACATGTACAACTCGCCAGCCTGGACCCTTATTTGGAAAGGAGGGAGACAGTGCCTTGTTCCCAAATGATTCTTTCTTGCCACTGGTTCTCTCCAGTGGGCTCTTGAGCTTGCCTGTGAAATGCCAATTACCTACTGGGAAACCCACACTCATGTGGAACCCTCCCTGCTGAGGGCCGACTCTCCGTGCCTGTGTCTGCTCATTCAGTCAGATTTCCTGCAGGTGTCAGGGGTTAAATCTGTCCTCCCAGTGCCCACCTGAACCTGTCATGTGGCTCTAGCTTCAGAATCTAAAACTGGCAATTCAAAGGCAACTGGTGGGCAGCCCTGGTGGCGCAGCAGTTTAGCGCTGCCTACAGCCCAGGTTGTGATCCTGGAGACCCTGGATTGAGTCCCAAGTCAGGCTCTCTGCATGGAGCCCGCTTCTCCCTCTGCCTGTGTCTCTGCCCCTCTCTCTCTCTGTGTCTCTATGAATAAATAAATAAAATCTTAAAAAAAAAATCAAAGGCAACTGGCTGCCTCTGAATCTATCTTTTAGTTTTGTTTTAAAGCCTTCTCAACACTCCTACAAGCTAAGTGTAGTTACCGTGCGTTAACTGCCGTACCTTGTTTACCTGTGAGGTTCTAGATTCTGCCCTCTGGGATACTTGCTGATATTGCTGGAAAGGAATCATCAAGTTATCCATCCATTCTTGAGCCTGTCCTGGATCCTGTTCAACAATGTCCTGCACTTCAGAATCCAGCTCATTTAGCTTGGAATGCCAGAGATCTAGCTCGTCCCACATTTTCTGGAGAAGGAAATCATAAGTCACGTTGAATACAGAGGTCCTAGCTCACTGTGTTAACTCCTAGCTTTTGCATCGTATCTGCACTTGTAAATAAATGCTACCAAAACAACATCATAGGCGTGCTATTTCACTTAAGCCCAGAAACCGCTTGTGACCTTTTCTGAGGTCTTTTGGTCTAACTGTATTCATTTCAGGTACAGAATTAGCTGCCAGGGTACAGAAAGGCCCGGACATTTCCAGAGACAAATGACACCAAATAAGATCAATATAACCCTACTCATTCAAGAATGAGGAGTAACATTATGTTATACCCGAACCCTTATAGACCAATATACATGTATGTGTGTGTGTTTAATCTAGAATACAATTTTTATCAAGTGCCTAGTGGTTCAGTTGGTTTCAGCTCAGGTCTTGATCTCAGGGTCGTGAGTTCTGCCCCACATTGGGCTCCACATGGGGCATAGAGCCTACTCAAAAAAAAAAAAGTATAAAAATAAAACTAACAAAAAGAAAACATCTGTTTTGCTTTAGGGTTGATGCAATGGCAGAAAATGCTAGTGACTGCATTTGGCTCAAGAAACCAATTGATTGGATTCAAACCTGGACTTGTAAGGTCAGAGGAACTCTCAAAGGTAAAATATTTAATTCTTACTTAATATTTGCTTAAGAACTGAATTTTTAGAAATAGGAAAAATGGACTGGTTAAATTAGGTTCCCCTACTTATTAAGAATCAAGATTTTGTCCAATGGTGAGACATAGTCGGACCTATTTTTAAAAGTCTCCATTCCTATTAGAATACTTCCTTAAAGTGTAGAATAGAATAAGAATGTTTTCCACCTGCAGGAATTTACTGGGGAGTTAATGGTAGAAAACCATGCTCAGGTACAGTTTTATCTAACACTTGACTTCCTAAGATATCTTACAAGGGAAATAAATTTGGAATTTCTATTTTCCTTTTTTCCCCTGGTAGTCTAAAGAAAAGCTGTTAATGCTATTTAAATTCTACTGTAATATATATTTTTAATCAGATAATTTTCAGAAATGTTCTGTATCTTATTTCACATGTTAATTATGTTAGAAAACAAAGACTGTAAGAAATGCTCAGAGAAACATGTTAGCTTTGTTTTTTACATTTAATATTTTTTATGCCAATCTTCCCAGGATAAGATCCTTACTCTCCTTTACTTGTGAAAAAGGCTAGTTCAGGGACACCTAGGTGGCTCAGGGGTCAGCTCAGGGCATGATTCCACATCGGGCTCCCTCGTGTGGGGAGCCTGCTTCTCCCTCAGCCTATGTCTCTGCCTTCTCTCTGTGTCTCTCATAAACAAATAAATAAAATCCTAAAAAAGAAAAAAAAAAGGCTAGTTCACAATCATAGGCTCTCAGGGCTTCAGGTATATTCCCACTATTTTATAGAAAAAAAAACTGAGAACGGTTCAAGGGCAACCTGGGTGGCTCTGCCAATTAAGTGCCCACCTCTTGTTTTCAGCTCAGGTCATTATCTCAGGGTTGTCAGGTTCCATGCCTGGGCATGGAGCCTGCTTGGGGCTCTCTCTTTCTCCCTCTCCCTCTCCCTCTGCCCACCTCCCCAAAACAACAACTGAGAACAGTTCTTAAATGCACCTTTCTCCACCAAGCCTCTGCAGTGATACTCAGTAAGGGAGGCCCCATGGATCTGAATTAGGATCTCTGTGCTTCACGTTCATCCCTAGAGCATATCCTGATGACAGGAACAGGAGGAATGTCAAATGCTGAGGGAAATTAAAGAAGGATGTTACCTTTTGAATTTCTTGAGCTTTCTCAATATTTTTGCTTTTCTGCTGCAACATCTTTTCAACATCGTGAAGCCCATTGTTAATTTCATCTATTTTTCTACTCATTGTATACGAGGGTGAACTTTTCAAAACTTCATTGCTAATCTGTTACAATGAAAGAAAGACATATTTGGTTTACAGATACCTTCAATACTCCATTCATAGGTGCAGGGGATAAAATGGGTAGTCATATTATAAGACAATTTTACTTCCAAAATTCTTCTAAAGGCTAGGGGAAAAATCCCAAAATATACTAGGTAATACATTAATGAAAGGGTAGATTAGCAGGCTAGGAAATGGTGGCTATGCTGACTTGACCTTTTAAATCCAATCTAAAAAAAGGAAATCAACAAACAAAAATTTGTTGAATATAATCCACAGTATGTACTACAGATCTGTGCTGAGTTGGGCAAAACTACTGTGTGTACCATTGTCTGAGACATACCCCAGTGGAGCAAATGATATGAAAAAATTCAAGGGAGATAAATTATTCGTTATACAGTTTCTCACTTTATGAGAAGGACCTCTGCCCAGAACTATTTTCAATAAAACCTGATTTACTCTCAAGCTGACTTAAAAAAAATGTATTTCCCATCATAGTATTCATTTGGGTGAAATAACCTAAAACTTCCTCTTTCTTGAAGATGCACAAAGCCTAGATTTTCTCTGTGTGAATGTTTCTAGTGTATGTTTTCACAGTAATTAGAAATCTAGCTGCTGAACAGTGTAATTCTTTTTATCTGAATGATTTTCTTAAGAAAATAACTTGGGCTAGGAAAGATAACAGATGAATGTTGAATGTGTCATTTTTCAAATACCTGACTAGTTCTTGTTCTTGGGTTTTTTTTTTTAAGGCTATGTTGATAAGGTTTTCTCCTAGCAGCCACTAAATAACCAAATAATACTTTATGCTTATATATAATCCTTTAACCCTTTTAAAAACCACTATATCTGTAAAACCATTAAGACTAAAACCTTTCAATGCAGATAGCACACAGATGCAGAAACTAAACACAGGCTAATTGTCTTGCTGAAGGTCATATATCAAGGTAGCAGTTGAACTTGTCCTGAGAAGCTCCCAGTCACCAGACTCTGGAGTCCCAGGCTCTTTTTCACATTTCAGGATGTTCGATATTTTATAAAATGTTTTTATTCCACAGACCATAATTCAGTTGAAATTTTTAGGGGAAAAAAATTAATCCTATGTTAGTTTTTAAATTGATGTAATAGCTTTTTATTGCTATGTTACAAATTACTACAAAGTGAAGTTTTCTGATACTTGGGGTAGTTATTCTCTTGGCAGAAAAACATATAATTTAGATACATTAGGAGAGACCAATATTTTGGAAAAGTAAGCAACCCCTCGAATTACACCAAATGGTTCTGAGTCTGCCTGGATCCTCCAGACACACCATACAATAAAAATCAGTTGCTATTTGTTACAAATATACAAGTTATAGTTGAAACCTTCAACTCCTATATCTAAGATTGATTTTGATTATTTACTCTGTTTGGGATTTTCACATGGAAACAAATCTAGTTGCTTTCAAAACATTTAGTATTCTCTTAAGATCAATAGTGAATGATTCTTGAGAAAGTATCTCATAACAGATTTTCTTGTGTGTTAAATCAACAAATTTTGTTATAAATGTATATTTAGGAGTTTATGTGTTTTTTTCATGGGTAAGATTTTCCTGAGAAATCTGTCAAAGAAGTTAACTGAGTCTGAAATACAATTTTTGTGCGTGTGTGTTTGCATTTAATATCTATTTTATTAAGTGAGAGGTACTCCAGATTTCAAAAAGCAATACAAGAATCCTTCTGTGGATGGTGGACCAAAAAGAATTTTGTTCTGTTGGATCTAAGCTGCCTTTCTATAATCCAAAAAATTTGTCTTGCCAAACTCCTGTGTCTCCAGTACTATGAAATACTTCCCCTCTTTCTTCCAACCTTCAGATTCATCCAGTCAGGGATAAAGATTTGCTCAGGTGTGTTTTATGAGAACTGTGTTGTCACCATCAAAAAGACTGTGTGCTAAATGCTATTCCTAGTGAGTTGTGAAATTTGTATTCTTATTGTCCTTGGTTGCAATTTCAAAACATTCATAGGGCAAAGCAAAGTACTATTCATGTCCAAAAGTTTGAAGCGATTCTCCAGTTTAAAAAAAAAAAAAGCCAATCTATAATTCTGTTTTTAAATCCAGGAGAAGAAAAACTAAGCACCTTAATAAGTAAAAATAAACACATTATCTTCTAATTCTATTATCTGTCACTAATTTAAAGCAATTTCATCTCAGTATGCAATACACAGAATTACCACTTATCTAAACTCTATAAAAACAGTCATAGCTGAAATCAGGGCAAATGAAAATGTGACATTACAGGATCTCTTCTTTATATCCATTCAACTCATAAATAATAACACTAGTACAAACGATTATTACCTTCTCATCTATGTCTTCTAAAGCTTTTCTGCATTCTTCCACCTGGGATTCAATCTCTGCAGGGACTAGGGTGTACATTTCAGAATACTTCATGCGCAGTTTTTCCATAATATTCTCAAAAGTTAGCTTCCCTTTCTTAAAAATACTTTGAAGCTCCTAAAATCATCAAGAGAGTTTCAAATACGGAACAGAGAAAAAGTTTAACTCCAAAAGTGAAAGCAGCTTGCTAGCACATCCTTATGATTTAAATGAACACACTTTGCATGACAAAGCCTCACTACTGATACAAGCCGATTAAGCCTGAGAGATACTCAGTTTGGTCAGATGATGCTTTCTAGTTTGTAAGAAATAAACTTGATACCTCTTCATAGTGTCAAACCATTGTCCTAAAAAGACATTACAACATCTCCTGCTTCTAAAGTACCTCTAGGATTTAACTGTATCTCAGTTGCAGTCTTGATCTAAAAAGCTGCAAGTAGCAAAAAAGTTTCAAAGAAGGTTTTTTTTTTTTGTTATTAACTTGTTGCCATTTCTGCTTCTTCCTACATTATCATCACAATGATTCAAGGCCACTAAAAGCCCTAGGCTTGAAGCACAAGTGTCTGCTTTCATGTAATTAGACAGCCTAGCAGAGCTCCGCTTCTTTCAAAAGGGAGGGTTCCAGTTCCCTGCAAAGAATGTGGGTTTCAGGAGATAAAAGAAACCTGAACAAATAGTCTATTGGTTGTGGCCTAGAAATAAAATCTGATCTACGTTCTCCTGAGCTAATTATAAAGGAGAAACTCATTTGGGAAAGTTTCCCAAAGATCAAGTGGAAAAATACTTCTTGACTTTACTGTGGCTTTTTGGGGTTTGTTTTGTTTATACAGTAGCTGTTCAGTAGCATTATTCGTGTTAATGGATTGAGTCACCGCACTGAAGAATGATTACAATTTGAATGACTCCATGATGTGTCACTGTTTTCTTTTTTTCTTAACCCTCAGCAGAGAACAAATCTGAGACTGAAAAGGTAGAGAACAATGCCATTCAGACAAAGGTGGAGTTTGAAGTATAGTGCCATCCTATTTTATCTTGACCTAGTCAGAGTATAGGTCTTGATTCTGAGCTACCCATAGATGGCTTCCCCATGAAGGAAGAGTGTGAGTGAAAGTTAAGGTCCCTTTATCAACATTGAGCTCTGATTAACAACAGCACGTCATTCTGGAGTTAACTTCCAAATGCCATTTTTGCTTGTTACCACTGTACTGGAATCATTCTTTAAAAAAAAACAAATGAGGTCCTAAATAACACAAGCCCTTGTGATAGGTGATTGTGATTTAAAAGATATATTTGGTCTTCATCCTCGGTTCCAGAACAGCTTCTAAGACCCTTGGGATTTCCTGGATAGGTGTAAGAGGAGTGTCATGTTATTCATAAGGAGCCCTTTTCAACCATACCTGAGTTTATGCTAATGAATGAATGGGGTGTGGGGGGCAAAATATATATTCAGGATGGTGCCTGGTTGCCAGAGGAACCAACTATGTGATTAGAGGGTTGGAACTTTGAGCCCCACTTCCCAACCTCTAGGGTGGGGTAAAGAGCTGAAGGTTAATTATCAATGGCCAATGGTTTAACCAATCATGCGTACATAATGGAACCACCATAAAAACCCTTAAGCAATGAGGTATGGAGAATCTGGAGTTGGTCCTGGGAAAGTGGGATACCCAAAGAGGTCCTGGAGGGTCTGAATGACTTCCCCCTTACCTTGCTCTATGCAAGTGGTCTGGGCTAACTCCCTCTAGTTACAGAGTTATGGTTGAATTGAATAGGAGGATACTTAGTCGGTTTCTAGAGACATGGGGGGGAAAAAACCCCATGCATTTGGTATCAGAAATGTTATGAGTAAAAATAGTTGCACCACTTTCAGAGATAAATCATACATCCTACTAAAGTCAGTAGTAGATCAATAATGCTCTGGGGCCCCTGTTCACCGGACATACCTGAAAAACAGTTGAAAAAGGGCTGCATGGTCCAGTCTGGCCTCCTCTCTGCTCTCTACTCTCTGCAATCCAGCCACAGTGATCTCCTATGGTTTGGCCCATACCACGCCACAGGGTCTTTGCATGTGCTTTCCTCCCTCCTCCAACATGCCCTCCATTCTAGTCACAGAATTACCTCTGCCCCAGAGACTTTAGATTCAAGATTGTAGACCTGTGTTAGCCACATTCACTGGCCCCTCACTTCATTCCTCACTTACCTCAAATTGGTCTGCCCTTTCTGGGTGGTCTTGTAATTCCATATTTTGGAAAGAAGCTGCAGTCTGTTGAAATAAATTCTTCAAAGAAATTATCTCTTTCGTGAAAGAATGTCTTTCTTGGATTTCATTCTCCATCAATTCCTTATTTTCTTGAGCTTTCTGAAAAAGCCTAACATATAACATCAAAATAGTTTCTCTGCTCTCTTATGAGATAGTTTTATTTCAACAATTAACACAGTGTCTGCATAGCTCACAAAAGATTTTTTCCTGAACATAAAGTACCAGTTTTCAGTGGTTTATATATTACATATATAAACATATGCCAAATTCTATCACACAATCAAAAACCTCTCCAAACTCCCATCTCAAAATATCCTCTTTTCACACATTACATTCCAATTGCTATCTCCATCCTACTTTTCTCCAAGTGATCCTTGAATTCAACTGAATATGATGTAGAGGTAAGAATGGATTCATGGGTGGGCTTTTGGGGATAGATGACTGGATTAACTTTTTTTTATCTCAGCTGACCCCATTTGCCGTGAATGTAGCCACCTTCTTAGTACAGGAGTTTACAATCTTTCCTGAGAGCTACTTGGTATTCCCAGCCGTAAATATATTATATCCTGTGACCCAATGATTCTAATTCTTGGCGTCTTTCTCGAAGAATTAATCACAGATGCAGAAAGAGACTCTAGTATAATTATATTTATATGTTTTTATAAAAGTAAAAAAAATTACGTATAAAGGTTCTATATTAGGCCTTTGGTTAAAGAAATTATGGCATAGACACATGTGAAATATCACATAGTTATGTTTTAAGGAACATTTAATGGCATAGGCAAATTAACATGATATGCTTATAAGTGATTTAGCAGACAACAAAACAGTACAGTATTATGATCAGAATTTGTTTAAAAATACAATCAGTAAAAAAGATTAGGAGTGATTGGCAGTGATTGTTGTTGAATGGTAAAATAAAGGGGGAGATTTATATTAATTTTTTTATTTATATTAATTTTTATAATTTTCCACATTCCCTGAACTTCCTAATATATATTCCTAATATATATTACTAAAATAGAAAAACAGCAGACATTAAGAAAAAAATTCAAAGGATATTCACCCTCAATAATACCAGGATGGAAAACATGTGTTTGTTTTTATTGTTATTAATCTTTTCCATCCCTGCTCCTTTTTCTGAGCATAGTTGACACACAATATTACATTTGTTTCTGGTGTATAATCTAGTGATTTGACAGGCTTATACGTTATTCTATGCTTGGCACAAGTATAGCTGCCATCTGTCCCATTACATTGCTATTATAATTGACTGTATTCCTTATGATCTGCTTTTTCATTCCCGTGACTAATTCATTCCATAAATAAAGGCCCACTCCCCTTCACTCATTTTGCCCATCCCCTTACCTCCCTCCTCTCCAGTTCTGCTTTTTGTTTGTTAATTCACTTTTTTAAGATCCAGTTTAGGAGTAGAATCATATGGTATTTGTCTTTCTCAGACTAACTCATTTCACTTAGTAGAATATCCTCTAGGTTCATCTATGTTATCTCAAATGGCATGATCTCTTCCTTTTATGGCTGTATAATATTCCATTGGATACATATACAATATTTTCCTTATCCTTTTGTCTATTAATGGACACTGGAGTTGCTTCCATGTCTTGGCTATTGTAAATAATACTGCAATAAACAGAGAGGTGCATGTGCCTTTCAAGAGAGTGTTTTCATTTTCCCCGGGCAAATACTTAACAGTGGAATTATCAGATCATATGATATCTCTATTTTTAATTTTGTGAGGAACCTCCATACTATATTCCACAGTGGATGTACCATTCCAACCCTTTTTATACTTTTCTGTGTTAAACCAATTCTATCATATCAATGGTCATTATGCTATATTTTTATATTTTCAAAATTCAGTATTTTCTAAATTTTAAGCCTGAGTTGTCAGGCACATTTTCTTAACAGTTTTTCATAAGTCTTACTTGTTGCATCGTTTCTGCATTGATGTAATCTCTTGAAATGTTGGAATAGTTTCCACAGCTTCTAAGCTTTTGGGAGCATTTTGGATACTTCTCATGCGCTGAAAGAGTAAGGTCAGTAACAACTCCTGCTTCTCCACATTTTCTTGGTAACGGCATAAACAGTCTTGCAGGTCACAGAGCTCCTCCGTGGTGGCTGCCTCTTTTGTTTTTGAAATTTCAGGGAGATCTTCTTGAAGATTATCTAAAATAATTGCTTCTCGTTCAATCTAATTCAATAAACAAAAAAACAGAACTCAAATAACTAAAAGGTACTTCGACCATCTCAGGAGCTGAAACACACCTTGGCAATCATAATTTTTGTATACTGGCTCCTCAAAGGGTTCCTAATGCCATATCTTCGCTCAAAGTAGTATCTGTCTTCTTCTAGCGGGAATATTATTCCTCCCCTATTGGAATCCCAGAATTCCCAGCTACTGATCATGTAGATATGTGATTAAAATGAAGTGTTGCTGTTGTGAGCAGAAATACTGTTGAATATTTTCATAAATAATTTCTCTCTCCTTCAGATTTCAGTTGCAGAAAGCAGTTATTTCTCTTGAAATATCTATAAGGTCACTAGAATGAGCTCCACCAAATTGCAACTACTATATAAGAATTTGGGCAACAAGTGGATAATTTTTCTACAAGTGTCTTCTTTCATATCCTATTCCTATATACTCAAAAAAGGAAGTCCAGTACTTCTTCGTTACCCTAACACCTACACCAAAGGGAAAGCAGTCCTAACCAATCAAGTATTTGTCAACATGGAGACATGCAGAACCCAGAAATACATAACATCGCCTATTTGCAAAATGGAGTTCTATCACTCTTGAACTCAGAATGAAGACAGAGACAATCAGATCCCTCTAATGCACCTCTTCAAACCCTGTGGCCCTCACATCAGCTGCACCAACATTTGCCACATTCTGCCCTGGCACTGTCAACTCTTGTGCTCTAATGTTCAAACTGAGTCAGGCATCTTGCAATCTTGACATTGCAGAATATCACACCAGTCAGCTACAGTTATTCGATAGTAATTGAAATGGTAAATGAAAATCTGGATTCCAAAGGGTAGAAAATAAAGTCTATGAACATTTAGAATTCCAGCATAAATTAGGTTTCCAGGAGCTCAGTTATTCGATAGTAATCGAAATTGTAAATGAAAATCTGGATTCCAAAGGGTAGAAAATAAAGTCTATGAACATTTAGGAATTCCAGCATAAATTAGGTTTCCAGGAGCTCAGTGGTCTAGGGCTTTCCAGAATTCCATAACGTAAAGACCAAGTAGTTCAATCCTGTATCTCTACTATTAAGAAAGAGGCCCAGCACTGGATGTGCCCTTTGGGATTCAGGAGGCAGTATATGCTATACTTGAGAACATTGCTCAGATCCATTTATCAGAATGCTGCCAATCTTGAGGGAGGTCTGGAGAAAAAGAGAGATTGCAGCAGGGTCAGGCTTTGGTATAAGCTGCCCTGCCACTTGGGCCATATGATCCAGCTGAGTCCCTGGTCACTAGGATAGAGTATAAGTGTAGATGGCCCCTCTCCAAAAGACCTAGCTATGGAACTTATGCTTTCCATTATCTCACACCTAAATTCAGTTGGATTAGAAGTGCTAGTTCTTAGGCAAGCAGCTACAATTCCACCAGGGAATGATATAAAAGGTTTCCACTGGGTTGTTTTGCAACCTCCCTGCCAGAGAACCAGCAAGCAAAGAAAGGAATTGCTGTATTGTCAGAGACAACCGTACATCTAGGGTTTCTAATATACATCAAGTTGAAAGCAGTATGTCCATAACTTAATGGAGCATCTCTTGGTGTTTCCAAACCAGTGATAACCATAAAAGAGCAACTAGAGCAACCATGACCCAGTTAGAGTAAAACAACTAAAGCTTCTGACCATTCTCGTTCCAGTTCTCCTCATCCCCCACCCATTTCCTGAGATCTCTTTCCAAAATAAACCACCTGCCTGCAAGCTCCATCTGGCTCTCTGCTGCATGATGTAAGGTGGTTAGTGATTAAGGAGGAGAACACAAGGAGGGAGGGGGAAATAATTTTTATTAGGATAATAATTTTACTCAAAAGCCAGACAATACTTCAACTTGCAACAGATAATCAAACTGTCATACATAACATCCAATCCAACATAACTCAGCAATTAAGAGAAATGAACTATTGATACAAGCAGCAATATGCATGCATTTCCCATGCATTAAACTTAGTGATAAGATGTCGAACTCAAAAGGCACAAACTGTTCCAAGTCCATGTATATGACATTCTAGAAATGGCAAGACAGATTAATAGTTGCCAGGGGCTGGAGGTGACAGAGGGGCAGATTTCAGAGGGGCACAAGGGAACTTTCTGGGGTGACGAAAATGATCTAAATCTTCATTTAGATTCATTGGTGATCATGTGACTGTGTTTATCAAAACTTAGCAAACTTCATGCTAAAAAGGATGAAGATAGTTCTCAAATCAGAAAATATTTACCACCAAAATTATGCATTCACTCTTCCGTCTAGAAAAGGCTCTGCAGCTCCTGAGTGATTTCCTTTAGATACAGAATTCTAATAATATTGGTTATAAAACTTTTAGGTTCATAGTCAATTATAAAGTAGTCTAGAAAGGAAGAAGGAGCCATAGTTGCACCATAAGTAAACAGAGTGAAGGGGACTGAAAAACCTATAACCAGCAGAATTAGGAACTAGTAAAAGTCCTTTGGACTTTTGGTACATGGGGAAGAACCCAGCCTTATACCTCCAATTATCTTTGAATTTTCTCTAGCACATTACAGTCACTGAAACAAAAATGATGACTCTGAATAGGCAGATATGAACAATTAAATCAAGCAGATTCTGATTAAGAAAAAAAACCAGGAAGGTAAAATTTTAGAGGGGGAAAAAAGTAAAAATTTCAATTTATATTTTAATTTACAAATTTAAACACAACATCTAAGTTTTTGAAAATCTACTTATACAAAACCTTTATCCCATAAAGATACCAGATTATTATATTACTATCCATGTCTTTAAAAAAGAAATTCATTCTGTCACATACAAAAGCACCAACCATGCTAATTGAATCTTGCATGTACAGGTGTTTAGATGATATAATTTTTAAGTGGATACACGCTATTTTAAAAAACTACATCAATTTGGTGTGTACGTAAATATCATTTAAGTTGATAGCTTTGTCATTAATAACACTGGAGTGGGCGCCTGGGTGGCTCACATGGTTAAGCATCTGCCTTCTGCTCAGGTCATGATCTCCAGGTCCCAAGATCAAGCCCCATGTTGGAAGTCTGCTTCTCTCTCTCTGCCTCTCCCCCTGTTGTGCTCTTTCTCTCTCTCTCAGATGAATAAATACATCTTAAAAATAAATAAATAAATACATACATACATACGTACATACATACATACATCAGAGTGTAAGTTTAACTCCTCTTAAAAGACTATTCGTGAATTTGGGCAAGTTACTCAATCTCACTGTGTCTCACATACACATAAAATGCTTAGAATTTTGCCCAACACATGCTCCACACCCGCCCACTGTTAAAGTTGTTGTTACTGTTATTACACGAGGGCATGTTTTGTTTGTGCTACTCTTTGAAAAACACATTCTGCTAGTAGATATTGTCAAATGAGTCTATGGATAATTACAAAGTTCTAAGTGAATGGCGTCTGAATTAACCAAATATAATTGCAAATGGGTATACAGCAATAGAGAGACAATGTAGTAAAATAGAACAAAAGCTTAGAATTAGCCTAGACCTGGGTTTGAAGAAGAGCTGTCCTTGAAGAAATGTTCATTAACTGCCCACTAAGCACAAGGGCCCGGTCAGATTCTTTTTTTTTTTTTTTAAGATTTTATTTATTTATTTATGTGACACACAGAGAGACAGAGAGCACAAGCAGGGGAAGTGGCAGGCAGAGGGAGAGGGAGAAGCAGGCTTCCCACAGAGCAGGGAGTCCAATGTGGGATTCGGATCCCAAGATCCCCGGGATCATGACCTGAGCCAAAGGCAGATGCTTAACCGAGCCACCCAGGTGTCCCCTTCCCCGGTCAGAATCTAAAGTCACAGCAGTGAGCAAAACAGATGCGGCCCCAGTCCACAGTTCCAGCTCAATCACTAGCAGGGAGATCATGTGCCAACAGAAATCTCTCAGTGCCTCAGTATCCCCATTGATAAAATGGTAATAATATTTAACTCCTGAGGGCAATACGAGGATTTGGTGGCATCATGCGTGAACAGCCTTCTTAGAGACAGCACATAGCCTACTCCAGCAACTCAATGAACTGTGCCAGTATGGAAGGGAAAAAAGTGGACTAACAGCAGTAATTAACAAAGTTTCTTTGAGTTTTAAAGTTTCAAGAGTCTATTTACTAGTCAAACTCCACTAGCACTACCAAAATAATATTCATTTTCAAGAATATCAAGTTGCTTGTCTTAATTGAAGTATTTTAATTTTATGTACAAAGAGTTACCATTAAGGTAGGTGTAGGTATCTTGGACATGTGCACTGAGGTAGGGATCTTGGATGACTCATTCAAGGAAGTTCACTTAATCCAACCTAATGAAGCCTGTATCCTCTCAATACTGATGGAAACACCATGGGCACATACTGAGGCCATAATTTGCAGTTCAGATCATGTTGATTTGAGCAGACATGGCAAGAACGAGAACCCTGGCCAGATTTTCTCCCATGGCTCCAGGAGAGCTGCTGGTGACCCATCTTGCTCTCTCAGATACAATGGGGCAAAAAGCAAAAACAGCAAGTTTAAAGCAGAAAAAATATGCTATGCTAAACATTTATATTTCAAAACTTGTGACCTACCTCCAATCAAGTATTGATTCACTGTATTTTTTTCTTAAGTAAATTTAGCAGGAATTTTGACTTGAATTAGAGAGAAGGGTTTTCATTAATGTCCCAATTTGTACTTCGTTTATACCTGATCCTTTAGAAAGATTAATAAACACCCTAAGATAATTTTATACTATTTAAAATTTTCTTTTTAAACATATGTGATGGCCTAAGTCCTGAATCATGCTTAAATTAACATCTCTGATTGATATATACTATGGAGGTTTTCTTTAAGAGAGTCTTCACAAAGAGCATCATACATATTTTTAAGTCCATAGTTAACAATTAATTGAAGTTAATTTCTATAGTTAACCATTGCAGTTAACTTCGAAATTAGTTTGTTATTATGACTATTACTTAATTCTAACCTTTAGTGTTATATAGTCATTTTTAAGAGGGGTTAACTCAGATGCACAATAAAGAATTTAAAGCTCAAATGAGCAAGTACTTATTTATAAGTATTACCTGAAACCAAAAAAAAAAAAAAAAAGGCACTATTAGGAAAGAATTTGAATCATTTCTTGGGGATTATTTTGCTAGGACCTGACCTCTACAAACATTTATGTATTAGGTATATATGATAAAAACAAATGGTACTACCGGTTGAGGACTTGTTTTACATAAAAACAAAGCGAAAGTAATAAAACAATTTAAATGACATTCGCTAGGAAACTGGCTTGATCCCTAAAAACGAAGCACTTACTTCTTCACTGACAAATTTCCACTCCTGCTTCAGCTCTTCACACCACAGCTCCCATTCTTTAGCAGCCTCCAACAAACTCAACCATTTGTCCCACAGAGCCAGTGTAGTTCTGAGCAAACACCTGTCATCACTGTCTGTGCACATGGGTCTCAGGTGTCTGAGGACCTGACGTAGTTCCATGAACTCTTCTTTGGTTGATAAAAGATTTGACCCCAAGGCCTTAGGAAAGAAACGGAAAAGTAAGAATATAATGTCTATTAATTTTTCTGAAACTTATGAACTTCTTAAAATTTGGAACTATTGATGATTTTAAAACATCTCTAAGTATTAAATAATCTATATTCTAGACCTTTTGAAAGCCAATTTGAAACAGTTTAGAATTAACTATGTATTATTTTGTTGCACATGAGTTTGGAACCATGGTGACAAAAATGACCCATAAACCAATTCTTCCAAGTAAGAAAGTATAAACATTCTAAAAGTTCTATTGTTATTTTAAACTTGAATCTCATTATTTTTACTAGTTTATTAATTTGCGTAAGGCTTATCAACCACCAATGCATTTGTTTGTTTGGTGATAGATGTTAGGTACAGATGATTTTGAACAGTTTCATTCAAATTCTAATAACATAATACCATAGATTCTAACAGATGAAAATAAGCCAAAACAAAAATTACAGAGTAAAAATAAGAAGTAGCCAGAGTTTAAACTTATGATAGTTGCTTTAAATTCTCTGTCATCGATCCAGCAACATCCAACAAAATAACATAAAAAGTGACACTTTAGAAATAGTGATCCCTGGGGCAACTGAGTGGCTGAGTTGGTTGAGCATTGCACTCTTATTTCTGCCCAGGTCTTGATCCGAGATCTAGCCCCATGGCAGGTGCTCAGTGGGAGTCTGCTTGAGAGTCTCTCTCTCTCTCTCCCTCTACCTTCCCCACTGCCTGCTCACGCACACACTCTCTCTAAAGTAAATAAATAAATCTTAAAAAAAAAAAGAAAGAAAAAGAAGAAGAAAAAGAAAAAGAGAAAGAAAGTGATCACTAAGAATAGTCCCGTGAACCCAACTGATGAAATCTCTCAGAACCACTGTTTAATGTTTCCCCTTGGTGTTTGGTTTGGGGTATCTTCTTCAGTGTATAACTCACGTGGAAGATTTCTATGGTCACAACAGAGCCACATTCCCTGCTGTCACTACCTGCTCTTCCTATCAATATTCTACATAGTCTTACTGAAGATTTGCAAATTACTATTACCTTGCTCTGTTCCAAGCGCTCTAAAGCTTCTTTGTAAGATACTGGCAACGGAAACATGGACTGCCCAAGAACTGTCTCCATTTGGCTTAGGTTAGTGCAAACTTTCTCCTTAATTTTTCTATAGCATTTGTAATTCTCAAGACACCTAGGAAACACAGGGGAAAAAAGTGATATTAAATTTTATTTGGTACAATAAATTTTGGACTTCCCAGAATGAATTCTACATACTTAATAAAAAAAAAAGTAGAATGTAATTCTCTTTTTGCTATTCAATGTTTTTCACCCAATTTTTATTGACAATCTCCTCCTCACAGGGACCTGTATAAGGCTTTTAATGCAAACTTAACAAGCAGATAAGACTTCTCAAAACAGCTAAACTGTAAAAACTGCATTCTTTAACACTGCTAATAAAGTATAAATTCTTCATTAAAATTCTGAATGACAATTCTTGTAGAAAACCACTTGGTCTTAAAAATGCTCATTTCTTTTGAACCATTAATTCAACTTCCACAATTTATCTTAAGGAATTAATTCTCACAGTAGAAATTTATCCTAAATTTGGTAAAACCTTCTGCATAATAAAATCTTTTTACTCATTAAACTATTAATTAAATTGGAACATACTTTATATGTAACAAAAGATATGGTTCAGTAAATTACAAAGATCCATTTTATAAAATATTTTATAGCAAATACAATTACTTTTAGGAAGTTTTGCACAATAAGGGAAAGAGAACATGTTATACAGTCACAGGAAAGCAGCAGCATATTTTTATAGAGCATAATGTGAGATATTAAAAAACTATTCATTTACTATGAATAAAATTGTATGTATAAAACTGGTAGCCTAAATCCCTCACTGAAAACAATTAAAATTCAGTATCAAATATATATTTTTTAAATTATTAAAATATAATAATAAACTGGAAAGGAATTCAGGTATATTCACAGGCCCCAAACTATATGAAAGTGGAAATATAAGAGAAATAAGCTGAGACCTAGGGACAGTTTTTCACTTTGATGGCATTTGCTAAGTTTTAGTTTTATTAACCTTTCCCTGGAATGCTGGAGGACAGAAGATAAACCATCAACCCAGGATAGGTATTTAATAGGAAACCCTCTCTGTAAAGATATTTGTAACTTATGTAATAAAAGACTAGCTTCCAATATATAGCATAAATACCTACAAATCAATAATAAAAAAAAAAGGATGAGCAACCCAATAAAAATTGGGCAATGGCTTGAACAGGCATTTTTCAGAAGATGAAATATGAAAGACCAAGAAATACTCAAAAAAGAGGCTCAAATATATTAATAATAATAGAGATGCAAATTAGAACCACAATAAAATATCACTTCTCAACCATCAGACTGGCAAAAATTAAATCTCTCTTGGGACACCTGAGTGGCTCAGTTGGTTAAGCCTCTGACTTCAACTCAGGTAGTGATCCTAGGGTCTTGGAATGGAGTCTGCTTGTCCTTCTGCCCTTCTCTCAACTCATGCTCTCTTTATCTCTCTCTAATAAATAAAATCTTAAAAAAAATTAAATCTCCCAACATCAAGTATTGGTGAGGATATGAAATAGTTGGAACATGGAATGTTATTGGAACAATTGTCTGCATAGAAGTTGGGATGCCTGGGTGGCTCAGTGGTTGAGCGTCTATCTTCAGCTCAGGCCGTGATCCCTAGTCTGGGGACTGAGTCCCCCATCAGGCTCCCTGCGAGGAGCCTGCTTCTCCCTCTGCTTATGTCTCTGCTTCTGTCTGTGTGTCTCTCATGCATAAATAAATAATATATTTAAAAAGAATAAATAAATAAGTAAAATCATTTGGAATTTAAAATGTAAGGTGTGCAAACTTTTTCACCCAATAATCATAATCCTTGGTATATAGTCCAGGGAAGCTCTTACATTTAAAAATGTTCCCTTTGGCCCTATTTGTAAGTACAAAGACTAGAAAAACCTAAATGTCTATCAATGGCTGGCTGACTGAATTTTGCTATAGATAAGAACATGAATAAACTTCAGCATCATAATGATGAATTTGAAAAAAAATGAAGTGACAGATGAATACATATACATGAAAATGTGCCACACACACACACACACACACACACACACACACAGTAAAAATGTTTTAAAAAGGAAGAAAATGGTAAATAAAAAATTGGGCATAATGGTTAATTCTGAGAAGAGGAAAGGACCACACAAGAAAATGCAAGTCATGATGTTTACCTTTGAACTTCTGGGTACAAAGTTGTTTGTTTTATCATTAGTCTTTTATATCACATGCAGGCTTTTATAAACATTCTGTTGTATGGGCTCAATATCAAAAACAAAAAAAAGGTAAAATATACAATAAAACATTCACTATGGTTTTCTATAGGTAATGATTTTTCAACTTCTCCAGACTTTTGAAATTATTTCTATGTGTCAATTAATTATAAATTATTTCTATGTGTCAATGTTAATTATAATGTCAAAAACAAAAAAAAGGTAAAATATACAATAAAACATTCACTATGGTTTTCTATAGGTAATGATTTTTCAACTTCTCCAGACTTTTGAAATTATTTCTATGTGTCAATGTTAATTATAAAGAAAAATAAATCTTAATTTTGTTCTTAAAGCATTACCTTTAGAAAGAAGTACGTACCTTTCTATTTCACTTTTCTTTAGTTTGGCTGCCGCCCTCATGGCTGAGTCCTTAGAAACTAATTCCTGTAAAGTACACTGGAGTTGTTGTTTGGCTTCAGGGCTGGATATAGTTCCCAGTTTCTCAGTGAGGTCCTGGATGTCTGCCATTGTGGATTGTAATTCCTCTTGTTTCCAGTAAGACATCTCCAGTGGTTCTTCTGGATTATCAAGGTCTACTTTATGGGATGCAACAATGGCTTCGCAGGCAGTAAAGATCCCCATTGCCCTAGTGACTGCCTCGTTATAGCGTGTCATACTTTCATAAGCATCATTCAAGACATCCTGGTGAATAGAAGAGTAAACGTTGTGACAAAGCTGTCAAACTTTGGGGATTTATATCATTCTTGAATTTTTGTAGTGCATTCATAATATGTCTCAGTCTTAAAAGGGTTAGCATCTCCTACTTTTAGTTTGACAATGTTATCCTATATTTAAAGACAAATAACTTTGCACAAAGAAAAATTATTTCCAGATTTGCTAAGAAGTCTACTCTAAATTAAAAAATGCATTTTATGAATCATGTCTGATGAACTCTTCTGTTCTAGAACTCTTCTGTTACACTATGAATTAAATAAAATAATTGAATATAATTAATGTATATAACTTTAACCAATATTTGTTGGGAGGGAGGAATTAAAAGAAAACACACAAAATCCCCCCAGATTTCTTGTGGTTTTTAAAAAAACTTAATTTAGTTTAAATAATTTCTACACCCAACATGGGACTCAAACTCACAACCCTGAGATCAAGACCTGAGCTAAGATCAAGACTGATCTTAACTGACTAAGCCACCTTGGTGCCCCACCCATCTTGTGTATTTAAATAAATGGTTCTGCCACTAACTTAAGTTTTGAGTGCATTACTTAATGCCTCCAGACCTTAGTCTTCTTACTGAAATAACAAATAGTTGAAAGAAATAACTTTATTTTTTATTCTTTTTAAGATTTTATTTATGTATTCATAAGAGACACAGAGAGAGAGGCAGAGACACAGGCAGAGGGAGAAGCAGGCTCCATGCAGGGAGCCCAATGAGGGACTCGATCCCGTGTCTCCGGGATCACACCCTGAGCCAAAGGCAGACACTCAACCGCTGAACCACCTAGGCTTACAATAAATAACTTTAAAGGTCCCTTCCAGTCCAGTTCTAATCCTATTATTTTGGAGATTTATGTCATTGTTTCTGGAAACTATTAAAATCAAGTAGAGAAGTACTGAATTTACTCAATATTTGTTAAGTACCAATTTAAAGAACATACTAGAATTCATAATATGACTACACTTCTATAGCATTTATATATATCAAAATATTTCAGATATAAAAATATTTCAAATATATTATCTAATAAGTTTGAGTTAAAAAAGGGAGTTAATTTTCTCATTCTATAAATTTTATGCAACAAATTCTAAAAACACAGTGAAAGGCATTATATTAAGCACAAGGTTCCAATAATGCCTAAGCTGTCTATCCAATTAGTGCAGAAAAGGAGGGAATATGTTGAGTCATTCTGTAACATAAGTCAGAACACCTCTCCTGTTTAAAGGATCAGACTAAATATTTTAGGCTTTGCATGCCATCTGGGCTATCACAACTACTCAACCCTGCCGATGTAGCAAGAAAGCAGCCATAGACATTCTCTAAAAGAAATGAGCATGGCCAAGATCCAATAAAACTTTATTTACAAAATCAGGCACTGTGGGCAGATTTGGCCCATGAGTCTTTATTTAATGACCCCCACTTAAAATCTGACGATCTTGATGCAAATCCTAGCTGGGGGCACCTGGGTGGCTCAGTGGTTGAGCGTCTGCCTTTGGCTCAGGTTGTGGTTCCAGGGTCCTGGGATGGAATCCCACATCCGGCTACCCTCAGGAAGCCTGCTTCTCCCTCTGCCTATGTCTCTGCCTTTCTCTCTCTCTGTGTTTCTTATGAATGAATGAATGAATGAATGAATGAATGAATATAAATTTAAAAATAAAAATCCTGGTTCTGTTACTGCTGCAAGAACTGGGAAAACAGCTGATGTTCTTGAACTTAAATTTCTTTATTTTAAAATGGGTCTAATAATAGCATCCACTTCCCAGATTTGCTGTGAAGATTAAAAATAAACTACTCAGCACAGTGCCTAGACACTGAAAGTTCTAAACAGATGCGGAGTTATTATCGTATGTTCTTTGCACTACACCGTCTTTCTTCCATTATGCCTATTTCTAAAAATTAAACAAAGCTCTATTGAGCTTAGACTACATGGGATATAGAAATAAAGGTGTCACACTCCTCTTTCCCATCTATAATGCACTGTATTCAGATGTAAAATGAGTTGGGATCATAAGATGGCCTACTGAAAGTTTTTAAAATGGCTCTTCTATGGAAAATGTTCATGTAGAACATCAAACTTCTTGAGAAGCACACATACTGAGTAAAACCTCAAACCATGAAATACAAAGAAATGCATTAACCACTTAATTAAGAAAAAAGCCCCTTACTGTGCATAAATCAATGCTTGTATTAAGCTGCATGTGAAGATCTTCAATGTCATGCAATTTTGTCTCCACTTCACAAGTTTCCAAAGAATTTTCTTCTCTTTGCTTCTCAATAAGGGTCATAGCTTTCAAGCTATCCATTTCCACCTGAACTTGCTCTTGAAATGCTTCACAATTCTCCTTCTCATTTTGAATATGTTCAATGTCCAAATTTATGAGTAAAGGCTGCTCTAACTGAGACTTTATCTGATTCAAAACATGTAAGGAACTTTCCAGTTTGTCCTGAAAATTCTTTTCACCCATTTCCTTTGGTTGGGATTCTAGTACTTTGTCTTGGAGAATCTTGTGTAACTTGTCATTTTCTTCCACACACAGCTTTATTTGCAGGATTTCTTTCTCTTTGAATGAGTCATCAAAGGTCTTACTTTGATTTAAATTCTTTATCATCTCTTGACACAAGCACATGGCTTTCTCAATTCTGCGCTGCAAAATTTGAGCACTGAGCAGACTGTTTGCTGGAGAGGCATGGGGCATTTCCAGTAGTGCTTCAGCTCTTGTCTTAATTTGCAAATCCATAGCCCTCAGTTTACTAAGTGATGCTTGATATTTGCCACGTTCTGCCACAAGTGTGTCCAGCTGCTTAATTTTTTCTTCAAGTTCCTTTTCTTTTTCAAACACTTGGGCTTGTAATTGGTCAAGCTGGGAAGAATCCCAGTTTAGTTCTAGAGAGTCAAACACTTCTTTGAGTTTCAGTATCTGTAGGATGCGAGACTGAACACCAGTGATTCGGTCTTTAAGACTATACAGCTCCTCCTTCACATCTTCATGTATTTCTTGATTTAGTGGCAGCTCACTGTGCTGTATATGGTCAACCTCCTTCTGAAGCACAGATGCCTTTTCATGGTATTCTCTGTAAAAATGTATCTTGCATTCTACTTCATTGCATTTATTTTGTATGACTCTTTGTGTTCTGTTAGCTCTAGTCTTCAGATTTTTCAGTTGGTCACCCAGAAATAATCTTTCAAACACACATAGATCCTTGCAGACGTCTGCCTGTTCCTGAAGGCGAGCTGAGATTACACTCTCTGCTTCTTGCAATACCTCCTGAGAACTCGTCAAAGTGACATGCTCCTGTTCTAGTTCAGGTTCTGTGGATGCTGTTTTCATCTTGGGAATGATCTGTGCTTCATTTTCTTGAAGTGAAAGTTGAACCTTCTCTATTACTGCAATAAATCTGTTTCTTTCTTCCAATTTAAATTCTAATTGCTGTGATCTTTCAGTTGACTTTAAAATCAGCATTTGGTATTGATTCTGTAAGTCCTGTAGGAGGTGATTTAAATCATTGCTCTCATCTGCTGTAAGGTTAGGAATATTCTTTTTGACCTCTTCAACCAATGACTCTACAGCCTGCTGCTTATCCAGAATGCCATCGTGTTTAACCTTGCATTTTCTGATCTGGGAAAGAATATCATCCGGGAAAAGGGAAATGGCAGGGGTGAGTTCACCTAGCAGATTATTGACCCACTGGATAATCTCTTTCATCTTGTTCCTTACTTCACACTTTTTGATCTGATTTTCCACCTTTATGTTTAATGGCTCCAAGGCTTCTAATTGCTTCTGCAGATTATTCATTGCATCTTCCAAAGCATTCTTTTCTTTTTCCCCCCAAATCCTCTTCATCTGAAATTCAGCTTGCCCTTTTAAAACAGAAAATTGATGTTTCATATTCTGGAGTTCAGTGGCCAAGGCAATTGTGTTTGGGCCCCCATCCTGTTCTTCCATAGAGTTCAGACCTAACTGTAGACTCTGCCGCTGCTGCTGTACGGAAATTTCAAGGTCTTGGATCTGATTCATCAGAAGCGTAAATTCATCATGTTCCACTACTTGCTGAGAATACTTCTTTTGAGCCAGTTGTTCCACTTGTTCCCAGCTATTTACGAGTTGCTTGATCTGACTTTCCAGTAACTTCTTATCCATGTCAGTCAGACAGTTCGATACATTTTCCCATTCAGTTTTCAACCTGCTTAAAGAATCTTTCTCTTTTTCTATTGATGCTAGGAATTGTTTAATTTTGTCCAGATAGGTTGCACTGTCCAGTGGTCCCCTAAAAAAAAAGAAGGGAAAAATGGAGCTTCTTTATACTTATTACATATCAACATGAGGTTAGAGATCATTAAAAGAAATTAATTCTTCTGTGAATTCCCAGAAGAGAAGATAAGGTTGTCTATTAAAGCACTCTGTCCTTAAAATAAAAATCAGAATCTGGTTTAGTGTTGCTTTCAATTAGTGTATGACGATGTACAAAGCTTATCTATAAAATATGTAACATAAAAATGCAGAACCAGGATGCCTGGGTGGCTCAGAGGTTGGGCGCATCTGCCTTCAGCTTAGGGCATGATCCTGGAGTACCAGGATCGAGTCCACATTGGGCTTCTTGCATGGAGCCTGCTTCTCCCTCTACCTATGTGCCTGCTTCTCTCTTTCTGTGTCTCTCATGAATAAATAAATAAAATCTTTTTTAAAAAAATGCAGAACCACAGGAAAGGAGTGAAGAGTGAAGGGAACAATGTATGTAAAAGTACTCTGTAACCGTAAAGAACTTGCACAAAGCTGAGTCTGGGACTAAGAAATTACTCCATCTTCCAACCACTTTGTTATCGTTTTGCCAACAATAATGGCTAAGAGAGGATAATCATCAGGCTAATATTTTTAATATAAAACTGTTTCCTCAAAGGGATATCACTGAAAGTAAATCCCATTAAGGCAAAACTATAACATCAACCTTTTTACCTTTTATTTTATTTTTTAATTATTTATTCATGAGAGACAAGAGAAAGAGGCAGAGACATAGGCAAAGGGAGAAGCAGGCTCCCCCCCGGGGAGCCCGATGCAGGACTCGATCCCAGGACTCTGGGATCACACCCTGAGCCAAAGGCAGAGGCTCAATCACTGAGCCACCCAGGTGCCCAAAATCAACATTTTTAATAGTAAGAAAGGGTTTACACAATAAAACTATATCTTCATTTTATTTTTCATTATTTTCAAAGCCAAAAGGAATATATGTATGTAAAGAAAAATCATTAGGATAGATACATATTCAGTATTTCCAAACTATTTAACCCAATTATGCTGATACTAAACAACTGTATACATAGGATATTTCTCTCCACCCCCATAGTTTAGAATAAACTCTTGACACAAAAGAGTGCTGAATTACATAGAATTTAAATTGATTTGGCAGAATTTCACGTGAATTAAGAAATTAATTTGTAAAAAAATATAATTTAATTGTAAAATTAATACAAGTAATATAAAATTTATTGTATGAAACCAACAGTTTTCTTCAATGGCCTCCATATGGAATTAATTTCATACTGTAGTATTAAAATCATATCCTGGGATCCCTGGGTGGCTCAGCGATTTAGCGCCTGTCTTCGGCCCAGGGCGTGATCCTGGAGTCCCAGGATTGAGTCCGACATCAGGAGTCTGCATGGAGCCTGCTTCTGCCTGTGTCTCTGCCTCTCTCTCTCTCTCTCTATGTGTGTGTTTGCCTCTCATGAATAAATAAAATCTTAAAAAATAATAATAATAAATAAATAAATAAAATCATATCCTTTCATAGTATAAATTCTTAAAACCCTGGGCCCGTCCATGGCAGTGAAGCTTATGCTTGAATAAAAAGAATGCAAGTTCTAAATTCTTTTTTTAATGATTTATTTATTTTAAAGATTTTATTTATTTACCTATTTATTTGAGAGACAAAGAGAGAGAGAGCAAGAGTGGGAAGGGCAGAGGGAGATGGAGAATCTCAAGAAGACTCCACGCTCAGCGTGGAGTGCCACGCAGGGCTCAATCCCATGACCATGAGATCACAACCTAGCCTAGACCAAGAGTCTGATGCTCAAATGACTGCACCACCCAGGCACCCCTATTTATTTAAGAGAGAGAGAAAGACAGGGCAAGTAAATGGTGGGGCAGGGGGCAGAAAGAGAAAAATCCTGAAGGAGACTCCCTGCTGAGTGCAGAACCTGATGTGGGCTGGATCCAAGGATTCCGAGATCATAACCTGAACCAACACCAAGGGCCAGATGCTCAACCAACTGAGCCACCCAGGTGCCTCACAAGTCCTAAATTCTCATACTTACACTTTTAGACTTTCCTTTTCCGTCAGCAAGGCTTTCACTGAGGATTCAACTGCAGCAAGGTGCTCCTGAAAATTGTTAAGGAGTTCATATTGGCTTTCTTTCTTTTTCTTCAAAGTAATAAGTGCCTGAAGCAGACTGTCCAAGTGGTGCACTGAATATCTTGTACTGTGAAGAACCAAGGCACTTGCTTCTGCTTTATTGAGACATTCAGTTTGTTCTAGTGGTTCAGTGGCTATTTTCTTTGCTTCCAACTGGGCATATAATTCCTAAAAACAAGTCAAGGAAATCAATAAATACATAGTCCCTCATTTACTCATTAATTTCTTTCTTTCCAGTAACACATTATATCCCAAGAATAGGTTTAAATATTTCATTTGCACACAGAGAAACTAAGGTGCTGACATTTAAAAGCTTTTTTCACTAGAATCATGTTAAAATCTAGATTGAAACTCACAATTGGTCTAGCATTTAATAGCAATTAGATTTCCCTATTATGTTAAAAGGTTCTGCATGTCTAAAGGAAGATTTATTTTTTTCAAGTTGTTCTAGATTTATATACACTCCATTTATATCCATCCGTTATTTATATATATAAATATATACAAATAAGATATATATATATAATATTTTTATTATTTACATACATCACCCCTCTTTCCTATTTTAAATACATCTTTACAGCCATGCAAACTCAGTTAAAATTGTAGGGGTAATTTTTTAAAAAACATGGCCATGTATCGGACTTTTAGATTATATAGCTATTAAGTACATAAATATATAAACATAGTTATGTAAGCACAGCTGTAAAAACAAAGGAGTATCCCATAATGTTGATAATTAGAAAAAGTAAACTTGTCAGAATATGAAGAATACATCTAAGAAGAGGAACGATAAGTCAGAATTTCCAAATTTTGTTACTAAATAAGTAAGTTTTTAGTAACTTCATGAAAAAGACTAATGTTCATTAAACTCTTCCACTTTTTAAATGGAAAGATTTATACAACTTACTGATTAGTACATAATTATATAGTTACCAAATTGATCATCAGGCAAAGGTTAAATAAGACTTTTCATTCTGTGCAAGCAAGTTACTGGTAATTAAAATATATTGTATTGCACTGGATAAATGATGCAATCATGTTGTCAATGTTTTTCTTGTTTCCATACCTCTATCTCTTTTAATTGTTCATTTCTTAACATAACATCTAATTCTAAAGGTTGATTTTGCAGCTCATTGACTTTATGCTCATCTTCAGTGTTTTTCATGCTTTCTTGAACATTGAGAGAAAGTTGTTTTGACAAAACCACTTCCACAGCTGAATTCTGAAAATATAAAAGGATTAATTGCTGAATAATCTACCTTACCTTACAAATAAATAATATTTCTTTTTCTTGGTGAAAACATTCTAGTTCCTTCTATTTACTCAGATTAAAGACTTTCCAAAAGTATCTTTGGGCACCATCAAAAATTTCCATACACTACTTAATGCTGTTGTCGATATCATATGAAAAAAAGCCTTTTTTGGCAAGATAGTATAGGATCTATGATTATATCATGAGGCGCAGTCTAGTCGTAAGGAAAGAAAACGGATATGGAAAAACAAAAGTTCCAAAGTTTATGCTTAGTATTCACTGTGATGCAGAGGGCAGGGCAAAGAACCAGCATTCAACATTACCTACTAATAGTTTAAAATAGTAAGTGGAGAGATGGCAGGAACACCAATATTTCATGGTATTAAGAATGAATTATTCTTTAAACCAATTAGTAGCAAGAATTCCAAGCTGGGTAAGGCAGGTTATCTATATAGGAATGTGATCTTTTCTGAAATCTGTAAGAACTTGAGTTTCTCATAGGGTACACAGAACACCTGCTTCATTCATTCATTCATTCATTCATTCATTTTTTCTTTTAAGATTTTATTTGTTTATTCTTGAGAGATGCAGAGAGAGAGGCAGAGACAAGAGAAGCAGGCTCCATGCAGGGAGCCCAATATGGGACTTGATCCCGGGACTCCAGGATCATGCCCTGAGCCGAAGGCAGATGCTCAACCACAAGCCACCCAAGTGTCCCTCATTTGTCCTTTTAACAAATATTTGTTGAGTATGTAAATGTCCCAGGTGCCATGTCCATAATTTTAAAAGATTTCCATTATTTTGGTAAGGTATTAGTTTTTATCTTCCAGTTACTTTATAAATGAAATACCATTTGATTTTGGCATATCAGTAAGGTCTATATCAAGTCTGTGAATAAGATGTGTCCACATTTCCCAACAAGGTAGAAATTGTTGTCATAAAAAATACCACCTAGATAGCAACAGAGAATGTCAATGATAAGGGAAACTGGGTAAGAGATATATGAAAACTCTCTGTACTATCTTTGCAACTTTTTCCATCAATGTAAAACTATTCTAGAGTTAAAAGATTATTTAAATAAGACAGATGTACAGAGGTGTATGTGTCTGGAGCTTTACCAAAACTGTTAAGAAAACTCAGCTGACCAGCATTACTGGTTTTGACATAGCACGTAGCACAAGTCACTTCTTTTAAAAGGCTACAAATGATGAAAATGATTTTGTGAATTTCTTCCATTCCTAACAATTTAACATGTAAACTATGGTTAAAAATCTACAGGGAAGACAGCATCTTAGGAGGAAAGATCCAGGAAAGCTATGAGAGGAACAGAGAGCTGCTACACCACAGGCTCCATTGGGCTATGGGTGCTCCTTGCCATAAGCCATAATCATAAGAGATGGATGCCTGTCTCCCACTTGGTGCTTATTGTTACTTAGAGTCCTCCCACAAATTCACCTGCAGAACAAGAGTGCCTGAGGTGAAGCTTGAGGTATTGGACCTTAGGAAGACTTTACTTATTATTAATCATCTACTAAGGATTCAGAGCCCTTGGTCTATCTTACGTCATAAACCATTGACTTGAGAACTACCAACATTTTGCCACTTGTAATCTGCCTTTCATGGTCAGAGAGAGCATTCTGAAAAACCTGAAATCACTCCTAAAACACCACCTGTTTACCAATTCCAAAAGCCATGTTTCTACCTTGGCAGAAAATCCAACAGAATCCCTCAAACGAACATTTCAAATTTAAAAGGTAACATTCCCTTGCTCATGCCAGAAAGGTTACAACACAGACTCAGGATCCTGATTGGCTCCTGGAAAGATTCTTTTGTAATCAGTAATCCTTTGCTCATCACCTCTGACTATATTTTATTTTGATTCTGCAGTCTCATTTGAATGATTTTATTTTAAACATGACATTTCAACCACAGAAAAACAAAATATAACTTATAGTCATTAACCATGGTACAGATAAAAGTAATATAATTTTCCATATAACAAATATAATTTAAAACTCGATATTCATCCCTCTTCTCTTCTTCCTCACAAATAACCACTATTCTAAAATATACACATACATTTTTTAAAAATATATTTATTTATTTAAGTAATCTCTACCCTAAGCATGGGGCTCAAGCACACGACCCTGAGATCAAGAGTCACACATCTTCTGACTGAGCCAGCCAGGTGCCTTGATACGTACATTTTTATACATTTACTACATATATTAGTATTCATACAGTATTTTATGTATTTTAATTTTTATACAGCTGGAATCATGTATTATCATTTTATAATAATTTGTTTTAATATAACAAATAATTTGTTATTTTCCACTCAGCAGTATGTTTTGGGGTTTATTCATGGTGACAGATATAAATCTGGTACAGTCATTTTAGCATAGTATACCATTCTACCGTCTGCATGAACATGACTTACTTGTCTGTCAGGCTACTGTGAACATAATATTGTTTCCAGTTTTTCTTATTAGAGATACTAGTCTGACAAACACCCTTGTGTAGACCTTTTTGCACATTTGTGTGAGTTTCTTTGAGATATTTTCCTAGAATTAAAATTGTTCCTTTTGATTATCAATAGTTGTTACTTTGTTCTCCAAACTGAATTACAGTTTTTATTCCCTCAGCATGGTAAAAGAATTTCCCCTAATCCTCTCTGATATTTGGTGCTAACAGACTTTCATTTCTGCCAATATATAATGGATGTGAATTTAACATCAATATTGTTTTAATGGTATTTCTCTGACTGCTAAGGAGACTGAGCTACTCTCCTAGAAGAAAACATGAGCAGTAAGCCCTTTAACATATGTCTTAGCAATATTTGTTTGGATCAGTCTCTTCAGGCAAAACCAACAAAAACTAAAATAAACAGGGGCAGCCTGGGTAGCTCAGCAGTTTAGCACCGCCTTCAGCCCAGAGCATGAGCCTGGAGTCCCGGGATCGAGTCCCACATCGGGCTCCCTGTATGGAGCCTGCTTCTCCCTCTGCCTGTGTCTCTGCCTCTCTCTCTCTCTCTCTCTCTCTCTCTCTCTCTCTCTTTCTCTCTCTCTCTGTCTCTCATGAATAAATAAATAAAAACTTAAAAAAAAAACTAAAATAAGCAAATGGGACTATATCAAACTAAAAAGCTTTTGCACAGCAAAGGAAATTATCAAGACAAAAAGGCAACCTACTGAATGGGAGAAGATATTTGCAAATCATATACCCAATAACAGGTCAACAGCCAAAATATACAAAGAACTTACATAATTTATTTAAAATAATTTGATTTTAGAGCAGCCTGGGTGGCTCAGCGGTTTAGTGCTGCCTTTGGCCCAGGGCATGATCCTGGAGAACTCAGATCAAGTCCCATGTCCGGCACCCTGCATGGAGCCTGCTTCTCCCTCTGCCTGTGTCTCTGCCTCTCTCTCCCTCATCCTTTATTCTCTCATGAATAAATAAATAAAATATTTTAAAAAATAAAATAACCTGATTTTAAAAATGGGCCGAGGACTTGAATACACATTTTTTTCCAAAGAAGACATACGGATGGCCAATAGGCACATGAAAGATGTTCAACATCGATAATCATCAGAGAAATGCATATCAATATCACAATGATATTACTCAGCCATCAAAAATATGCAATATTACCACTTGCAATGATGTAGATGAAACTAGAGAGTATAATGCGAAGTGAAATAAGTCAACAGAAGACAATTATTATATCATCTCACTCATGTGTGGAATTTAAGAAACAAAACAGAGGAACATAAGGAAAGGGAGGGAAAAATAAAGTAAGATGAAATCAGAGAGGAAGACAAACCATTAGAGACTCTTAACTATAGGAAGCAAACTGAGGGTCAATGGAGGGGAAGTGGGAGGGGAAATGTGGTAACTGGGTGATGGGCATTAAGGAGGGCACATGATCTAATGAGCACTGGGTGTGATATGCAACTGATGGATCACTGAAGTCTACCTTTGAAACAATACTATAGGTTAATTAATTGAATTTAAATAAAATAAAATTTAAAAAGAACACAAGATATTACACGTTAGATTGGCTATTATTACAAAGGCCAAAAAATAACAAATGTTGGTGAGAACGAGGAGAAAAGGGAGCCCGTATACACTATTGATAGGAATGTAAATTGGTTCAGTGACTGGAAAACATCATGAAGGTTTCTCAAAAATTTAAAAGTAAAAATACCATACAATCCATCAATTCCACTTCTGGGATTTATCTGAAGAAAACAAAAACACCAATTTGAAGAGATACATATCCCTATGCCATTACAGCATTATTTACAACCACTAAGGTATAGAAGCCATAAGTGTCCCTCAGTAGATATGGATAAAGAAAATGTAGTCTATATATGCAATGGAATATTGCTCTCTCATAAAATAGAATGAAATCTTATCATTTGTGACAAAATGAATGGACATTGAGGGTATTATGCTAAGTGAAATAAGTCACACAGATAAAGACAAATACTGTATGATTTCACTTATATGTGGAATCTAAAAAACAAAACAGAGGGGTACCTGGCTGGCTCAGTTGGTAGACCATGCAACTCTTGATTTTGAGGTTAAATATTCAAGCCCCACACTAGGTACAGTGCTTACTTAATTAAAAAAAAAAAAGCAAAATACAAAAAAACAAAATAGGAGTGCCTGGGTTAAACATCTGCCTTTGTCCTGAGTTATGATCACAGGGTCCTAAATCAAGCTCAATAGCGGGCTCCCTACCCAGTGCTTCTCCCTTTCTCTCTGCTCACCTCCCCGACTTGTGGATGTGCTCATGTGCGCACATACTCTCCCTCTCTCCATCTGTTTCTCTCAAGTGGATAGATAAAATCTTAAAAAACAAAACAGAAAGAGACTGTAGATACTGTTGATTACCAAAGTGAGGAGGGCTTGGAGGGTTGGTGAAATAGGTAAAGGGGATTACGAGGTACTCATTTCCAGTTATA